GAGTGGATTGCAAATAGTTACCACTTACATACCTATCGATAATCACCCCACCCAGGTCTGCACTGGATCGCCGCTCGATAAGCGTGCGACAAGGTCATCTCTTGAGCAGCCGTACCCGCATCGTTCCGATGTGAGCTAATGCATAATTACCGCAATTAAGTTGTCGAGATCTACTCGACTGCGAGTCGCTTTAAATAAACTAATTAATGTTCTAAGATTATGGACGGAGATTGTGCTAATTGCAGCTTCAACGCGTGTCGCGATTGCCATCGAAATCGGGGGAGTGAGATCCGACCGATCCGACGGATCCGACGGATCCGACCGATCCTCCAGATCGAATACTCGTATAATGATTTATGGCGCACATTGGCGCAATATCATTAGAGTGCATCCCCGTGGGACAGCGTGGGCGCCCTCCCATGAAATATAGTATAGTATAGTATAGTATGTGGCATGTGGCCAGTCTGTGTGTGTGGGGCTTCTGATTAATGGGCCCACTTGGAGGCCAGAAAGCGAAAACGATAAGGATACTGGCTACTGGCGAATAAATTTACGAGACTGCCAGGCCAAGTACACAAACAGCGTGTAAATCAATTATTCATGCCCCAGCAGGCAAATGGCATAAAAACGTCATACAATTTGTGGCAATTACAGGTAGCAGGCGATAAATATGCAGCGTCAACGGGGCCGGGAACTCTGGCGTTAGCCCGATCCCGATGTCTTTGGGACAGGAATTATGATTGGGAATTCCCCGCTCTGCCATATTTCAATTTGCAGCTCTATAAATAGTCGAGTGAGTGATTGTGGCGTGTTATCGCCGTGGATTCTGTCACTTGAGTTTGGTTATTCCATTAAGTTTGACTTATTTATAGGCAGGTGATTTATAGAGGCTCACTTAATCGGGATTTAGGTTTGGAACTGGAGGGGCTAAGGATTTATTCTTCATTTGGATTGATAATATTGTCTTTTATACTTTAAATATTTTTTTTATTTTCAAGTGATCCTCACCAATGCAAATCAGATAAAAACAAACTTAACTTAATAGCTTTTGATGTTTAATTGAATTTAATTTACATGTGTCTCTGGCTCTCTTAATTAAACGCCTTCATCTCGGCAGCATTCTACACTTGGCTTAATTGCGTATTTAAAGCTGACATTTATTATAATTAAACTTACATCGCCTATTGCAGACGGCATTCGCTGACTGGTTGTCCGACTCTTTTAGATTCAGTTTCAGTTTCAGCTTTCGGTTTCAGTTGACTGTGCTAATTTCACCCGGCGAGTTGATTAATAAGCTGCCATAAGGCGGCTATCGCAGAACAGCAGCCGCGGAGCCGAGAGACCATCCATCTTGCGGACAAAGAAGCCAGAAGCCCGAGAAGCCAATGAAGCCAGCCGTCCTGCGAGCGAGGTGCTGAAATCGAAATTCAGTGGATGCAACACGGCCTTGAGCCATGAATTATGTGCGCAATTACTCTTCCAAGTTGTCGTGCTTGTTCCTTCGTTCTTTTTTTTTCAGAACAACTGGAGTGTTCTTCTGTGGGTTCTCCCAGCCGATCTGCTTTTCTAATGGCCGGCCTACAAAAGTGCAAGTTGCCACTTGCCAGTTTGAAGTTGCAAGTTGCGAGCTGCGATCGGGGAACTGTGCCACCTTCTTTCTAATGGCGCCTCTCGAGTGCAGTTGGGTCTGGCAGTTAATTACACCTTGTTGGCCGTGTTGCAAGTCAGCGTGTTGCCGATTCCCTCGCAGATACAGCCGGAGATTCGAGTCGAACCTGCACCTCGGCACGTTGCAGCGTGTGAAATGAATGGCGCATGTTTGTGATATCATCGAACAAGCCGGCTCGCAGACTCCGCATCTCTCCCCCGATCCGAGGCCCTGCGATAGCCATCGGATTTCGGCATTTTGTTCGTTGACATGTGAAAAGACTTCTACTGAGTCATCACCTTAAAAAACTATGCTTGCCCTGGGCAAGGCCGCCAAAATATGATAACTATAATACAAGAACTGCAGAAGGGTCTTGAAACACCACTTGAGGAAGTTGATTTTATTGAACTTTAAATTTACTTTATAATTACATATAATATTCCCTTATGAATTTCGATTTCTATACCAAGGGGTATATTTATAGAACATTATTTTTAGAAGTTCAACTGTGCTGCGTGTTCAATCCATTACCGCTACGGCAATTAGCATAAAATTGGCCACAGCTATTTTGGAAGACTTTCAGATTTGGACCGCGTCATCGCCATCGCCAGCGAGTTCTTAACATAATTGTTAGCGCCTCAAACGGATTGAGTGGCAAATTAAGACCGAAAATTGGCTTACACCAAGTGGCCAAGTGGGTTTGTTGAGCAGTTTCCCAGGCCTCAAGGCTGCGTACGCGGAAATTGCTGGCTGTTCAATTAACACACCCAGAGCGAAACCTTTTCCCACAACCAACTCACATTACCTCTGTTTTGATTTTGATTTTGTGTGTTTTTTGTATTTTTTTGGGTATTGAATTCGATCGGTTTCTGCATGCCCGAGTGTTCACCGGGCGTTAAAAAGCTCTTAAATTGCACAACGTCTCCTGCATGCCAAGAGCCAAAAAGAGTCACAGTCTTGTGAAATTACAGTCTGAAGGTTGCAGCACGGCCTTAACTTTTGGTTTCTTCGAGTCGTTGACACCTGACTTTCGTATCAAGTTAATGAAATAGCTACAGTTCGAGTTACGTCACAGCCGATTCTCTTCTGAATCATATTGTGTTATTGGTTCCGTTCTGTGAAGGACTCACCTTGATCGATTGACTTCGATGGGGGCAAAGGGCGGCCACCATGACGTATGCTTAATCCAGCCGAAAGGTAGAACAATTCGCTTATCAATCATACGCCACGTTGGCCGCCGTCAACCTACACTATTCACCCAGTCACTTGAGAGTCGAGACCAAGAATTTGCCATTATTTTTAGCCAGCTCTGTTTTTTTTTCTTTGTGTGTCAGCACGAATTAACGCTGGCGATTTAAATCGCGCCAAGAAGCCAAAACAAACAACACGATGCGGAAATTGTTTGTACAACATGGCTAAAACAAAGGCGCCCAAACAATTCATTATTATTATTGTTAATATTATTGTTATTTTAGCGCTGAGATGAGCAGCCGCGTAATTGAACATAAAACACTGTTTAAAATCAGAATTTAAATGCCAAATCCCTGCTTAACCAACCTTGGTTTCAATTAGCAAATATGGAATGGCTGCAAATTTCTCAATTTGTTTCGAGCCAAAAAAAAAGCAACACACACATAGGTGTACATTTGCCTAGCCATTTTCTCCCTACCAATGTTTTATTTTTTTTTTTGTGGTTTTATTTTGCTGTTTTTAATGTAGCAAGGTCGTTCGTTGGTCCGCGACGCCAAAAGCAATTTGTAATGATTATTAAAACAACGACCTGCTTGGCATGCTCCAAACAGCCCTCCCCTTCACCCGGCCCACAACTGGCATTGTTTACTGTATCTGTACCTATACCTGTTGCCGTAGCCGTTGCCATTTGCCGTTTGCCGTTTGGCGTTGGCTTTTAATTGAGATAGCGAAAAACAGTAACAGCAAGGCGGCAAGGCAGTGGCTAAAAATTATATTTGGATTACAACACGGTCAGCTGAACGGAGCTGCGAATATTGTATATTGTACATATGAAATTCTTGGGCAATTATTGCCGCACAACGCCGCCTTTCGATACGTATTCATAGCGATCAACTATTCAGCCATTCAGCCGGTGATTGAATAGCCATGAACATTGTGATTATGACAGCCGGACACTCGAGGAGTTCTATTTTAAGGCCCCAGATCTCTGGGCATTCCATCTGTGTTAGCTCAGCGTCAATTTGGCAGTGCCCGGTAATTGACTTGTGAAAGGGAAATCCATGGCACCTCGGGGATGGATCCATAGCCATTCTATGCTAAGTGACCGCCACACCCTCCCCCATGAATCCGATATCCCATGATTCACTTCTTTTTGCCAGCTTTGAATTTTGCGCACATAAATTGCATTTAATGCTGAGTAGCCAAATAAGCCAACTGCCATAAACGGACGAATCTCCGTCTGAATTATGTCGCCGGTTGGGTTAATCAAAATCAGAAACAAAATAAAACCAGAGCCAAATAGAGAAGCTTGCCGAACGAGGGAATTACCCAGGGGAACTGAGGCACAAAGACACATCCGCAACGGGAGCGGCGGCCAAACAAATCAAAAGTAATTCACACGCTCAACATGCGAAAATAATAAAAGAATACTCAAATGTTAATTTCTGAGCACTGAAGAAAAGATTTCGGCACTTGAACGAGATCTGTATTCTGGTTCTATCAAACAAGAATCAAACCTAAGAATATAGAAGTTGAAAAAAAATCTATAATTTATTTTATATTAGTTCAAGACAAGAGTCTTTTTAACAAATTTTTATGTTATGATTTTATAAGTCAGCGAATTTATTTAAAATGCTTTCCGTTGCTGAGTTATAAAATATATAATTAATTTAAGCGTTTATTGTGAATTGTGAATTGTGATATCCCAGAATATTCAGAAATGTTTAATATTTATTTAGTGTTCTCCGAACAAATATTTTATTTCACCTCAATTTCAGCAACATGACATTTAAGCGTTGTTCGCATTCCGGATTTAGATATTAACTTTGGAATACAAAGAGGCTTTTCAGAAACAAGTTATTTAAAGTGAACAAGCATTTTAAAATACCCAGATCTCGTTCTGCGATGATGCTCCTACAGAAGCATTGTTCTCCGAAGAAGCTTCTTCAGGAACCTTTCGGGATCTGGGCAAACCTTCCCGCTTGGCAGTCGGCAGGCGTCTGCGAGCGTTGAGAAAAGCGGGATTTCAGAGTGGCCGCTTCGCAGTCGAGTTGCCAGTCGCGTTTGCTCACTTGGCCCTCTTCGTTTGGGGACTTCGGCTGGGGAACTTCGGGCCAGTTTTGGCCAGCGAGCTGGGCTGTCTTGCTGTGGGGCTCACCGTTAGCCGAGCAGTCGAAACACGCAGCTTGAGGCGAGCGGTTCTTGCGCGCGCTTCCCAACCGCCCAACTAAATCTACTAAAAGCTAACAGTGAGCAGCTACTAACCCACAGCATTGGCTCAGTAGAAGTCGTAATCGCCAACGTAATCGTCGCGAGCGCAGAGTTCTGAGAGTGTTGTGATTGAAAGACAAATGTAAATAGCCGAAAAAAAAACACAGAATTAGTATTTAAACAATAAAAAGAAAACAATTTAAGAAAGAGAAACCTGGCTGGTTGATCGATTGTGGGCGTACAAGTACATTCTGATTCACACCCGGGAATAAATCCAGCACCGATCGGGGAACTTACGGATATTAATACGCCGCGAAGTGCACTTTGAAGCAGGGTAAGTCAACTCATCCCCACCGAAGGCGACCTTGACATTTGTGGGAATCGATTTTGTCGCTCGCCGCTAATCGAATCGAGAAGATCGTTTGATTGGCACTTAAATTGTGCTGTACAATCATCTGGCTGGCTGCAAAAGTGTCCACGACGAGATTTAAGCCACAGAGCGCCGCAGTTTTTAATTATCTGTCTGTGGTGTCTTATAAATAAACATGGTTTTATGGTGGATGTGCTAAACGCCAAAGGCCACTGAAACGCGCTGTCCATGAGTGTGGAATAAAAGCTAAGCTCGGCTAAGCCATGCTATATAGCTCTATAGCTCTATAGCTATATAGGCGCACTTCTGTACTGGGCCAAATGTGTGTTAGCATGTAAATTACAAAATCAAGTTCGTTGCCTGAGTCTTTTGTTTGGGCTGCACAAAAGGTTCTTTGGCTGCTCGGACATGAAACGGATTGAAAATGGAATGGAAACCAAGTGGAGTCGCGTTGCCACCGCACTGCACCAAAGTGGAAAACTGCTGAACAACCTTCACTGGCCCTGGGAAAACCCGTTCGCGTTCGAAATGCGTGTGCTTAATTTACACGAAGATTAGCATTAACGTTGATATAATTTCATAATTTTATTAACCGAAATGTGTCAGCCCAGCGCTGTTTTGGCCGCTTGCCTTGGCCAGAATTTATGAGCGATGTAATCTCCTCTTCGGCCGAAACACTCGATGCATACGAAATTCCCGAAAACAAGGAAGGCTGCCGCCAGATCTCTTGGCGATCTCGTCATGTGATTCAGACAACTATATAATATATAGTATAGTATCGGCTACATCTTCCGGGGGTCTTTGGCCTATTCGCCGTTTTTCTTTTTTTTTTTGCGGCCTTTGTTATGGATTCGCCATTCCATTCCCCGGAGAGTCTGAAGTCTGGAGATCTATGTAAACAGAAAGACTTATTTGCATGCCAAACGAAAGCCTAATTAGGACAGATGGAAAGGCTTTTGGCCTGGCCCACATTCGAGGGTTATTTTATTTTAACCAGCAGCACTCGAGTCACTCGCCCCTGAATTATGTCCACTTTGGCTAGAATTTTACACCCAATTATCCACGCAATGGTTAATTACGCATTTGATTGTCGCCCGGCGACGGCTCAATTTCAATTCGAAGCCGAAATTAATGAACTCTAATTAAGCGGGGTGAAAAATATGTATGGGAAATAAAAGGCACAAAAATACGAGCGGCCTTTGTTGGAGTGCTTACTATACGTACACGAGTGGAGTCTTTTCCTGCTCTTTAATTGTGTTTCGGCTGCATTGTAGTTTCCGACTCTATTGATTGGCGTAAATCGTTTTGAAGAGTTTTCATTTTCGTTTCCATGATGTAATTCGGGGCTGTGTGTTTGTCATGAATCATGAGCAACTGCCAATTATCAATTGCAGTGGCTGCCAAAAGTATTAGCATAAACAAATCGAATCGATGACTAATCAAAGTCAGCCAGCGAATGTCAGAGAGAACATAAAAGCGTCAGATTTTAATTAGCCGAAAAAGACAAGTCAAGTCATCTCGGATCTCGCACTATTATTTCGGGGCGAAGAATTTCAGTGCGCCACTTGTCGAGCCTAAGAATAGACCGAAGACCAGCGAAGACAAGGCCCGAAACGTGCTTGGCCAAATAAAAGCCGAATTTTTGCAAGTAATTTGAACATTAAAAACAATGTCGGGTAATAATAATCACTCAATGGCAGCGCCAACAAAAGCGGAAGTCAAAGCCACACGAAAGTGCTGTGCAACAGTTTTTTTTTTTTGCTTACGCTCCTTTTTTTGTGATTTGTATTTTGTCTTTTTTTTATTATTATATTTCGGACGCCTTCCTGGCACGAAATACCTCGGTGAGAATTGCAAATTCTCAGCGCTGCAATGGGAGAGAAATAAGTGAAAATATTATGAAAGCCGGCGCGGCAAGTGAAAATCGGAATTTATAATTTTCGTGTGCCGATTTTCCAACCGCAAAAACGGTGCCCCGAGCAGCTGCCACTGTGGCAGCATTTGCTGCAGCGGTGGTGCAGCGGTGGTGCAGCGGTGGTGATGCAATCATCGGCTTGACATGCACATCGAGTGACAGAGCAGACATTGCGCATACGCCGCATTGTGCAGAGCGCTCCCAGAGCACAAAGATGAAAGCCGAGTGGGGAGTCGCTGGCTCCGCAAGCGGGCCATCTCCATCTGCACATCCATCCATCTCCCCATTCCGAATGCGAATCTGAATTCGAATCTGAATCCGAATCCGAATCCGAGTCCAAACCAGAATTGGAGCAAGTGAGCAGGCCAACACAATGGCGCAGCCCAATGCCCTAACTTTCCATCCATAAATCCAGCGAACGGGTTCAGATGCGGAGATAGGTGTTGAGGCATTTAGACATTAGCATTTAACTTATTGAAGCAGCGCGATCTAGATGAAAAGACCCCTTTGACGAACGACTGGAGATACGATGATTGCAAAGAAAAATGGCACATTTACAGACGGCTTATAATTAGTCTATCAGATGAAAGTAGGAAACTTACATTTGTCAATTGATAGAAGATAGTATCTAGTTCTGAAATCAGTAAAATATATTTTGTAATAGGTTCAATTAATACCAAGGCTTAAAAGTTCAAAATATTATTTATTTTTCTTGTTAAAATGTTTCCCTTTGTTTCCCCTTCATTTTAGTACTTTATTATATATATTTGATATTTATATCTGAATACCCCCCAATGATTATGAAACTCACACGTGCCCAGTGTGGTCTCGTTGGTCCAAGACAGCCTCTCCATCTATGAGTTCCTCACTTGGATTTTCTTGCGTGCTCCTCCATACGAGTATATGTACACTTTTTCATCATCATCTTCTTCAGTAACAATATGCGATTTAATTTTCATTTTCTTTTTCTTGCTTTTTGTTTTTGTCGCCTTGCTCGCATGGCGACGAAATAAAGTGCCGACTCATAATAATGTAAGCCACAGATGCCCGCGTTGTTTTTGTTGTTAATGGTGTTGTTTGTAGTTCGTTGTTTGTTGACTGACTTTTGTTGCGTCGCCCCGAAAAGTAGCAAGTGCACAGCCGCCCGCGACATTGTGCAAACAACTCTGGCGATTTTATACGATTTCTGTTGTCTTTTCGGCCCAGCTGTTTGTTTTCCATTTAAATCATTATGCCATTAAAACACAATCTCGGGCGGTGGCAAGTGAAGAGAAATGCCAAATTAAAATGTTTCGCTTTTGATTGGTCCCTGAGTGCTCATAATTTGCGTTGATTGAGATCCAAAATACACATTTTATTGCAGCTCGCCCAGTTCCGAAAGTACGAGCAGAAATATGGCTCGCGATGATAAATGCTCGAATTAAGGTTTAAAAACTTGTTCCAGCCGGACATGTAAATATGTGAACTCCAGTTTCGGTTCGGTTCGGTTCACTTTCAAGGTTGGCTGGGGCGTCAAGAACTTGCAGAAACCGTAACAGCAGCAGCAGTTGCAAGTTGCGTTGAAGGCAAACTGCAGTTTCGGTGTCTGTGACCACATTTGGGTGTGGGCCTCCAGATGACAAGTCGCGCTCCCATTTGAAAGGCCCCAGAAGTGCAAGGCACAAGCCACAGAATTGCGCAATTGCATAGTTGACTGACTCACCGCCTAGCTGCCAATTAACCGAGTGCTAAGCGGCTTAGCCAGCGGACAAAGGAGCCAAGCCGGAGTTCGAATCGAAATACGAAATACGAAAGACGAAAGACTTCCTTCTGCGCCACGGCCTTGGAGCTTGGGGAACTGGTACGACTGGGGGTTCTACAAAACTGAAACTGCGTACTCACGCACAGAACAGTTGCCGCGCTGCTAAAAATACACTCGCATCGACCTTGATGGCTTACATAATTAATTGCGAGCGGGCAACGGCATGCGGAAAATGTGCTGGATCGAAAGACTCAAGGCACGAACTTGACGGGCAGCGAAAGACTTGCGATTAGCACTTGCTGCAGCGGCGAAAAGGGCAGCTCTCCTCTCAGAAGAGACCGCCTTGTTTACCAATCCAACTAGTTGCCGAAAAAAAAAGCAAACAAACATTCCGAGCTGCGGATTAATAAATCAGCAAACAAGATAAATCATCTGCTGACCGTGTAAGAAGCTTTAATTATTAAATGCAGTTTAAACTTATCGCAGCCAAAGGCCAGCTAGATAATTAAATTTCGTACTCCTGTCCCTCCATCTATTGTATAGTATATACAGATGTTTCGGGTGAGTGTGGTTCTCGTTGTTGTCGAATGCGATCATCGCCAAAAAATCAGCATCACGTTCGGCATACAAAAAGATTTTATATACTTATTAGCCAGGCAACAGCAACAGCAACAGCAAAAACCCGAACATCGCCGGCGATGGAGAAAAGAACGAAATGCTATGCGTATATATTATACAATATAAAACAGTCTGTCAAGAGAAGCGAAACCCAGAAGAAAAAACCAGAACCCCATTGACGTAGGAACCCCAGAACTTAATCATATCGCTCCAAAATAGAAGATGAAGCGGACCCAACTGAATGTTGCTCTTGGGGTTTTGTGTTCGAGTCGAGAAGGGGTCAAGTCGTGCCCGGCAATGATATCTTTGTGATATTTGGCCATCGTTAACAGCCTGCCCCTGAGTCATGAATGAAAGTGGCGTGGATTCTAATTAGGCAAATGTTGGCCAATTCACAGAAATTCTAGGGGTCTCAAAAGGTGATTGAGCGTGTAAGAAAAACTAGATCTCTGATACGAAGAAACTTACAAGACTTCACCACTCCACTTAAAGTAACATAATACTTTTGCTTCTCCAGAACTTCCCCACAGAACTTACTCATAGATTTGGCGGAGCCACAAAATTGTCAAAATCTTTGGCTCGTGGGCGTGTCTACATGGTTTTACAGAACATTATTCGCCATAAATCTTGGCTTTTGCCAAAAAGAAAACCAGTTATAATTTCGAATTTCTTCTTCTGGCCAAAACGGATCTTCGAGACACAAAAGTGCGTGACATTTATCAGGTTTTATGGCCATTCTGTTTGTTAATTAAAGAACCAACGCCAACGCATTAGCAAATAGAAAGCCAAAGTCGGCGGCTTCAATGGCTTCGCTTGGGATCTCAATGTTTGTCGATTCTCGACGGGAAACTCACTCGATGGCCATTAAAGCACGGCCTGCAGTTCTGGGTAATTTGGAAGACATTTAAATTAGGGCACGAATTGGTAAATTCATTTGTAGACAATGCAGGGCATGTCGCGCCCTTAATTCGACCACGTTCAGAAATGTCACATTTTTGGTGGTCTAGGAATGGGATTGGAGGTGGGAATGGGAATCGGAATGGGAATGGGAATGGGAAGCTCGGCCAGACTCACTTTCATTGCCACTCGTCGGAGTATGTGACACACATTTATTGGTAAATCGCATTTGGCCCGCAATTAATGCCAATCACGTGGCTGACCGCCAATCCACCTGACAGTGGCTACCACTACTGGTTACTGGTTACTGTATACTGTATACTGTACACTGGATTTTGTCACAAAACGCTGACGGCAGTGCGGTGCATAAGCAAATCGGGCTGACTTTGAAGAAAAACCCCAAATGGCCAATTGAAATGCCAGCCAAGTTGGCCAGTTGGCCTGACCCGAACAAAAAAAAAAATGCAAAACCGAGTGTGTTCGACAAAGTGTTTAACAGCGAACAATTGTCAAGGCATCGCCAAAGTATCGCCGCTCAATTAGAGGCGGTGACATTGGTGATTCGATCGGTCCAAGGAGCTGGCCAGAAAAAAATATTCAAGTCCCCAAGAAACACCTATTGTTCCGTTCGTGGGCAGAGTTCAATGGCTTGCAGATTGATTGGACTGATTGCCTAATAATCTTTTCAGTGCGTGTCCCATGCGGCGCGGATTTAATTTCCACTGGCAGCTAGATCCAATCAAAGTCATTCGCACCCGCCGGTGGCGCGAGTTAATTGTCTCATTATTATCCATAATAATTTCGGAAAATGTTCTCCCGTTGCAGAGGAAACGAATCAAGCGAGCAGACGACGGACAAGATGATTTCTCGCCGCAAGATCATATCGCGTTCCCTGGACAATTTGGACGCCATCGGGCAAGAGGAGCAGGAGGAAGACGTCTGGCACGATCGCGAGAAGCTCTTCAGGGTGGGTTTACCTATACTATATTTTACTCGAACTAAAGTTTATTCTAATTGCTATATACTTACTTCCTGCAGGATCACATCAACGAGGTTCTGTCCAAGTGGGAGCAGATCGATGACGAGATCTGGGCCAAGATAATCGTCTTTGAGAAGAACCGTCGCGTGGCTAAGGCCTACGCCCGCTCCTCTGTGATAACCATAAACGGCTCAAAAAACGGATTCGATGGAGTACGGTAAGTCAAAATTTATAGTCCTATATAAGTAGAGTAACTCATATTTGTTGAGGTGACCAAAAAAAAGAGATGTAGAAGCAAAAAGTATTATAAAAATCGGTTTTATGACTGCAGCAATCTAACGTAAAAACCAGCTTTAAAAATCTTCTTAAATTTGAAAATAGTTGTTATCTGTTGTTATTATTCTAACGACTCTGCTTCCAATGATTTAACAACCTTATGTAAACCCAGTTTAACACATATTTATTGACTACTTCCGTAATCCACAGCATTGGCCTGAATGGCTTCGACAATCCCATGCGCGACTCGGAGACGAAGGTGATCAAGAAGTCCATTGGCGATGGTTTCAAGATCAAAATGGACGACATCGGCAACATATTCATCAAGCGGTACGGCAAGAGCAGCATCTACGTGAACAGCACCTCGCAGGGCAACGAGGAGACAGTGATCGGCGGGGACATAATCCAGATGCCCCAAATGTCGCTCACCTCGGGAACATCCGCTCGACTCTTCGACATGAAGAAGTTCCAGACGAACATAAACCGGGAGTTCGCGCGCACCTATCCGGAAAGGGCCAGGTTGGAGCGGCAGTGCCTCTCGGCCGTGTCGCTGGTTAAGTCGAACAACAATCTGATCAACTCCCCCGTCTGGATACTCGTTGTCAACGTAGTGGCCATGGACATGCTGAGGAGTCGCCTCCAGTCCATTCCCAAGTCCCTGGACGCGATGGGCATGCGCGTCCCGCTGGCGAACGGCAGCGAGGATCCCTACTCGACCATCGAGAGCCAGGTGGGACTGATCTACCCGACGCCTGCCGCCTCCGATGATTCGCAGAACTCCCAGAACTCTCAGCACTCGAGCAACTCCAGCAAGGGACGGCGCAGCATCTTCAGTGCCGCCTTCCTCAACGAGGGTCCCTATGTGCCCAAGGTGGGTTTGCCTCTAATATTGTATAATGTTAATCATTTATAAATATCATGATTTTATTCATAACAGCCTGACTACGATGGTGGCTCCTTAACTCCGATCTACGCGGACAAGAAGCGGCAGAAGAGCAGCGGCGGTCAGCAGCGGAAGAAGCAGGACGACCCGTACTACTGCGGTCTGCTGGCGCGGATCCCGAACTTCATCAAGTCCTCGAAGCAGCCGTGTCCCGGCAGCGCCAGCAAGCCCAAGAAGGAGCCGAAGATCTCGCGGAAGATCTCGGCGCAGCACCAGCACCAGCAGTTCCTGCAGCCGGCGCAGCCCATTCCCATCGCCACCTTCCACCACTCGTACTTCCCCTACAAGCTGTATCCCCCGCAGCACCGTCTCTCGCAGTCGCAGATGTCCCTCTGGGACGCACGTAGTCTGATCAGCGCACATGGTAGGTCATCTCATAAAGCAACTAGCTGAAATCCAAACTAATTAGTACGTTTTCCCTTTCAGAATGATCATCCTGGCTGGTCCTAATTTATTCATCGTCTAGCATTAATTCTACAATTATTTAGTCAAAGCCTACGATTTAGTTTTGGTCAGTGGATCAGTGGATCATTGGAGTGCATTTCGCTCAGTTTTGTGATAAATGCAGCGAAATGCAGCCATTTAGCGTAACGCACTTAATACGCACTAACTCTAATTAACCGCAGTTAACTTTAAGGCAAGCAGAGAGATTTAATGATTATGCAATTTGTAATGAGTAATTAAAATTTTGCCATAGTTTCTTAAATCGTTTAAGACTGAGAGAATGTCCTAGAGCCCACGAAAAGCGCACGAAGAGATTGCCGGAGAGTCCAGAAGGGGGACAGAAAATGTCATAGGCAAGTTAATTGCTACTTTAGGCGAGTTCGATTTATTGTTTTCTTATTATTTTTGCTGTACATACACTTCATATGTAAATAAGTTCGAATTAAAAACATGTAAACGATATTAGTACGCATTAAAAGAAAGATCTAAGAGTCAGTATTTGTGTTTTATTTTGAAACGGATGCTATAACCTTGCTTTCGAGCAACATTCTGATGACTTCAATCCTCGTACGATCACTACTAGAATCGACTTTATCCCAATGACTTGTGGTGTATAGAGTTAACCGTTTATTAACCGCTGTATTTCAAATTCTAATATGTACTAAAACTTCGATAATCGGATGTGTCTTATCGATTTATTAGATCGATAGGTGATCCGTAATGTTTTCGAATTGGCCACACTCGGAGCTGCCAAATTAGCTTTTTTACATCTAGATTTTGGATGTTTTGAATTTCAAAATAAATGATATCTCTTTATATCAACAAACGAAACACTTAATTTGATGGCATTTAACCAATTAAGTTTTTATGATTTTACTTGCTATACAAAATTTGTTAACATTATAAAAAGTGTTAACAGATTTTTAGCTATTGTAGCGACTGATCTGCCTGTTCTTCCTAATGAAAATTTCCCAACACTGGTCTCACACTAACCTTGCTCTGCATATTTGTTGGCTGGTTTGGTTTTGATTTTCAATTGGCGCGTCGTTTTTAGAATTCTGTGCAATAAAAAGCGGAAGAGTGCGGAGCACCTAGACCGTGACCATGGACAAGTTCCTGCTGCGCAATCCCACGTGGAAAACGAAGACTTACGGGGGGATAGTGGCCAGTTCCTCCACATCCGCCACGGCCGCCAAGAAAACCGTGGCGTCTCCGATCCGCCGACCGTTGCACGATTCAAATACGGTGGACTCCAGGCCGAAGCCGAACACCCAGCCAATTAAATCTCAAGCTTTGGCAGGTTGGCTGTGATTTCCAGTTTTACAGATCTAACACACCCAGTAGTTTTATTCCGGATAAGTAGCTAACCCAAAATTTACAGTAGTCAAAAACAGTACAAAAATATAAGATATCACCATGTGGAAAAGCGATCCGAACTTTGCTAACAAGCTGCGTTTACTTTTGCTAGACGACCAGCTGACTACGGAACGGCTGGCCGCTTCCAAGGCGATCCTTCAGCACCGCACGGAGTTCCAAAATGACCAAAACAAGCAGGAAGTGACGGCAGGATCCGGAGTTGCTCCTTCGGGCGGTGCAGCCACGCCCACCAGACACGATGGTCAGTGGGCGCGATTGCAGCAAGATCTCAACAGTCCCAATGCTGCGCTTCGTCTGCGCGCCATTCGTGCCTTAAAGTAGGTGGAAATTTTTTAATTCTAAACAGAATTTATAAATCAATAGCTAAGTCTCGAATAACATTACAAAACTTTCTTAAAGGAGTCCCACAAAATCGGCGTATAACACCTTTGATGTGCCTCTTGCCGAACAGAGCATTATTACTATGGAGGATCGCAATCCCAAGGAGCCACCCACTCTGCCTGAGTTGCTCAAGGACATAGTTGTTTACGTCGAGGTGCGAACAGGGAACGACAATCGCTCGGAGGGCGTAAAAACAATCATTGCCAAGATGGGAGCCCAGGTCAATAATCGTCTAACGCGGTAAGAACGGCTTACAGCTGTTTTTTTAAGAAATTCCTTTTTAAAAACTTTTTGTTTTGGCTTGTAGCACCACCACACACGTAGTCTTCAAGGATGGCCTGCTTTCAACGTATAAAAAAGCCACCGAGTGGAACATTCCAGTAGTCTCTATTTTGTGGATTGAAGCCTGCAAGGTGCAGCGCAAAATATGTGATCCGAGCCAGTTTCCCATCAGCAACATACGCATGTACGAGTATCCAGAGCTCTTTGGCAAGATGCCGGTAAGTGGTTATTTTTTTAATTGGGGATACATTTTCAAAAGGGTTTCTATATACTAAGAATTTTAATTATGTATATTCCGACTGATTTCTGGTTTGTTGAATTGTTTTCCAGAATCTAAAGTTGACTATAATTTGTGGGACAAAATCGACAAAAGCGTAAGATTTTGTCTTATCAAAACTTCTTGCACATTTTTATCGTTCAAATTTGCTAGGGCCAACAATGTTTTCAAAGCTTTATCAGCTCCATGTCCATAACATGGTTCAGACGAAGTCATCAACTCCACTTGAGATACGGGTTGAAACAAGCTGATGCTAACTAACTTTTTTCGCAAGGGAGGAAAGCCTTTAATTAGTCTAATCGATGGCATTATCAATTTATGGCTTTCCGGGCACAGAAGCATTAACTCTACTTGAGATATGCCCCCAACTAATGGGTCATTGAGGGCCCAGTGTTTATTATTTTATGGTGGGCATAAACAACTTAATGAAGAGGTATGGAAATTCTACAACAGATAACTTACAAGGGGTCTTATCGACCACTTCGGCTGATGACCACGATCGCAGTGGGTGGACTACGGCCCGCGGCACTTGTGCGAGTACTCACTCGTACATATCTGAAATGATTAGTTAATCCAGAAAATGGCGGGCACAAACGCAGGGCCGCGGGCCGTCTGAAATTGCACGTATCTCAAACACGGAATACGCGCAATATTGGGAACTCTTTTGTATGTCAGACAGATTCTTATCACTTATCACTGGCTGACAGCGAGTCAACCAGTTGTGTTGTTGCCTCTCCGGGTTATCTAATTGAATTTACTTGCTTTTATCAGCTATCGTAGGGCCCCGGCGAAGGCCAGGAAGTTGTCCGGGCGACGCAAGCTGTAAATGTTTCTGTCCAGAAAAGCAAAGCAAGGCGTTGTCGAGAGATGCTGATTTTAAATGCGCTTCGTTTTATTGCTTAAACATTAGACAGTTTAAAAAGACACAAGTCACTGGACGCCGGTGACAACTTAAAACCTAATTCACATGCACGTTTGTTTACAATCTTTCCGCGAACGATTGATTTACATAACTCGCTGGGAATGCAGCAGTACATTGCACAGATACACAATTGCACGGATGCCACCGTGGCATTGCCCGTTGTCAAGCTTCTTTCTAAAAACTTACACTCTACGCTACATTATTAGATTCTCGTTTGGGGCTGGTTCTGAGATTTGTACAAAGCCCGCTTCTATTATTTACAAGCCAGCAGAAGGTTTCGTTCGTTAAGTACTGTGGAATCTTTGAGTTAACACTAGCTTATGGGTTCTGCGAGGCGGGCGAAGGCAAGCCGGTGGGTCCTCAGGACAGCGCCACCTCCAGGCACATCATTATCAGGAATCCGGAGATAGTGCCCCACGTGGCAATTGTACCATTTCCGCTGGCATGCGCCTCGGGCAGGATGTCGTCCGACACGATGTAGATCATGGCTCCGGCCGCAAAGGACAGGGCGTAGGGCAGGATCAGGTTGGCAAAAGTCACGGCCACTGCGCCCAGCACGCCAAAGATGGGCTCCACCATTCCGGACAGCTGTCCGTACCAAAGAGCCCTCTTCACGCTGAATCCTGCGGCATGTAGTGGCAAGCTAACGGCCAGTCCCTCGGGGAAATTCTGAATGCCAATTCCAATGGCCAGATTGCGGGCACTTTCGAAAGTCGAGGAGTTTGTAGAGCCAATGGCGCCGAAGCTCACACCTACGGCCAGTCCTTCGGGAATGTTGTGGACCGTGATGGCCACCACCAGGAGCATGATCCTCTTCCACTGAGAAAGGGCCTCGGCCGCTCGCTGCTGCTCCTCGGGCGTCGTGTAGGTGCACTGCTCCATCTCGTTGATGCTGCCGCCCTTCTTCCTCCGCCGCGACTCCCCGCTGTGCTGCACGCTCAAGCAGTCCGAGAAGCTGTCCAGGCTCTTGGCGGCCAGCCTGTCGGAGGCCCCACCGTTCCTCTTCGAGTCCTCGATCGCTATGTCTGCCTTGTCCTTGCTCGACTGCGTCATTTGGATCATCATGTTGGTGCTGTTAAGGCCCAGGTAGGACATCAGTTTGTCGCAGCCGTAGACGAAGATCGAGCCCAGCAGGAAGCCCCCCGAAACGGGCAGGAAGGCGTAGACTCCGTATAAATGAGAGCTCTCAGCCATTTCAATGGCCGGCTTGAGCAGGGACCAGAAGGAGGCTGCAATCATCACACCGGCTGCGAATCCCAGGGCGGCGTCCAGTGACCTCCGCTGGTTGCCCCGGACGATAATCACCAGGGCGGCTCCGGCGGCCGTGAGTCCCCAGGTTAGCAGGGTGCCCAACAGAGCCTGGGTCACTGGTCCATAGCCGGGAATCATGTTGAAGGCTCAATCTTCTCCGTGCTCGTCACCGGCTGGTATTGCGTTCCAAAGATTTATTCGCGTGTGCACAGAAAACAAGTTTCTTAATTGCTGGCTCGATTGTTTACCCGCAGCTGGAAATATGCCACGTTCTTGGGCACTGATTGTAGGTAAACAAAAACCAAACTTTCAATGGAATATTCAGTTTTGTTTCAAGGGAATCTCGGGAACACTTGTTGCTTATCGTTCTTTTTGTGGAATGTTTCCGGGCTTCGGTGCGCAGGGGGAGTTTTGGGGAGACGCGTAATACTGTCGGGTTAATTTAAAAGTCTACTAGATCTACTGGGGCGCGTCGGAAAGTGATGAATGAGCCGCTGACTGAGCTGACAGCCCCAGAAAAAGCAATTTTTATAGGGCCGCTGGCTTCGAGCCCCTCCTATCGATAGTTGTATCGCTGGCGCTTATCGATTACAGGTAAGTGCTAGCGACGGCACTCGCAAAAGCGATACCTTCAAGCCCGCCTCCTTTCGAATGTTTTTGCCAAATAAGAAAACAGATATTGAATGTTAATATAAAAATAATAAAACTAAAGCTTGTATTATTCAGCAAATTCTATCGATAAAACTTTATTAAAACCATTCCACCTGGCAGCCATCGTACACGAGATAAGAAAGTTTTTTATTTAAACAACGGGCCAGATATCACGTAGTTATAAACAAATAAAACAGTGTTTTCTAGTCAACATGACTGACAGAGTCGGGCAAAAAGTCGGCAGCATCCGCAGCATCAACAATAACGCCAAAGGGCATGCACTGCCGCTCTCCAACATAAAACTTAAGCCGACTCTTATTTATTTAGTATGCTATCCCTTTGCAGCGCGTTAAGTTTATGCAGCCGGATTCGGAGTTGAATCAGCGACCTAAGAAACGCCAAGCAACCCCCACATCCTCCAGGGAAAATGAGCAAGGATCGGCCAGTAAGCGAGCACTACCAGGAACTCCAACAACAACGCCAAAGGTAATTAAACGAATTTATTTAAATATTTTTTTTTTATAAGTTTAATAAGATTATATAAAAATGCATTCAATATTTGAAGGGTATACAATATATAATTTTTCAATCAAGTTAAAAACTATTATACATCTATATGTTAGGCCTTGCAAATGTTTTAACCTATTGTTGTTAATATTCTTGCAGAATGACATCAGCCGCTTTTTTAGGGCCCTTAACCACAACAAAGTTTCGGATGATGAGGTGATCGAATCTCCAGCCACCAAACTTCTGAACAGGTGAGTTTTAAAATAAACCATTTAATTCTGTGATTGCCAACTAAATAAAAAACTTCAATTACACAGAATAAGCAGTGGCTGCTACACTCCTCTGGCCCCAGTGTCTGCTTCTTATCCACATGGGCCTAATGGCAGTGGAGATACCAATGTGGGCGAAAAAGTACAAGCCCAGAAGAGTCTCCAATTCGCTGAGAAGCCGAGCAACTATACCCCTCAATCAATCACTCCACGACCACGCCGGAGCACAGTGGAACCTCCTCCGGTAATGACGCCGCCAGTGCGCACTAGTCGCCGACGCAGCTGCGTGGCCGAAATCAGCACTCCTACCGCAACGGAACCGAGAATGACTCGCCGCCGGAGCTCGCTCCACATTGGCGTTGTCACCTCATCATTACAGGAAGCTGGGCCGGCAGTTTTAGAGCCCAGAATGACTCGCCGCCGGAGCTCTTTGCTTGCTGCTGCTAAACAGCCAGAGGAAACCGCTCACAAGCAAACCATTCAAACAATAACCGAGGAGCTGGCTCCGATCAAAGAGGTCAGAAATTCGGTAGTAATGACCGAGAACAAGATAGCCAACCAAACAGACTGCTTAGAGCAGTCGATAGAGATCTCCGCAGTGGAGAAGGAAGCTACCTACAAAGCGGTCAGGCGCGGCACTCTCTACACCTCCGAATTGATGGACATAAGTCCTGCTCGGCGGTGCAGCGTATCGACGTCCAGTTCGGAACTGCAGGAAGACAACATGTCGCTAGCCCGACAATCGCTTAACAACGTTACCACGCAGACATCCAAGTTCAGCATCGAGGAGCCACTGACGCCGATCTTTAGCTCCACGCGTCTGCCCAGCGGTCAGTCCACCGGGAATCGTCGGCGTACTATCTTCAACCTGGACATGGAGGTGATCAACGAGAGCATCGAAAGAATTAACCAGTCGCATCGCAGATCACTTGCCTTGGCCAATGAGGCGGAACTGGGCGAGTGTCGCCAAGTGAAGGATCTAGAAGAGCAAAAGTCGGAGGATACGCCATCGCAGGAGCCCAAGAGGCGACGCCTTTTTAATCCAAACGACGAGGTAGTCATATCACCACCAAAAAGTAGTAGAAAGAATCGTCTGAGCATGACAAGCTCCTCGGGATCCGTCCAGAAACGACGGCGGTCGCTAGCGACTCCAGCAAGAAGCTCCTCTTCGGAACTGTGGGTCCCTGCTCCCGTTACTAAAACCGTTGCAGAAGCACCGAAAGACGCATCCGACGACAATACTGAGACTCCGGAAGCAGCTGCGAACAGCGTAGTTGAACAAGAAGATTCCATATCAACCATAGAGGAAGAAGCCGACAAGAAAAAGGGAAGGCCACGTACAAAGGTTCGCACTTTGGTGCACACTAACATGCGCCACGAGCAGATCCAGGTCATCCACAAGGGTTGGTAGCACGACGGAATGACCAGTTACGACCGCCGACTTCACCCTCTGATTGTAACATTCGTAGTCTGAGTGGGAACTGCAGTTCTCCAACTCCACTAATTAGTAATTAAACCGTAATAGTTTGTAAATTAGCATATTCGCAACTCTTTGATGGCCCATATTAATTATTGATTAAGCATAAACAACACTCGGTAGATTGGTAGAAAAGTTTCTCATTTGTAAAGCCTCCCGCACTGTTGAATAAATAATATCCGTGGCGGTAATAAATCCTAATCGAAAACCGCCTTCAATCGCAGGCCCTGCGCAAAGTGCGCGGCATGCGGCTGGATCCGACCGTGACCCAGCGCACCACCCACCTGGTAAGCCTAGAGCCTCGCCGCACCCTCAACCTCCTGCGCGGCCTTATGCGTGGCGTGTGGATCGTCAGCTACCAGTGGATTTTGGCATCGATTCGTGCCGGAAAATGGGTCGACGAGGAGCCCTACGAAATGACCCGCTTCTCGCGGGCCATCGAGGTGAGTTATTCGCTCTTACCAGATACACCTGTATATTAATCTGTTGTTCTCCAGATTTGCCGCGCTGAACGGCAGGCCTTTGGAGTCCACTACAAGTGCGAGTTGTTCCGCTTTATGGAGACCTTCTATGTATCGTCACTCTGCAAACCCGTGCAGTTCAACAACATGAAGGAGCTGCTCCTGCTGGGCGGAGCCACCCTGACCGAGAACCGCTTTAAGGCTAAGTACATAATAGGGGACAAGCGGCGCGTGGAGGACGATCGCATCTATCTGGATCCATACTGGGTCCTGGACAGCATCACGAACATGCAGATACAGAAGTTCGGCAAATACTTGATGAAGAGCGCCATTGTCACGCCGGAGGGGATCAGGTACGAGGATCCCAAGGAGCGCAAAGAATCCACGAAGACACATTCACATAGACGAAATCACGACTTCGTTGATCCACCGTTGGTCCTGGAAAAGTAGTGATCAATGGCTGCAAACCACTTTTTTGATGTTACAAAATTTATATTTTAGCTAAATCACACCAAAAAACATTTTCACCGCTGTTTCAATTATTTTCGTGAAAAACGTTAATACGCATATGTAAATATAGTATATTTATTACTGATTTGATTATTTGTAGGGTTCTTTTTTAGAAGCATTTTTATGCAATTTACAAATTTTAAAGAAAAAGTATTTAATAAACATAGGAAACAATACAAAATGTTATTCATGGGTACTTAGACAAAATTGTAAGGGGCTTTTTAAAGCGAATAAAAAAATTTGTAACCCAATAAGAAATTGTTTACTGACTATGGATGAATGAAAATATTTTGATTTCGGTAGGTGAATTCCTGTTTGGAAAATCCAAACACTCAATGAAAATCAAATAACACCAACCCCAATTAAACTCTTTGTGTTCTTCAGTGGCAAATGCTCGCTTTATTCAAACGATTGAGGTATTTGTTGTCGGTTTAGTTGTTGTACTCTTCAACTAGCTCTTGTTTTGTACTTTGTGGCAACGATGTTAAGTTGAACTTGGACTTGTGTTGATCAACCAAATCAAGGCGCTGAAAATCAAAAGGCAACAACCAAAAAGAAGGTGCTTAAATGCATGGATGGCAAAAACGAAATAAATACGAAAATAGGGTTTTTATTTTTTGTAAATAAAGTTATCGCTTCTATTCTGGTTCTTTTCCATGTGTACAAAGTAGTGTGTGCAAAAGTAGGGTAAGATAAATGATACATATCAAAGTAAAAGGATTAATTTAAACGATATATAAATGCTACAGAGGATATCTATATATGATATCATAACGAAGTCAACTCTTTATCATATCATATGTAGTAAACTAAAGATCGACAGGGGGATGGAGGAGGAGTGGATGCATAAATGCATGTGTTTTTCCCAGTGTGCACTCATCCTAGGGATCCATCGTTTCCCATTTTAGGCGCCCTCGACGGCATTTAGCATTCGTATCCGTCGAAACTCCTTTCGATGGAAGAAATTAAACTTTTGCTTCTGCTGGAACATCATCTTATCGGTCATCTTGCGCAGGACAGGTGTTGTTGCTAGACTACTATTGTGCTTGCTGTTGCTGGTATTGTTGAGTGGTGTTGTTGGCTGCATATTGATGTTGGTTACTTGCTTGCTGCTGCTGCTTGTTGTTGTTGCTTTTGAGTTAGTGCAAACCAGCTACTTCTTGCCCTTGGTGGCCTTCTCGGCGGCCTTGGTGACCTTGCCACCGGAAGCGTCCTTGAAGTTGACAGCCTTGATGACACCGACAGCCACGGTCTGCCTCATGTCACGCACAGCGAAACGACCCAGAGGAGGGAACTCCTGGAAGGCCTCCACGCACAGAGGCTTGGAGGGCACCAGGTTGACGATGGCAGCATCGCCAGACTTGATGAACTTGGGGTTCTCCTCGGTGGTCTTGCCGGAACGACGGTCGACCTTCTCCTTGATCTCAGCGAACTTGCAAGCAATGTGAGCGGTGTGGCAATCCAGCACGGGGGTGTAGCCGTTGGCGATCTGACCAGGGTGGTTCAGCACGATGACCTGGGCGGTGAAGTCGGCGGCGCCCTTGGGGGGGTTCGACTTGGAGTCACCGGCGACGTAGCCACGACGCAGCTCCTTCACGGACACGTTCTTGACGTTGAAGCCAACGTTGTCTCCGGGAACGGCCTCCTGCAGGGCCTCGTGGTGCATCTCCACGGACTTGACCTCAGTGGTGATGTTGGCCGGGGCGAAGACCACAACGGTACCGGGCTTCAGGACACCAGTCTCCACACGGCCCACGGGTACTGTTCCAATACCGCCGATTTTGTACACATCCTGCAGGGGCAGACGCAGGGCCTTGTCGGTGGGACGGGCTGGGGGCAGGATAGCGTCGAGGGCATCGATCAGGGTCTTGCCGTCGGCGTTGCCCTCCTTGCGCTCCACCTTCCATCCCTTGAACCAGTTCATGTTGGTAGAGGGTTCCAACATGTTGTCGCCGTGCCAGCCAGAAATGGGCACGAAGGCCACGGCAGCTGGGTTGTAACCGATCTTCTTGATGTATGAGGACACCTCCTTCTTGATTTCCTCATAACGGGCCTCGCTGTATGGGGGCTCGGACGAGTCCATCTTGTTGACACCAACGATCAGCTGCTTCACACCCAGGGTGAAGGCGAGCAGGGCGTGCTCGCGGGTCTGGCCGTTCTTCGAGATACCGGCCTCGAACTCACCAGTTCCGGCGGCCACAATCAGCACGGCGCAATCGGCCTGCGAGGTACCAGTGATCATGTTCTTGATGAAATCCCTGTGTCCGGGGGCATCAATGATGGTCACGTAGTACTTGGCAGTCTCGAACTTCCACAGGGCGATATCAATGGTGATACCACGCTCGCGCTCGGCCTTCAACTTATCCAAAACCCATGCGTACTTGAAGGAGCCCTTGCCCATCTCCTGGGCCTCCTTCTCGAACTTCTCGATGGTACGCTTGTCGATACCTCCGCACTTGTAGATCAAGTGACCGGTGGTGGTGGACTTGCCGGAATCGACGTGTCCAATCACGACAATGTTAATGTGAATCTTTTCCTTGCCCATGTTGGATGATTACACGATGGCTGCACAGTTGTGTGTGGTGGTTTGTTCGAGTGTTGGAATGTTGGAGGGTTGCGGGTTTCGGTAGGTTGGCGAGCAAGAAAGGTTGGAATAAACAAAGGGAAAACAATTCGTTAGCATTCGGTGGGATAACAAGTTTATATAAACTACTATTAGAGGGTACATTCCCTATTCGTACTTTCGACTTCTGTTTGCATGCCCGAACTTAACCTAACCTCAAAATTCTACTGGTGTGCAAAACGTGTTTTTTGAGGTTAGGTTGGGGGCCGCATGTATGGGTGAGGGTAAAAGAGAGAGGAAGCAACTAATTGTTGGACTACAAAAACGTGCAAAAGTAAAAAGCCTAATGGAAACTCGATTTTATCAGTGATTTTGGTATTTATGCTTTCGTCAAATGTCTTCAGTAGCAGAACTGAAAAATCATCATCATGTTAAATCGAGAGTCCAAAGGAAAATTCCAGCAAATTTTATTCGCAAATACACATGTGCTTATCTGCTGCGCGTGTATTCGTCAGTGTATGTGCGTGGTGTGACGCTGTTGCCGGCCGGAGGAAAAGAAAGAGAGGAGACAGAGAGAGCGAGAAAAATGGCGGATGGGCTTGTGTACGTGTGACTTACACAAATGCAGGCGATCTCGCCGCGGTGGCACAATTTGGATTTGGAAGAGAGAGGGGGCGAAAAATGAATTAATGAAGAATTTAAAGTGCAGCGGTAGCCATTTTTGACTCAGGCCAATTTGCGAATCGCCTAAGAATGACGAAGGTCTGGTGGGTGTAATTTCACAAGATATGCCAATAGGCTGGAGAGCCGAAAAACCACATTTTCGCGTGTTGCTAGGAAGGTTTTTTTTTTTAGGCCCACTTGACTCACACTACCAGGCAACGTGGTCGGCCATTTTGAAATTCTATGCCACATACAGAGGAAAAAAATCTATAGGCGAACTCAGAAAACCACGTTTTTTCACGTGCAAATTAGCACATCTGGTGGATGACCTCTGTAGGACGTGGGCGTGGCAAGTTAATTACACACCAATTACACCATATTGCATGGCGAAAGGCGGCTAAACAAGCCGGAAAATGACTAAGCAAGTGTAATGTATTGAAGCAGCCACACGAGCTGGATTTTTCGCCTTTGCAGACTGCCACGTGTTTGCTTTTCAACAGCCACCTTTCACTTTACAAACTCCTCGTTAGAAGTTGGACACACACACACACAGAAACACCACGAAATACGCTAAAATTCGGCGTCTAAACTGCATATTTGTTTATTAATTGTTTACTGACTGCAGTGCGGCTGCATAATTCACTTTTATAAAGTCACATTGGAAAACTTACTCTCGAACAAGCTGAGTGGGAAATCACGAAGTCGAAGCGGCGACGGATTCGAAAAAAGTGAACGAGTGTTCGGCGGCGCTCAGCGCAGGAAGCCTCGTTTGACGCGCGGTATGACCATACTGTGCGGCTGTCAGACAGTCGATACTATCGCGTCAGGCCGTGTTTCCACTGCAGCGCTTCCGCTTTTCGCAACCGAGGATGAACATATTACAAAAATAACTCTTTTACTTTTATTTTTATGCTATACAGCCGCAAGCCTCCACGCCAACTGTTACAAAAACTAAAGTAATTGGATAAAATGTTTAATGCAAGAGTTTTTGTTTTCAAAGGAAACAAGATGTTTTTCTCATTAAGTTTCTGAGGTTGCTTTTGTTGGGTTATTATTTTTTTCAATTACTTATTAGCACCTTTATTTAATAAATTTTTGATTGCTTGTTTGATTTTGAAAATGACAATTTTTTTTAATACATTTTTAAATACTATTGTAATTTTAAAAATTTAATCAATCCACTTACCATTTGAATTCTCTCTGGAGCATATGTGAGGTATTATTTTGCCTTTTATATTAATAGTCTTTAGAAGCTTTTAAAAGTTTAAGCTAATTGCGAAATTAGTTTCATTACTGATAATATAAATATTACAATACAGATAAGATTCATATTTCAATGCAGTTTGTATCTATTTTAAGCTCCTTAAAATTACAATTGTTTGTGAAATACAATCATATTAAAATTTATTATGCATTTGGTTAACTTAGGTAAAAGAAATTCAGATAGGAAGTATTCTTAAAACAAGAATTAAAAAACATTTTTAAATATTAATGATATTAATTTTATTAAAAATCTTTCTTAACTGTTAATGACTAATTAAAACATAAGAATTTCCACCCATACCACGGCATTCTGCGGCGAAGCACAATAGAAAGTAACGTGGCGAAAATATGGAAAAACGAATTCAACCCGGGGTTGCAACCCATGTTTTGTTGGTAAAAGAAGAGGTTTTGGACGGCGCAACTGGATTTTTTAGGGAATTCGGACTGGCGACGGCGGATTCAGAAGCGACGTGGCGAAGAAAGGCGAAAAGAAACCCCAATCGTTGAAAAAAATTGAACCGGTCCGGTCCCCCCAGTTTTGTTGTAGTAGCCAGGCGGTTGACGGCCGACTCGAATTCGAATCACTTTCGTGGAAATATCGTTCTACACAAAACTGATCACTATGTGGCGACTTGCTGGAGTCCTTCTCCTCGGATTAATCGCCATTTCCTCCGGATCAGAGCAGGATGTTCTGGATTTGGGCGACGACGACTTTGCTTCCACCCTGAAGCAGCATGAAACTACGCTGGTCATGTTCTACGCCCCCTGGTGAGTGAGGGGCGTGGCTGGGGGTCATTCTACACACTTTATTTGTTGCATTGCGTGTGCAGTTCGTGCCAAATCAGCTTGTTGCGTCTGCCATTTAATTCGATTCCCTTAAATCCCCGGCATTTCGATTCGGAACCGTAAAGTACACGTCAGCGTTTGCCGGCAAAAAAAAGAGACGAAAGAACGGAAAAAAGCACAAAGATGACTTGAAAGTATTGGTGTTGTCGGCCATTTTAAGCGCGGGGTGCCAAGTCGGTACATTTTACATCAATTGCTTTGTCTGTTTGTGACTCATTAACCATTGGATAATGATAGTTGGTAGATAATTCCCTCTAGTTACTGCTCTGTATTTTGCCCAAGCTTTTATTATACCTACATCAGTTGCTAGTGCCATCGCTACAAAATTACCAATTCAATATCACAAAGAAATATTTTTCATATGTGGCTTATTTATTTCTAGATATTGACAAAAAATTCTTATAGAGTATGGTAAAATTTCAATCCACTGTTACATATGCAAATTTAATTTTAACTAATTTTATTTTAGTAAACACATGCTAAATTAGTTTAATACAAATTTTAATACAATTTTTAAGTGAACCAAAACTCTTTTCTCTAGATCTAAACCTTGTTACGTTTTATTTATATTTACTTACTTAAAGGAAATATGTTTTTATTGTCAGTGGAAAACTATAAACTCACACTTGAGCAATGAACTTGCTGGGTAAATAATTTGCTTTTTTTTGCCGGCCGGCGTGCTAGCGCTCGAAATCCCCAAATAGAGCTGTTGAACTACTTCTGCATGAAATTATAATCCCCACACCATAAAGCCTTATCAGAACTCGAACATAAAGTGTACAGAGAACAAAAATACCATTAAATACTTTAGCTATTTGTGAATATGCTGAGACTTATTAAATTTCCGGAAAATGTTTTATTTAATCAGCATAGAAACATTTTTTGGGTGTGCGCTTAATAGGCACTTGTTCTTAAATTTGGAGGGTGCGATAAGGCTCTTGATAAGCCCGCACCCTAACTTTAATTACAAGCTAGTTTTTCGGAAACTTGTCTTTCCGTTGTCTTGATAACAGATGATGAATCGGAAAGTGTTGATTCCAAAACGACGTAGTGACGTGTCCTAATGGAGTTGTTCTTATTTTTGAAGGTGCGGCCACTGCAAGCGGTTGAAGCCCGAGTACGCCAAGGCGGCAGAGCTCGTTAAGGATGACGATCCACCAATCAAGCTGGCCAAGGTTGACTGCACGGAGGCTGGCAAGGAGACTTGCAGCAAGTACTCCGTCAGCGGCTACCCCACGCTGAAGATCTTCCGTCAGGACGAGGTGTCGCAGGACTACAATGGACCGCGCGAAGCCAATGGAATCGCCAAGTACATGCGCGCCCAGGTGGGACCCGCCTCCAAGAACGTCCGCACCGTCGCCGAGCTGACCAAGTTCCTGGACACCAAGGACACCACCGTGTTCGGCTACTTCAGCGACATTGACTCCAAGCTGGCCAAGGTCTTCCTGAAGTTCGCCGACAAGAACCGCGAGAAGTACCGCTTCGGACACTCCAGCGAACAGGAAGTCCTCGACAAGCAGGGCGAAACGTAAGTGGGAGGATGATTTCAAGACTGATCTTTCGTATTTATATACTTCCAAGACTGCCCTTTCCTTATATATATATTTTAATATGTTAATAAATAGCTTTGAGATATTGTTAATTTGTCCAAGCAAAGCTTATGTGGGGTGCTTCTTTACTTGTTCTTCAAAGAATAAGTTTTATTCAAATTCTAAAGATAACTTGAAAGTAATTGAGACACTTTGCATTTAATCTTTTTTCTTCGCAGCGATAAGATTGTGTTAATTCGTGCCCCTCATTTGAGCAACAAGTTCGAGTCTTCCACCATCAAGTTCGAAGGCACCTCTGAATCCGATCTGACCACCTTCGTTAAGGAGAACTTGTAAGTAGTCTTTAGCCTTACTTATAATATATATATAACTTAAATCATGATTCTGCTCTGCAGCCATGGTCTGGTGGGTCACCGCACCCAGGATTCGGTCAAGGACTTCCAGAACCCCTTGATTACTGCCTACTTCAGCGTGGACTACCAGAAGAACCCCAAGGGAACCAACTACTGGCGCAACCGTGTGCTCAAGGTGGCCAAGGAGTTTGTGGGCCAGATCAACTTTGCGATCGCCTCCAAGGACGATTTCCAGCACGAGTTGAACGAGTACGGCTACGATTTCGTTGGCGACAAGCCAGTGGTCCTGGCCCGCGATGAAAAGAATCTCAAGTACGCCCTGAAGGAGGAGTTCTCTGTGGAGAACCTGCAGGACTTTGTGGAGAAGTTGCTGGGCAACGAGCTGGAGCCCTACATCAAGAGCGAGCCCATTCCCGAGTCGAATGACGCCCCTGTCAAGGTGGCCGTGGCCAAGAACTTCGACGAGCTTGTGATCAACAACGGCAAGGATACGTTGATCGAATTCTACGCCCCCTGGTGCGGTCACTGCAAGAAGCTGACTCCCATCTACGAGGAGCTGGCTGAAAAGCTGCAAGACGAGGAGGTGGCCATTGTTAAGATGGACGCCACAGCCAACGATGTGCCGCCGGAGTTCAACGTGCGCGGCTTCCCCACACTCTTCTGGCTGCCCAAGGACGCGAAGAACAAGCCAGTGAGCTACAATGGCGGCCGCGAGGTAGATGATTTCCTGAAGTACATCGCCAAGGAGGCGACCACAGAACTGAAGGGCTTCGACCGCAGCGGCAAGCCCAAGAAGACCGAGCTCTAAGCTGCACGCCGGGTTGAACTGGCCGCCAACTAGCATTTCCATATTTTTGTAAAATCGAATGCATTCTCCACAATACTTGAGCAAAAATTGTATTAAATTATTTCTTAGTGATGAAACGCGAACGAACACAAATTGATGATTATGTCGCAATAAACTTAATTCTTCATTTAATTAGTTAACCAGGTTGTCACCTTTCTTTTGATGGTGTTCTTATTTCTTAAAGATATTACTTTGATTTCGTTTGTCTAGCTTAGTGAGCAACTATTACACCTTAAATCTACAAATGTCTTTTTAACAGAGAGAGTTTACTTTTAATGGTTCAACTTTTATCCGAAAGTATTTTACTTTGCGGAACTTGTCCATCAAAATTCGAAAGTCTTCTTCCATTGTTTTGTGATTCATCTTTGAACCGGTGTGCATATGTCTTCCGCGTGTTCGTCCAGCATCATGCGGTACCAGTCAGCCACAAATGTGAACTGGTTGCGGCCAGGGTAGGGCTTGTAGGCTAATATACCCTGCTTAGCGTCGAATTCAAAAAGGTAGACGGTGCTTGGACAGTCGATGGGTGCCATGACTTGGGATATGTAGGCCAGAAAACGCAGTAAGAAGTTGGCGCACACATGGGTTGACCAAAATTGGTCCTGTAATCGAAAACACAAAATTTTTATTAACTGAATCTTCATAAGGTTCTCCGTTTACTTTGATCAAAAATAACGAAATCTTAATATCAGTTGTATACTAACGCAACTCTTCCACAAGTCTCGCGCAGAAGTCTTTTGGATATTGTGCACGAAAGCGTGTTCATCGCGATGGGCTATGTAAAGGCTTTCGATGCCCAGCAGAAAGCACTTGACCCACCATTTGAGTGCCTCAGTTCGATTGTGGATCGCCCAATCCTGACGGCTCATGTGCACCAGGCGCATCTGCAACTCCGCCCAGTTAGGGTTCGACCCACTAAAATTCGGGAAGTATAAAAGTTACAATGTTTTAAACTATTGCTTTTTGAAAGGATTTACCCTTCATTCGGATTTGGTTCAGCTAATACAGGTGAATCGAAAAGAATTCGATTGCCATTCAAGTCAAAGGAAAAAACACCATGAAAGCGACCTCCTAAAGATCGCTTGTTATTTAATGCCCCTGTTCCGCTTTCTGAAAGAAGCAAAGAAACATTAGATTATGGAACCAAGGGGGGTTATCAGAAACCTTTTAAGCAGTGCTTGCGTAGTGTCATAAGCCAGGATTCCTCCATGACCTGCTTGAGATGGTCTTGATCGAACGCGTTGGGCTGTACGCTATCCATACGGCAGATGTACATGGTGTTGCGGTAGCGGGTCACTCCCAGTGACCATCCCGACTTGTGCTCGTACGGGGCACACATAATCAGTTCCAGAACCTCGCTGGTGCAGACAACGTGGGCATCGACCACTACACGCATGTTCATCGCTTTGAGGAAGGAGAACCGCGAAGACTCGATGAATTGCAACATGTTGTCTAACAGAAGCTCTGGCATCTTATGTTGATTCCTGGTAGTATCATTATCCCGCAGGGAAAGCGGGAAATGTTGGATCGGCGGCACCACAATGTAGTGCATTCTATGCGAGTTTCTTTCAAATTGTCCATTAGGGGACAAACTAAATCCGCCATGCGAAATGGGTTTACTTATTGTCGGAAACGAGAGCTTGTCCTCCTCCGTCCAAGAGTGGGGAAAGATGTTCATTAATTGGTAATTGGAAGCCATATTGAGTGTTGCTTTTGTTAATCTTATACGTAAAAGAGAACCATTGATGCTCATGCGAAGAAAATGAAAATTTAACTTTTGATTGCTTTTGCAAAAAGAACCGTTTCTTCAGTAAGGTGGCAACGCCATGAGGGAATCTTAAAGATGGAAACGTTCATCACAACTTAATGTATAACAGATGCATTTCCAACGGTATTTGTTGTGATCGTAACTGGACACTGAGTCTCCTATTTCTAAACAGATCACTAATTTCGAGTCCATAACTTTTCTAATTTTATTCCAATTTTGAAGTGGAATACCTCTTAAAGTTTTTATTTTAATTCTGTAAAAATTGAATCATTAGTTTTTTTGGTTAATTTTTTTAAATTTTCAGGAATAGCGATGTGTTTGTAAGTTTATTATATTTGTACTCTGTTATTTATTTAAAACTACATAAATATTTAATAAAGGTATTCCAAAAAATAATAATCTTTGTTGCACCGTGCAGTACCCGAAATGCACTAAACAAAACAAAAACAAAAGCCAAACAAAACATGCCAAAAAGTGTTGCCAGATTTTGATGGCGTCCCGGCAAAAAATGTAAACAAACCGCCAACCCTGCCAGACCACCCCAGTCAGATGGTGTCTTACTAATTTTCTGGCAACGCCACTTGGTCTGCTGCACGTGTTTTAAATTCGCGTGTTTTGCTCTTCATTTCGGGACGTCGTGCAGCAATTTAACGGAAACAAACGGAAATATTATTGAAATATCATTAAGAATACGGTTGATTGGTTCTTGAAGAGATGGAGGTGAATGCCGGCAAGCTGCGGATCGGCGCACAGCGATTGCTGCAGTTGACTGAAAATGAGTCTGAAGACAACGTGTTTGCGCAAAGTTTGAAGAAATTCATCAAGAAGCAGGTGTGCTTACTAGGTTTTGATTTGAAACTATCACTTCATCTTCTTTGTATATTTTAGAAATATTTGCCCCAGGATGTAGAGCGGCTGTTTCAAACGCTCAGCGAGCAGCTGCCTCAGCCCGCTTATACAATCCCTATCGCAGTGACTTTCGAGGAGCAGGTTCTTCTGCTTCTTTCCATGGCACTCCGTTGGGATTCCACTGGACAAACTTTCCGCCAGTATCAGCTGGAGTGTGTGGCGCTGGCCAAGCTAATGGATTTTTCCCTGGATGCACAAAGGTTGGAGATCCTTTACTTTTGCCCATCGAATAAATCCCTAAAGTTCTATTCTTACAGGTTTGCCAAAAGTTACTTCCACGATAGGCCAGCTCCCTTTGACAATAGCTTTGACACTCTGCCCAGCAAAAAGTTAAAAAATGGCAGTCAGAATAATAATCTAGAGGATGTGGAGCTCATTAGATGCTGCTACCAATTGCTTAAAAGTGATATATCCTATTTCCGTGAGCTGTGGGACTGGTCAAGCTTTGTTGCCACCTATGCACACAATTCATCAAACCCGAAGGCGAGGCTTTACTGCAACTACATCGTGGCCATGTTGACCAACATGAGTACGCCGCAGCTAAACGCCTTAAATGAGCAAATATCCACAGAAACACGTCTTGAATTTGAGCACGAAAAGGAGGAAGCTTGGATCAAAGCTAGGATCTCCAATGGCAGCTATGAACCAGACGCCTCCGATCAAGTGCTGAACCTGCAACTGCAGAATATCAATCAGGCTGTGACAAACATTGAGGGCGTCCTACTGCCCACTTTCAACAAGGAGAACCTGGAGTTCTATGCCAGCACCGATGGCTGCTACGATCGTATTGTTAGGGTGGACTCAACTGTGGTTAATTTAAGGAGCATTGCGCTTGGAGTGGCTGCTGCCAAGCCCATTTGCCTTTCAGGACCTGTTGGCTGTGGCAAAACCACGCTTATTGAGTATCTCGCTCGCAAAACCGGACGCATTTGCCCCAAGCCGAATGAAATTGAAATGAGAGAAAAGGCCCTGAAGAAAGCTGAAGAGGAGGATCAACTGCTGACACTGAAGAAGAAGCCAAAGACGACGGGAAGCAAGCGTAAACTGGAGGAGTTGCCTCTGGAAGAGTTTCTTGATTTGGGTGAGTCGACGCAAAAAAATGGATTTTTGCGTATTCAGCTTGGAGATCAGACCGACAGCAAAATGTTATTGGGTCAATACCGATGCACTGATGTGCCCGGGGAGTTTGTTTGGTTGCCTGGAGTGTTAACGCAGGTGAGTAAAAGATTTCTTTTTGTATCCCTTTATTAATCGTTTTGTTTTTCTGCAAGGCCGTCATGCATGGCTATTGGTTGTTGCTGGAGGATCTGGATGCCGCCACCCAAGACACCTATACCATTCTGAGTAGTCTTTTAGAACGCCAGTGCCTCAGTGTTCCCGGTTTCCGCGATAACGTCAAAATAGAGCCCGGTTTTCAGTTGTTTGTTACAGTGCGGTAAGATAATAATCTAGAACAAATTTATGGCCAATCAACAACTCATTGTTATCCTCTAGAACCAACAAGTCGTCCAATTCAAGCCACAAATCGCTTTACTCCCTGCTGGATAAATATCTTTATACCATTAATATACTGCCACTTTCCCGAAATGAACTCTGCAAAGTGGTCAGCACCAACTATCCTAAGCTGGCTACAGTGGCCAACCGGATTGTGGATGTGTTCCTTACTTTCTCCAGTGGCCACCACGCATCCGCGGACAACTTGAGGCAACAGGAGTCTGGCGACAAAGCGGATAACACGGAGCAATATGTAGCCCTACCCTTTGAGCCGGTTTCCCTTACCTCCAGTCCCAATTCGGGAAGATTGGTGTCCACCCGAGATTTGGTGAAGCTGTGCCACCGGTCCAGCGCCCAGTTTTCGGTGACAAGCGCCGAGTGTGCCTACTTTGTCTTCCAGAATGCAGTGGACGTATTCTGCTCATATCTACCACAGAGCAAGCAAAAAACAACCCTGATCACGAGCATTGGAGCGAAGTTGGGCATCATCCGCTCCCGCTGTGAACATTTCGCAAGTGAATACAAACCAGATGTGGAGTTTGGCCTGGATTACATTAAAATCGGAAGAGCTAGCCTGCTGGCTAAATCCCAAATAGAAAACAACGAGAACGAGGAAACCTCAGAGCAGGATCTCAAGCGTCAAAAGTTAACCGAGCAGACTAGACGGGCCATTGGCAAGGTCGGAAACAAGCGCACAACCTTCTCGTTTACGCGACTGGCTAGCTGCATTCTGGAGCGGATAGCCGTGTGTGTCAGCCACTCGGAGCCGGTTCTCCTGGTAGGCGAAACCGGAGTGGGAAAGACTTCGTCAGTGCAATACCTCGCCGAGCGAACAGAACACAAACTGGTGGTGGTGAACATGAACAACCAATCGGATGTGTCGGATTTGGTTGGCGGCTTTAAGCCTGTGGAGCTTAACTACGTTCTGGAACCATTGCGAAATGAATTCGAGTATCTTTTAAGCGAAACCTTCAATCGGGAGAAGAACTTGCAATTCCTGCGCCTGTTTGCCACCCACTACAACAGTGGTCGTCACTCTGTGATCATCCGCACCATGATCAATATATGCCTACAGGTGGCCAAGAACCCGGAACTCCAGCGGAGCCAGTTCCTTCCCCGCTGGCAAACGCTGAGAGAAAAACTGCAGAAGCTGCAAATGCAGCTAGACAAGAGCATCAACATTTCCTTCGCCTTCATACCCGGTTCACTGGTCAACTGCATAAGCAACGGAGATTGGGTTCTCCTGGATGAAATTAACCTGGCCACAGCAGAAACACTGGAATGCCTTTCCACCATTCTCGAACCTGAGGGCTCTGTGGTGCTCCTGGAACGTGGTGACTTCACGCCCGTAAAGCGGCATCCAGACTTCCGCATGTTTGCCTGTATGAATCCGAACACGGACATTGGCAAGAAGGATTTGCCCGTGGGCATTCGCAATCGGTTCACGGAATTCTTTGTGGATGAACTCACGACGGATGCTGATTTGAGTCTGCTGGTAAGCGATTATCTGGCCAATACGGGCATCCAGCGAAAGTCCGTGCACAGCATCGTGCAGTTGTACAAATCCCTGCGAAAGCTGTCCGAACTCCAGTTGAATGATGGCCTCGGAAATCGCCCGGTTTATTCATTGCGTACTCTCTGTCGTAGCTTGCGCATTTGTGCACGCAATTTGTGTGGCTCCATCGAGCGGAATCTGTACGAGAGCTTCTGCCTGAGTTTTCTCACTCAGTTGGACCCGGACTCTCACCATGTGGTGCTTCTGCTAATCCAAAACGCAATGCTTTCAAATGCGAAGGCTGTTTTGAATCAGCAGTTGCCACAGTTGGGCGAGAATTACCTAAACTTTGAGGGGTACTGGATTCAAACGGGCAACTTGGAACCGCAGCCGTGCACGCACTACATCCTCACGGAAAGTGTTAAGAAGAACCTCAAGGATCTGGCGCGAATCATATCGATTGGCAAGCTGCCGATTCTGCTCCAGGGACCAACCAGTGCGGGAAAAACCAGTTTGATCGACTACGTTGCCAGGCGGAGTGGCAATCGGTGCCTGCGAATCAATAACCACGAGCACACGGACCTCCAGGAGTACATCGGCACATATGCCGCGGACGTGAACGGCAAGCTAACCTTCAAGGAGGGAGTGCTGGTGCAGGCGATGCGCCATGGCTTCTGGATTATACTCGACGAACTTAATCTCGCCTCCACGGATATTCTGGAGGCTCTGAATCGAGTTTTAGACGACAACCGGGAGCTGTACATCGCAGAGACCCAGACCCTGGTGAAGGCTCATCCGAACTTTATGCTGTTTGCTACGCAGAATCCCCCGGGATTATATGGCGGCCGTAAGACGCTCTCCCGTGCTTTTAAGAATCGTTTCATAGAGCTGCACTTTGCGGACATACCGCGCGGCGAGCTGGAGATCATTCTGGAGAAGCGCTGCTTTATCCCACCCTCCTATGCGCGCAAGATGGTGCAGTGCATGACCCAGTTGCAGCAGCACCGCCAGAATACCTCCAAGCAGGTCTTCACTCTGCGCGATCTCTTCCGCTGGGGCAATCGATACACGCATGCGGACAAGTCCCTGCACGAGGACACCAAGTACGACTGGAATCAGCACCTCGTGGAGGAGGGCTACCTGGTTCTGTCCTCGAAGGTGCGATCCCAGGATGAGCACGAGCTGATCGAGAAGACCCTGTTCGCCAACTTCCGCAAGAAGGTTGATCTGCAGTTGCTGTTCGATATCCAAACCGAGAGGGAAAGCTCCTCCATGGTGAGTAGACGGATCCTGGATGCCATCAGAAACTTTACGCTGCGTGGAGACATAGTTTGGACCCGGAACATGACCCGCATGGCTGTGGTAACAGCCAAGGCTCTGGAGTTTGACGAGCCTGTGCTTCTGGTCGGTCCGACGGGTTGCGGCAAGACCACCGTGTGCCAACTCCTCGCCAGCATCGCTGATGTGGAGCTGCGCATTCTCAACTGTCACATGCACACCGAGGGAGCTGATTTCCTGGGAGGATTGCGACCTTGTCGAGGTCAGGAGTCGACGCAACTGTTCGAGTGGGCCGACGGTCCGTTGATCTATGCAATGCAGGAGGGATCCTATTTTATGGCTGACGAGATATCCCTGGCTGAGGATTCGGTGTTGGAGCGGCTTAACTGCATCTTGGAACCGGAGCGCACGGTTCTGTTGGCTGAAAAGGGCGGCGTCGCTGAGTTGGATGCAAGTCCCGACTTTGTTGTGCAGGCAAAGCCTGGCTTCCAGTTCCTAGCCACCATGAACCCGGGCGGGGATTTCGGCAAGAAGGAACTCTCGCCTGCCCTGAGGAATCGCTTTACAGAGGTCTGGTGCTTGCCCTCCGACAACAAGGAGGACCTGATTGAGATTGCCTACAACTGCATGAGCCGGCAAAAGGACCTCGGCAGCCAGGCGACCAACACCCATAAGGTGGCCGAATATCTGGTGGAGATAGTGCTTCACATTCGCGACACCAACGATAAGTTCAAGTTCTCCGTACGCGACATCCTGGCCTGGGCCAACTACATGGTCAGCAACAAGAAGCTGAGCTTTGCAGAGCAGGCCATCTTTGGCTTAGAAACCATATTCCTGGATGCATTGGAGATGCTGCCCCACGAATCTGAGGAGCAGGTGGAGCGACTAAAAGCCAGTATCATCAAGCAGGCCATCGAACAGGCGGGTTCTATCCTAAACGAGAAGTTTACCCTCGAGGAAGTCAGCGAGAAGCGAGGCGTTGAAGTCCAGCTAGATGACTCCCACTTCGGCATTCGCCCGTTTTTCATAGACGTAAACCAGAATCGCGTGTCGTCGGCTAAGGAGGACTTCTTTTTCGATGCTCCAACCACCAAACAGAACCTTTTCCGCCTACTTTCCGCACTGTCCCTTCAAAAACCTGTGCTGCTCGAGGGACCACCGGGTGTGGGCAAGACCTCCATAGTGGAGAGCATTGCAGCGGCCATTGGCTATCAAATTGTGCGCATCAACCTGTGCGAGCACACGGATTTGGCTGATCTGTTCGGAACCGATCTGCCTGCCGAGGATAACCTACTTGAATCGAATGCGGTGTCCTCCGGTCGCCAAATGGGCAGTTTTGTGTGGCGCGACGGTCCACTTCTGGCTGCTTTGAAGGCGAAGAACACCTGGATTCTGCTGGACGAACTGAATCTGGCCCCGCAATCCGTGCTGGAAGGTCTCAATGCTGTGCTCGACCATCGTGGCGAGGTCTACATACCTGAGTTGAACAAGAGCTTCCACCTGGCTGGCTCAACTCGCATATTTGCCTGCCAGAATCCCCTTAAGCAAGGCGGTGGACGCAAAGGATTACCCCAATCATTCCTTAATCGATTTACTAAAGTTTATCTGCGCAAACTTTCCACGCAGGATCTGCTCCATGTGGTAAATGTGAAATACGGAGAGTACTTTGATCAATTAAGCGGACATTTTTCGGAGCTGCTGAATGATAAATCTGATAGGAATCTTTTTGAAATTTACTCTGGAGTAAAAGCTGCGGAGAAATCGAACCGGTTTGATTTGGCCGCTCGTTTGGTGCGCTTCTCGGAGCAATTGGATCGCGGAGTGGCCTCAATGGAGTTTGGCTACAAGGGAGGTCCTTACGAGTTCAACCTTCGTGATATACTGCGCTGGTGCGATCTGCTCCACAACCCACAAACTGGATACGTCTTGACTTCAAATCCTCTCTCATTCCAATCTGCTTTCAAAGACTTTTTACTCACTCTTTATGAAAGGATGCAGTTGGTCTACTACCAAAGGATGCGATGCGAGCAAGACAAGTCGTACATTCGCAAAGTTTTCGCATCCGTTTTCGAATGCGATGCCGAACAGCTAAATGAGGTTTCGGACGATGTAGCTCTTTACTGGACGGCTGACAAGGTTTATTTCAACGATGTTGTTTTGGAGCGGGAGCAACTCGGTGTCTTGGAATCGGCATCGCGACAGGAGGAGGCTCCCTTGCTGCTGGACAGCCAGAGACAGGTACTCAAACAAATCGTCGAGGCCGTGCACATGGAGAAGCCTCTGCTGCTCTGCGGATCCACCGACAGTGGCAAAACCAAGCTGATCGATGCCCTCTGCGTGCTCTCTAATCGCCTCTGCAATACGGATATTATTGATGACTCTGTTACTGGTAGTTTCCAGCAGGTAAGACTTTCTGTAACTTTCAATCTATAACCTTATCTAACCTGTTCCTTGCTTTTCCCAGATCGACTTAAATCGTCATCTAGAAGTGATCTATAAGAAGGTTGAGGCGCTTGTATTCGCAAGTGTGCAGAGAGCGTTTATTCAGCAGATTCAGCTCGAGTTTATGGAACAGCTATGGAGCCAATGGAGCAAGTACAACAAGCTCGCCAAGGTCACAACAGGTGAGTAAGGATCTCCAACAATAAGCTAGCTTTTAATAATCTATTTTATAGAGCCCCAGCAACACAGCGTTTTGGATGAACTAAAGTTGTTTAGCGAGCGACTGGGATCTCTCGCCAAGATCATCGAGGTGCTAGAGACCACGCCGAGGGACTGCCAAGTGGCGGCATTCCAGCAGTTGCCGGAAACCAAGTCTCAGCTTCTTCTGCTACAAGCCTACATCGACACCGCCGATTCCCTTAACACGGGAGGATCCTTTGAATGGGTTGACTCGCAAATCGTTACCTCACTGAAGTGCGGGCAATTTATCTTGCTGGAACACGTGAATCTGTGCTCCTCCGCAGTTCTAGATCGCCTTAATCCTGTATTCGAGCCGAACGGAAGCTTGTTAATAGCTGAGAAGGGAATTAGTGCACAAGATAATGCCGAGGTGGTACAGAAGTCCAGCAATTTCCGTGCTTTCCTTACCGTGGATCCTAAGAACGGAGAACTATCACGGGCCATGCGCAACCGATGCGTGGAGCTCTCCTTGTCGCGGGATACCTACTCTGTAGATGACATGCGTGCCTTTATCCATGAACAGGGAGTCCATCAATCGAAGGCCATAGATTGCATCCTGGCAGTTCACATGGGGATAAGTCAGCTGACCGAGTTCAATAACTACTCCATCTCTCACCTGACGCAATTTGCTTTCCTGAGTGCTGCCTACAAAAGGATTGGTTACCAATTGAAACGTGCCATTTATGTGGCAGCCATGGAGGTCTACGTTTATTCCGCCAATACCGATTTATTGGGCTTTGGATTGTCCTACTATCAAAACAAACTGCGCGAAGTGGTGCTAAAACATTCAGAGTTATTCGAGGAAGAGATAACTTCTGAGGAAGATTTCCTAAGCGATTCGATACTCAGTTCTGGAAACCTCAACTGTCTGACACTGATCAAACTACAGTCAATTGCGCTGAGAGTTTTACTGAATGGATCTTCAGAAGACGGTGTTCCAAAACTACAGCTGGCAGCCATCTTCCATAAGATGGAGGACCTGAAACTGGACCAACTAAATCCTCAGCAACTCATTCGCCACTTCCTGTACATACTTTACGAGTCATCCACTTTCACCGATTTGGAATTAAGACATCTTTACTTGCAACCTTGGTTGTCGGAGCACACATCCATCCAAGAATTGTCTCACAACCTCTACACTTGCCTGCAGAAAAAGAGTAACAGCTTAAAAGCAACGCTGCCCAATCTTCCCTGGAACCGAAAACTCTTTCCCAGACTCCGTGATTACTCAATAGATACTGAAAATTCCGATCTTAAGTCTTTAAACCTGAGTGCTTTGCTTCTGTCGCGTCTGGTAGTAAATGATATACCCACTGATTCGTTAACTGCAGTGCAGCAAATGAACGCTCTGCAGTATTCGCAGGCGTTGCAGAAGAAAAAGGTGACCGTCAAGTACTCCAATCATTTCCTAGCCAATCTGTCGAGTTTCCTCGAGGTTTTGCACACCTGTTTAATGGAGGATTTAGATCAGGCAGACTTGGATCTTCCGCACTATGCTAGCTTAGTAACCCGCTTTCATTGGTTCAATCGATTGTTGGCCACGGCACAGCAAAAAATTCTTTACAGCAATGAGCTTCATGTGCCTCTGATGCACAAGCTGGTGCTTCATTTTCAGTGGCTGGAGAAGCACCTTTTAAGCCCCTTACTTGACTTGACTGCCAATAGTTCTTGGCATGGAACCATTCGAGAAAGTGTTCTTAAAATAAAGGAGTACATTGAAGAGAACAGACGGCCTCTTAACGTGTCCTGCAAGATTTACTCAAAGCAGTTCACTCAGTTTCAGCCTTACTATCAGGATCAACAGGTCAGTCAACTACTGCAATAAGTAAAAGATTTCTTATAAATCTTATTATTTATCTTTTGTTTATTTATAGGTTCAATTGCACACTGATTTAAAGAGCTTGGAAGAATTGCTCTGTTTGGTACCGAGCTATGGCAATTTGGAGTTGACTTCGTGGTTCAAGAAATGGCAGCTTCTACAATCGGATGAGGCGAAAAAATGGCGATTGTTCCTGCAAAAGCACACGCAAGGCTTTCCACTCAAGCCCTTCGAATTGAGTGGTTCCCTGGCGAATGAAACTTTGCAATTGCGCCTGCAAAGACTGCAAACAAAGTTAAAGGAAACTCAGGAAGCGATTGCTGAAAACGGATTTAATTTGGAATTGGATCTTAACAGCCTTAAAAACCTTTTGGAAACGGAGTCGGAGGAAAGTCAATCTTATGTTCACCCCGAAGTTTTAGCTTTCAACACTCCGCAACTGTTACTCGCTGCTTTAAGGGAAATATTCATGGAGCGTCTGCTAACAGGAACTTTGCGCGAGGACTTTGATGAGCAAGTAAATCCTCTGTACACAGAACAGTTGCTGACCTTAAACAGCAATCTCTGGCTCTGCCTGAAAACACTTGAAAGTGCTTCCCATAGTGAAGTCTCTAGTGCTTGGGCTGAACTCAAGAAGGAACTAAATCAGCTGCAGAATAGCGAGCAGCTTGCAACGCTGCTGGAAAGGATCGGAAGCAGCTATAAAGGATTGCGAACCTACCAGAGGCAGTATCGTAACTCCATTCAATGCTACCAGTTGGAGAATCTCTCCACCCGTTTGGATTGCGTACAAGGACCTCCGGAGGAAGGCAGCACGGAGATATCCAGTCGGTATAGCTATCAGGGACCCGCTTTGTCGGGAGTCTTCCTTTCACTGCTTTGTCAGCCCAACGGACAGCTGCGATCGGTGCCACTAAGCGAGCTGCAGGAATGGCGTTCTTCCTTGCAGCAAACGCGTCACCTGCTGTGGGAGAACTCTCAGATGTTAAGTTCCAGATACAGTGGAAGGGTCAACAACCTTTCGCTGGTCCAGGAAAACGCTGCTCAACTACTAAAAGAGCTGGAATATGTGCGTCATTTAAGTCAGCGGGAACAGAAACCCAATGAAGGCTTCGAAAGCTGTGCAAAAAAACTGGATAGTATGCTAAAAATTCTTCAGCAGCATGCGGTTAACAAGGATTCCATGACAACAGCCTTCGATGTTGCACTAACTAATGCCTTGGTTGGAGTCATAGAGCTGTGCCTGCTTACAAATGCCCCTCTGATCGATCCCGTGGAAAAGAATCGCCTGAAGAACGAATATATAGCAGAGGATATCGATTGCCTCGGCACTTTAACCACCGCCTACGATTTCATGAAGATTGTGATGAAGTACCGGCACTTTGGCGAGGAGATATACAGCCAACTGGTGGACAAACTTAAGTTGGCGCAGCAGCGGCAGCAGCAACTCTCGCAGAAGTTGGCCCTGCGACCGGAGCAATGTCTCTACGCGTCTCTGGTTCAGGACATCACCCACTTCCTGCACTCGAATGGGGATTGTGAGCAGCTCTTCAACCTGTTCCAGCTAATCAGCTCGGAGTGGGACAACTTCAATGGATCCCAGCCAGCCACGAAAGCGCAGCTTCAGAAGAGCACTGAGGCGATGGGTAAACTCGAGCTCTGGCTGGCGAATGCCCAGCGATTCGTTCATCACACCCTGTCCAGATACTCTTCGTACTACCAGGACTTTGTTGAGCCCATCAAATGTTCAGTTAACCAGCTGCGTTTTGGTTTGGAGTCCCTGAAGGTGGTCTTCGCAAGAGTCCAACAGGCGGGCAGCGTGGTGCAGGCCGAGCAGCTACAGGAAACCATCGGGGATATAGTGCAGTTCCCCTCGCAGCAGCCATTGGTAATCCGAAACAGCAGGCTCTATGGAATTCTGGCCGAGTTGCCCCACAGCGAGTACGAGTACTTCCGCTTGCTGAAGGCCAAATTGAGCGAACTGAGCAACTACATCTCGCTGGGGAGCGTGATAGACGAAGGCACCTTTGCGGCCTACGACGATGCCCTGAGCATCTGCAACCAAACCTGGCAGCAGGAGGAGCAGCGTCGCTGTCAACTCAAAGCGGAGGCCGAAAGCCTGTATGTGACCAAGACCAAGGGAGGAGTCGATAGTGAGGAGCTCATTGAAATGCAGGAAATCGAGCAAAACTTTCCCACTAGTCTGGACGAAGATTTCGCCGAGTTCGTGGCGCAACCGACCTTGGAACAGGTCCTGAAGCTGGACAAGAAGGCCAGTGCCAAGGCCAAGCAGGCTCAGATTGTGGTCGAGGAGGACTACGCCTTCCTGGCGCGCAACTTCATCGATGTGATGACGCAGCATACTCCGGTCTACTATAGAGAGCAGCCCAAGTCCACGAGGGAATCGGAGCTCCAGCTACTCGAGCCCTACCGAGCTCGGTTCCAGGTGTTTGCCCATCTGCATGGTCACTACAAGAAAGCCCTGGGATCGAACCTGGATGAGAGGGCCTGCAATGGCCTGGCCTTCGGACTGGCGCTGCAGCAGAAGCAGCTGAAGGACATCGAACTGGAGGAGGGAGTGGCCAGTTCCCCCTACGATTTCTACAAGGACTCGAACATCGGCGAGGTTCAGAGCTGCCTGGATGTGATGGAGCGGATCGAGAAGCGTGTGGTCCAGCAGCTGGAACAGTATCCCGAGCACGCCGGCCTGGCCGACATTAAGCTGGTGATCTCGCGCATCCGACGGCTCCCTGCTCACGCCCCAGTAGTTCGCTTCAACACGGGCTTCCAGCTGCTGCGACAGAAGGTGGCCCTCTGGAACGAGGTGGCGCACAAGAACAACAACCTGGTGTCGGAGGAGATCGAGGTGGCCGAGTTTGTCCAACGTTGGACCCGATTGGAGCTGCAGCACTGGCGCAACTGCCTCAACCAAACCGCCGCCCAAGTGGAGCTGCAGGCCTACCGCTACTGGTTCTTCATCTACAACCTGCTGCAGCAGTTCCTGCACCAGAAGCAGCTGGATCAGTCCTACACGGACATCAAGTTCGCCGAGCAGCGCTTCGCGCAGGAGCAACTGCTCGATGCCCAGGATCTGGGAGAGGGCCAGCGCCTGGAACTGCCGCAAGTGGTGCGAATTCTGAGGCAGTTTGTGGAGGCCTCCTGCTATGGCGACTTCCACATCCGGCTGCAGCTCCTCCAGGGATTCGAACTGTATCTGCACAACGTGGAGCGGGCTGGAAAGATCGAGGGATTGCCCCCGCTAATCGCCGCACTGCACAATCTTCAGCTGTACTTCTCGCAGTTCGCCGGCGAGATTGCGGACTCCGCGAAATCGAGACGCTCGCCCATTGAGAAGAAGCTGAAGGAGTTCGTCAAGATCCAGAGCTACAGCAAGGACCTGAGCTACTTCAGCATGCGCAACAACGTGGCCAGCGTGCACCGCAACCTGAACAAGTTCCTCAAGGAGTACCGCCTGGCGCTGCAGGACAAGATCAGCGAGGTGTTCCAGCCGAAGGACTCCACCGCCAAGGACTACACCTTCGGCACGGACAAGGGCAAGGGCTTGAGGAACTACAATAAGATCAAGTACCTCAACACGGAGCGCCAACAGTTCGTGGCTAGTGAGAAGCTGTTGGAGAAGTTCGCCATCCAGTCGGAGTTCGTGTCGGAGAACGCACTGCTCCAGCGCCTGGAGAAGCACTTCCGAACGGCTCGTCACGTGGTCAGGGAGACGCTGGGACAGGTGCCCTACGCCGAGCTGATCACCGACTTGGACGACCTGCTGGCCAGCCAGTTGGAGCGATGCGAGCACCTGCGCTCCCTGAACGTCGACCGGACGAAGGAGCGACCGCAGCAGAAGCAGGAGGCCAAGCAGATCCTCCAGCAGAAGCGCAAGGCGCTCACCGATCTCTTCAAGATGCTCCATCGGCTGGGCGCCAGCTACAAGAGCGGTCTCCTAGAGCTCTCGTTGCGCAGCGAGTTCGAGGACTTCCAGCTGGCTCCGTACTCGATTCGCGCCATGTTGCCCCGGCTGCATCCCAGTGCCCAGCAGCTGAACGAGCACCTGGACCTGTACTACATGAAGAGTGTGTTCAAGCTGAAGCTGCTGCAGAACATCATGCTGACGCCCCTCTCGGAGCTGGGTCCTCCCAACATTGAACGCATCAAGGGCTTCGCGGTGGACCTGTTCCTGCTGGTGCAGCAGCAGCGGGAGCAGCTTTCCGCATCCACCAAAGAGCTTCACGAGCTGAGGAACTCGCTGGAAAGCTTGCGTAAGCTGGCCGAGATTGTTCCCCAGGCGGAGAGGGATTCCGAGGCTCTGGGCTTCGCGAGGAGCGCGGATTTGGCAACGGATATAAAGCGTAATCTCTGCCAGATTCACTACGTCTTCAGGCAGTGGCAACTGTTGCTGAGTTGCGCCCCCCGATCGCTGAAGGAGAACTCGGAGCACAGCCTGCTGGTGAGGAGTGTTCCCTTGGCCCAAGCGGAGTTGCATGATCTCAGCAGACAGATCTTGAGCAGCAGCCAGAAGCTGCTGGGCGAGCTCAACACCGCGAACCTGGACTTCTTGTCGAGCGAGAAGTGCGATTCCTACCAGAAGAGCTATCAGCAGATATTGCAGATCATTGAAAAGGCCTTGGAGTTGCTCGGAGCGGGACAGAATGATCATCTGCCGCTGGCGCAACCGCTGATCGAGCTTCTGGCCAGCCTGCGAACCGAAAAGCCCGTCGAAATTGTCCCCGAGGCCATAGATCTGGCCAATGCGGACACGGAGCTGGCCAACATAGCCCACAGTGTGCTCATATCGCTCCAGAAGATTTACAAGCACCACGCCAAGCCGGATGAGGCTGAACCAAATGGCGGGGCCGGCGAACAGGATCAGGAGTCGAAGGAGGCGCTGCAGGAACAGCATCTGAAGAAGTGCCTCACCGCCGAAATCAATTCGGACTGGGAGCAGCTCAGCCTGTCCCGAGTGCTCGCCAAGCTGTCCAATGTGCTCCTGGTGCTGAAGCACTCCAGCTCCGAGGGCCAGGAAAAGCTGATCTGCGTGCGGCGAGCGATCGGTCTGCTGCCCATTCTGGAGCAGTACCAACTGCTGGCGGACTACTTGCTGCTGCAGCAGTTGGCCACCCACAAGGTCTCCGCCAAGATGCTGTCCATAGTTCTCACCGTCTTCGTTGAGATCGGCAGCAAGGGCTTCTGTGTTCCGCCGGATCTCATGCAGGACGAGGAGGGCCAGTCGAAGCAGGACTCCAAGAACGGCGAGGGCTTTGGCCTAGAGGACGGCACCGGGGAGAACGACGCCTCCGACAAGATCGAGTCGGAGGATCAGCTGGACGACGCCAAGCGGCCGGAAGATCGAAAGGACGAGGGCGACAAGCAGGAGCCCGATTGCAAGGAGGAGAAGGGAATCGAGATGAGCGACGACTTCGATGCCAAGATGCAGGATGTGGATAAACCTGAGGAGGACGACAGCGGCGAGTCCGAGGAGGAGGAGGATCTCAACAAGGAGATGGGCGAGACGGAGGAGGGAGCCGAGAAGCTGGACGACCAGATCTGGGGCGACGACGAGGAGGAAAAGCCGGAGGAGAAGGAACCCGATATGAACGAGGAGGATCAGGGCAAGGGCAGCAAGGACGAGAAGGATGCGCACAACGATCTGGACACCAAGAACGACGCAGCCAAGGAGGATGGCAAGGACGAGCACGAGAAGGACGGCTTGGATGCCACCAACGAGCCGAGCGGCGAGGATAAGCGCAAGGAGCAGGCCAAGGACATTGACGACATGAAGGACCCAGAAATGGACGAGGAGCAGACGAACGCCATGCACAACGAGCTGGAGGAGCCGCCGGAGCCCGAGGAAATGGACCTGGGCGATATGAACAACGTGGACGAAGGTCACGACGACCAGGAGGAGCAGCCGACGGACGAGAATCCCTTCGACATCGATGCCATGAAGGAGAACATGCAGCCGGCTGAGGAACCGGAGCCAGATGGCGAGGACGAACCTGCCGGCGAAGAGGAAGGTGACCCCCAGAGCGACGGCAGCGATTCCGAGGAAGATGAGGCTGGCACGGAAGCCAAGCCGGGTCAGGAGGATCAGGGCGAGGGTGAGGAAGCCACCCCCGAAGAGGAAAAAGAAGAGCCGGAAACTCAGACCCGAGGAGAACTAGAGGAAGAGAACGAACCCAAGCCCGAGGACAGCACTGAAGATTCCAAGGAAGAGGAGGAAAAGCGCGAGGAGAAGCCGGAGCAGCACACCCAGTCCAAGGACAAGCCCAGCAATGAGGAGAATGTGCAGTCCATGCCGGAAACGGAACAGAGCAGCTCGGCGGACCAGGTGCAGCAACCGCAAGATCCGGACATTAAGCAGGACCAAAAGCTCGACGAACAGGAGACGGGCGAGGAGAAGGATGGCGTTGGCCAAGCCGAGAACGATGTGAGCATTGCATTAAGCTATGTTTGTTTGGTCTTATTTTTACCGATCCCTTTCAAATTTTAGACCAACGATGGTGGGCATCAGGGCATCGCGGAAACCCAGGAAACGGTGTCCCAGGAGGAGCGTAAAAACGAGAGACAAACGCAGGAGAAGCGCAAACAGGGACGAACCAACGAGGAGCGATCCTTGGGTAAGGAGAAAAATAATGAAACGATCCTTTATACATTTCAATGAACATCTTAATTCGAATTCGCAGGCGAAGCTGAACAAAACAAATTAAAGCAACTGAAGACAATCGACAAACTAACGGAGTCCAAAGAATCAGATGACGCTGAACCGGAGAAGCCGGCACCCTCTGAGGAAGCGGAGGCTGAGGAGTATCAGCATGTCAAGGAGCCAAAGAACAGCGACAAAACTACGCTGGATAATGCCACCGAGGAGCAGTCGAAGAAGCTGCAGCACCAGGAGGATGAGCCGGCCAACGAAGACGAAAAAGAGGCGGAGAATGCGGACGAGCTAATGGAGACCGAGGAGCCAGCGGCCGATCCGCAGGATGATGCCCAACTTGAGCAGCTGGGTGCGGAGAAGACGGAGCAAAAGTCCGACAAGCCTTCCAAGACGGACCAGGCCAAGGAGCGCCTAGAAACGCCCGAGGGCATGGAGATCGAGGGCGAGGTGGTGCCCACCATGACGGTTCCACGCAGCGCAGAGACCACGGCGCACAGCAAGTTAGTATTTGTACTTAATTCCCTGTTATGTTCCTACTAAAATATTTTTGTTTTCGAACAGCATCGAAATCTTGCTGGACAAAAGTTCGCATGCGGAGGAGCTGAGCGCGGCAGAGCAGATTGAACTACGGCAACAGTATCAGCAGCAGTTGACCACCTTCCGAGGGGTAAGTTCAACCCATTGGGGAACAAGGAGGCACCCATTCTAAATGTTATCTCGTATTCCAGGCTCAGCCGCAGCACGAGGACTACGAAAGCTGGCAGGGCATCTCCAACCGAATGACCCAGAATGCCCGCGAGCTCTGCGAACAGTTGCGTCTCATCCTGGAGCCCACCAAGTGCACGCGTCTGAAGGGCGACTACCGCACCGGACGACGCATCAACATGAAGAAAATTATACCCTACATAGCTTCGCAATTCCGCAAGGACAAGATCTGGCTGCGACGCACAAAGCCGGCGCAGCGCGACTATAAGATCACCATTGCCATAGACGACTCCAAGTCGATGCATCACAACAACTCCAAGACGCTGACCCTGGAGGCCATCTCTCTGGTGTCGCAGGCGCTGACGCTGCTGGAGAGCGGTCGCCTGAGCATCGTGTCCTTCGGAGAGGCGCCGCAGATCATCCTTAATCACACGGAGCAGTTTGACGGGCCGCGCCTGGTGAACGCTTTGAACTTCGACCAAGACAAGACTAAAATTGCCGGCCTTCTGGACTTCATACGCACGGCCAACGCCGAGGAGAGCGGCCTGGGCGGCGACAATGGTCTGTTCGAAAACCTTCTGCTCATCCTCAGTGACGGACGGAATATATTCAGCGAGGGTGCGCAGAAGGTTAAAAACGCCATCAAGCTGGCGCGCCTGCAGCGCATCTTCCTGGTTTACATCATAATCGACAACCCGGACAATAAGGTAACGTACTTCAAAGACAAATCAGTCTTAGAATTCGGTTATCTAATTTTGTATTCCCTTTAGAACTCCATCCTGGACATACAGCATGTGGCGGTGAATGCGGACGGTTCCGTCAACATCAGTTCCTACCTGGACAGTTTTCCATTCCCCTACTACGTCATTGTCCGGGATCTCAACCAACTTCCACTGGTGCTCAGCGAAGCCATGAGACAGTGGTTCGAGCTCGTCAATAGCGAGTAGTTCTGATTTCAATATTTGACCCCCCAAATTGTATCACGAAGATATCAATATATTCCTTTTTTTTATAACTACTACAGCTCTTTACTTTAAGTCTACTTAGTTTTAATGATCATGTAAATACATAGTTAATTTGTAAAAATTAAAAGTACATATTTTGTCACAAAACATTAATGGGGTCCGAGGTATCTTTTCTTCTGAAGAAGCAAATGCATAAAAATAATCTTGCCAAAGATAATCGAAAGCTTTGAGATAACGTCGCTCTTTGTTCGGTAGAGTTACCCTATAATCACCCAGAACACCACTTTAGTCTTAACAATGCAAATGGATTGTCAACAGCTACCGCTAGAAAGCAAAGAAATTAGTCGGTCGTATCCGGATGTAATTGACTGCTAAAAAGTGTTTGGTCTGCCTTTTATGAGAACTAAAAAAGATCAAAACTACTTTTTGTTTAAGACAGTGCAGGATCTGCAAAAGAGACAGCCATAATGTCGTCACCACAAGCGATTAAAATGGTGTTTAAAATGGTAGGTACATCAGTGAACTCGGAGGAAATGTGCATTGAAGGGATTCTCATATCGAATTTGTCATTAAGTTACACGGGATTTGTGCTATTTGCTTACGTTTTTAAAATTCAATTTTTCGTTATCTTATCAAGGTGAAAACCAAATGCGTAATCGGTCAAAAATAATGTTTCGCCTGCTCAATTATCATTAAAAAACAAAACCCTCAATTGATCTTTTTTTTAGGATAGTGACGTGTTTTCCGAATCTGTAAGATATGAAAAGGATAATGAAACTCCTAGGGAGTTCCAACCCGTGAGCATGGTTTTTAAAATGGTGAGAACAACAACAAAAACAAGATCCAGGGATTGTGTCAATTGTAACTGCATTTAAAGGATGCTCAAATGGAGGTTATTGAAAGACCCGCGGTTCCGAGTTCTAATATTTCCCAGCAGAAGCTGCAGCCTCCTTATGTCTGCATACTGAATCACGAAGATTTTTCGGAAAATCCTGGTCTCAATCGAAAGGGCAGCTCAAAGGATGTCGAAGCACTGCACAGGACCTTCAAGAAACTTAATTGCCAGATCGAAGACGTTAGCAATCCAACGTTTGCCAAGGTTCAGGACACAATGGAGAAATGTATGCTAAATAAAGTACAACTTTTTACTTTTAGATTTCTGATACATTTTTACAGTGTCTGAAAAAAACTTTGACAACCTGGCTGGAGTGGTAATCGTCATCTTGAGCCATGGAAAACTGAAAGAAAAGATCCTCACCTGCGACAGTAAAAATTACGACTTAGACGAACATGTTCTCTTTAAGCTCAATGAAAACGAAACTCTGAAAAGGAAACACAAAATCCTGATAGTCCAAGCCTGCAAGGGCGGGTGGGAGATGGATGCTGCTTATGAAGATGGCTCACAGTTTATGAAGTGCTACAGCACCACAGAAGGTTTTGTGAGCTATCGCAACCGCTCGACTGGTTCGATTTATATACAAACCCTGTGCGCCGCAATGGATCAGGATGCCCTCAAGAAGGACTTTAAGTTGATCATTGAGGATGTAAACGAGAAGGTGGAAAAGTTGGCCGAGCTTAAAGGGTACGTTTTAAAATTTGTAATACAAGATTCTTAGGGCGAAGAAATATGTACTTTTATTTTCCCCTTATTTACAGTATAAACCAAAAGCCATCGATATCTTATAACAAATGGCAACCGCTCTGTTTTGGACACTTTGTAAACAACGTACTGTAAATAGTAAAAAAAGAAAGAAACCTGCAGTAAAACGAACTTTTAAATAATCTTTAAAGTTTTATAAGGGTATCGTCCAGTCGGAGTGTGAATCTGAATTACCAAAGAAGAGCGCAATTGCGTTTAAGTTAACTGAACACAGACTAAGGTGATTAGCAGATAACTCAAATACTATTAAGACAACAGGCCGTTGGAAAAACGGATCCCTCAATCCAGACTCAAAGACTTTTGTAAAAATTAAAAATATATATTTTGCCATATTTTGCCCTCAATCCAGACTCAAAGACCATTTAATTCTGATAATTAAACTTCTACCGCATCTTGAGGATGTCTCACTTCGACGTAGTACAATATTTGACCCAAATTGTATCACGAAGATATCATAAAATCTTTTTTTTATAACTACTACAAATTTTTACTTTTAGTCTACTTAGTTTTATTGCTCCTGTTAGTAATTATTTTGAAAAAAATTAAAAATAAATTTTTGTAAAAATGAAAAATATATTTGTATTTTGTAAAAATTAAAAATACATATATATTTTGGCAAAAGTCATGTTTTTAATGGGGTCCGAGGTAACTTTCAACTTCTGAAATAAATCAAGAAGCCCTCGGCAAGGGTATTAAAATAATCTTGGTAATTCAAAAGCTTTCAGATAACGCCGGACTTTGAGAATTATTCAAAATTATTTCTCAGAGCACCATTTTAGTCTCAACAAGGGAAATGGACTGTCAACAGCTACCGCTGGAAAGCAAATAAACTATTAGTCAGTCTTGTCCGGATATAATTGACTGCTAAGTATTCGTATTCTTTCTCGAAAAAAGTGTTCGGTCTGCCTTTTAATGAGAACCCACAACTAATAAGATTAAAAGTGCAAAGTGTGCAATAATGACGCAGCCATCGGAGCATAAAATGGTGTTTAAAATGGTAGGTACATCAACGACTTAGGGAGAAATGTGCACAGAAAGGATTCTCACATCGAATTTGTCTTTAAGTTACACGACTTTGGTGCTATTTGCTTACGTTGTTATAATGCAATTTTTCGTTATCTTATCAAGGCGAAAACCAAATGCGTAATCGGTCAAAAATAATGTTTCGCCTGCATAAAAACCCTCAATTGATCTTTTTTGTAGGACAGTGACGTGTTTTCCGAATCTGTAAAGTATGAAAAGGATAATGAATCTCCTAGGGAGTTCCAACCCGTGAGCATGGTTTTTAAAATGGTGAGAACAACAACAAAAACAAGATCCAGGGATTGTGTCAATTGTAACTGCATTTAAAGGATGCTCAAATGGAGGTTATTGAAAGACCCGCGGTTCCGAGTTCTAATAATTCTCAGCAGAAGCTGCAGCCTCCTTATGTCTGCATACTGAACCACGAAGATTTTTCGGAAAATCCTGGTCTCAATCGAAAGGGCAGCTCAAAGGATGTCGAAGCACTGCACAGGACCTTCAGGAAACTTAATTGCCAGATTGAAGACGTTAGCAATCCAACGTTTGCCAAGGTTCAGGACACAATGGAGAAATGTATGCTAAATAAAATATAACTTGTTACTTTTAGATTTCTGATACATTTTTACAGTGTCTGAAAAAAACTTTGACAACCTGGCTGGAGTGGTAATCGTCATCTTGAGCCATGGAGACCTGAAAGAAAAGATCCTCACCTGCGACAGTAAAGTGTACGACTTAGACGAACATGTTCTCTTTAAGCTCTTTGAAAACCGCACGCTGAGAAGGAAACACAAAATCCTAATAGTTCAAGCCTGCAGGAACGGGTGGGAGAAGGAGGCTGTGATGAGGCATGGCTCTCAGTTCATGAAGTGTTACAGCACCACAGAACGTTTTGACAGCTTTCTCGACCCATCGACTGGGTCGATTTATATACAAACCCTGTGCGCCGCAATGGATCAGGATGCCCTCGAGAAGGACTTTAAGTTGATCATTGAGGATGTAAACGAGAAGGTGGAAAAGTTGGCCAAACTTAAAGGGTAAGTTTTAAATTTTGTGATACAAGATCCTTAGAGCGAAGAATTACTTTTATTTTCCCTATATTTACAGTACAAACCAAACGCCATCGATATCTTATAACAAATGGCAACCGCTCTGTTTTGGACACTTTGTGAAGAACGCATTGTAAAAATAGTTTTAAAAATAATAGCTTTCAAGAAAGAAACCCGCAGTAAAACGAGTAGGTACTTAAAAAATCTTTGAAGTTTACTATGGTATCGTCTAGTCGGAGTGGAAATCCGATTTACCAAAGGAAAGCTCAATTGCATTTGAGTTAACTGAACACAGACTAAGGCCGTTGGAGAAACGGCCGTTGGAGAAACGGATCTCTCAATCCAGACTCAAGGACAATTTAATTCCGATAATTAAACTTCTACGGCATCTTCAGGATTTCTCACTTCAAGGTAGTACGAGAAGACGACCATCCAGAAGTAGACGTCCATGCCTGGAAAGCAATGTTATGGGTTTTTTCATAGAGCATGCAGTTCAGGAATTGCATTGGTAACTCACAAATGTAAACAGCCGAGCACGGAATAATGAGCTCTCTGTACGGCTGGCTGGTAAACGTCATGTAGATGCAGTAGATGGTCAAGATCATGCAGTTGGTGAGGCTGGTGATCAGAAAGAACATCAGCAGGACAGTCGACCTCTATGGTAGATCTGCAGTATTGGTACTACTTGTGGTTTCATCTGGACTTACAAGTAGAACTCCGCCCAGCAGAAAAGTGCAGCCGATGCAGTGGCAGATGGCCACCGCCTGCTCCATGTGGGCAATGAACTCCTCTGCAAGTCGAGGCATTTAATACCGGAATGCGATTACGAATTCATCACAGGTGGAACTTACGACCGGCCAGGTTGAGCACCACCAGGTTGATGACGAAATCCAACACGGCGATAATAATGCAGGCCGTGCGCAATTTAATGCAACAAAGGCATTTCCGGAGACGCCACATTTTTCAATTTTGATTCTAAATCCCTGAAAGCTGATTGAAAAGGCGAGGGAATTATTAGAGATCCAAAGGTTTTATTACCATGAGCACTGTACAATTTAATACAACTATAATAGGAGATCACAATCAGAGGAAGAGGGCTCCTCCCAAGGCGGCGTAAAAGGAGTAGGCCACCAGCCAGAAATATAGGCACAAAACTAGAAAGTTAGGGGATCAGCGATGGAAGTATCAGCACTTCAGTGCTACTCACAGAACATTAAGGCATAGGTGACTATTATCCAGAACCAAATAACTAGAATCACGTCCGATATTATCAAAATGATCATCGCCAGGGCCATTATCATAGTCATTAGTATGTAGAATAGCATCCAGCCGCTTTTTAGCTAGAGAAAACCATTATGAACGAAAGCAATAAGCAATTAAAGGTGGTCTCATCTAACCCGAAAACACCCGATGATCAGAACGACGCAGCTCAGGATGTGCAGCATTATGAAGATAATAACCAGAGCATGTCCCAGATCAGGATTGCCTGCGGGTTACCAGAATAGCTCATTCTTGCCGGAAATCCACGCCTTACTCACCTGACTCCCCGAAGAGGGCGATAAAAGTGCCCCCGATGATATCCGCTAAGATGTGCAGGATCCCGACTATTATGGTACCGATGCGCAGATCCACGCAGCAGCAACATCTTTGAAGGTAGATCATACTGCCGATGCTCTAGAAACCCGATGCGCTTTTTAAAGTGTCTAATCTATATTGTTTCTAGTATTGGGTTGTTATTAACAACTGTTTCGTGTTGGTCTGGTATAAGTTCTGACACTCAATGCTAAGTACTTTGTAAGGTAGTTTACTTAAAATCTAGTGAAGCGAATGACCTTTATAAAATGAGTTAATAACTTTAAAATAACTTTATTTCTCTCTCTATTTCTCATATTTGTTTTAGTTACACAATTAAGTGGATACTTGTCGTGTAATGCTTTTATTTTTCCAAGTTGTATTCCTGAGTTCCGTGGGTGAGTAACCTTTTTTAAAGTAGCCACTTCGTAAATATTTAAGTGGAGATCGCCGATCGAAATGACCGTCCGTGGCCTACCAGCGGAATGTACATATGATCGTGTCAATAGCGTTATATAATAAATTACAAGTGAACATCGCAATCGGCCATTTAGGCGTATACTTTTGGCAAATATTAACCGAAAAGGGGCCGGGAAGCCCCAGAAAAAAGAAACAGAAAATAAAACAGAACGTGACGACGCCGACAAGCCCCTCCCTTTTGGTTTCGGTTTCGTTTTCGTCACCCACATCCGAATCTGAATTCGAATCCGAATCGGAAACGGAGTCCACCAAGTGCGCTGGTATCGAAATCGAAACCGAAATGGGCACAATGCGCTGGCTAATTTGTATGCATCGCGGATTGCTGGCGGGGATTGAAGAGCTCGGCGTAACGCGATTGGGAAGCCATCGGAGATATTATGCAAAGGCGGGGGTTATACCACTCGTCTGCCGGTGGATCCATATAAAACGGTCGATTGACCTGCAGCAGTAGCTTCATTCGCAGCGGAACCCCCGACAAGATCAGCAGCATGCAGACGCAGTGTATCCTCCTCCTCCTCGTGGCCACCGGCTTGGCCCTGTGTGTGGCCCGCCCGGAGCCGCCAAAGTCCCGCTATGGACCGCCGCCGCCACCAGCGCCCCAAAAGGAATACGGTCCTCCGGCTCCGGCGGCCCAACCCCTGCCCATCTACGGACCACCGGCCGCCTTCTACGGACCACCAGCCGCCTCGGAGGCGCTGGTCACCAAGAACGTGTACGTGCACGTGCCGCCAGAGGAGCCCGAATTCTATCCGGCCTCGTCGCCCATCCAGACGGCTGTGCCCAAGAAGCACTACAAGATCATCTTCATCAAGGCGCCCAACCCGCCCACTCCGGTGCGCCAGGTGCTGCCGCCTCCCGTGCAGGATGAGCACAAGACCCTCGTTTACGTGCTGGTGAAGAAGCCCGAGGAGCAGCAGCCCCTCATCCTGCCCGCCCCCGAGCCCACGGAGCCCAGCAAGCCAGAGGTGTACTTCATCAAGTACAAGCAGCAGCAGCAGCAGCCCAAGCCGGCTACCCAGTACGGCCCACCGCCCTCCGCCCCCTCGGAGGAGTACGGAGCACCTCCTGCCCCCCGCACCCTGGAGCAGTTCTAGTTCGTAGTGTCGCCGAGGTTCACAGCCCATGAATGTACATATTATTTATGATCGCTGCCATTAAAGAGAGTTTAGAGAATGCGAAATCAACCGGATCTTGAGTTCTTGGGGAAACACTCGTACAGAGGAGCTGAATTTAATATTCAAGAAGCAATCTTTACTTATAATTTAAGTATAATATTATTTATGAGAAGAAACTTTACAGTAGGCCAGACCTGATGGAGCTTCAGTTGTTTGTAGAACAGTATGCATATAACTAAACATATAAAAAAACTAAAAGTAGAGTTATGCGGATTGTTATTCCATCCATTCTGCTCCGAATATTGGTGAATAAAGCCCCTTTTAAACTCTTTAATCCTGGCGGAAACATCACCTATTATGCATAACTTACCTCTTTGTTTTTAAGCCCACATCATTTCTGATTTTAAGGTTCGTTAAAGTATAGATGTTTACATGTTGCTAGAGAAAAAAAGAAAAAGCTTTTTTACTTCTTTAATTATGTCGAAGTTTTCATTCAATTTCCCAGAATAATACGACGGGTTATCATTTTTAATTTGTTATTTTAAGGAACAATACAAAAATATATAAGCTTAAGTGTCCTTTAATCGATCATAGTAGGAGAAGACTATTAACCAGAAGTACAGGCCAAGAACTGAAAAGAGATTTTAACAAGCGATTCATTAAGGAATTATAGAAAGGTATCTTACGGGACTGAAGTATGTCGAAGACAAGATAATCATTAACAATCCCTTCGGTGGCCACAAACACGCCCTCGGCAACCAAAAGGAAGAACCGAAGGCATGACACTGAGAGGTACGGCAGCAGAAAACATCTTAGCCCCTGAAATGAAAAGGATTTACTCTCCTCAAAAAAAATTAAACTACTGGGAGGCTTTACCAGGACAGCTCCTAGCAAAAGGAATATGCAGCAGATAACGTAGACACCGCTCACGATTAGGGAAAGAAGCCCCAACAGACTGTCGCCTAGATATACGGGTGATATACACTATCGATCCATAAGGACACATCCACTTACGGTCCACGAAAAACCGATCCAATCCTCGGAAGAGAACCTCAACAATGGCAATCAGAATGCAGCCGCATTTCAGCTCAATGCAGCAACAGCAGTTATCGGAGTAGATCATCTTGGGTTCACTAGGTTTTCTAAACCCGTTTCAGATGTTTGCCGCTTGGCCAACTTACAAAAACAGGTAATTATGTTTAGGCGTCAATTCTTATCACGTTCCATGTTCCACTGCTGTGGTCTGCATAATTAATTGGCTTTGTGCGGCTTAGACCAATTAAGGTCATTGCCACCGAATTTCTGCGCAAGATTGTTGATCAGTGGGCCTTTCTTGGTAATAAAACATTGATAATTTGTTTAAGTGACGACAAAACTGTTATTTATTGAATTAAAAAAAACAGTAAAAACCACTAGCAAAACATTTAAGTAAACCATCTCGTAATCCCTGCCCTACCCCAAGATATAGACCTGTGCTGACCATTAAATAATTGAATGTTTATTATAATTCGTATAGCTAAAGTGAATGTACAATAACCGAAGACCTTTGCGTCTTGGCAACTGCAAAAAAATCCTGACTCGAAAGCGGGAGAATGTGGAGTAGTAATTGTAGTTGCGGGGTGGTCTAGTCGATTCAGTAAACCTAGTAATAGTTAAATGCGAGGAGACTTATCTCTAGCCCAGTAAACGCAATGATTATAGTCAGCCTACAGCGGACTTTCGTCTGCGGGTCCGCCGAACTCCTCGCCCTAGGGGAATCGTCCGCCGCTGTTGAAGTTGTTCGGAGACGGGCGACGGATGGGCCGCCGACTGCGGGCCCTCTGGGCGAAGCGATTGTTGTTTGGCGGCATCTGGTCCCGCTGCATGTTACCCGGCGACGTCTCCCGCTGCCAGACGATGCGCTGCGGTCGGTTCTGGTTGTTCGGACTGCCGCCGCGCATCATGGCGCGTCCTCCTCGTCGCGTGGGCACCGCACTCCGCAGCGTTCGAAAGCGCGTGTTCTCCGACGGCGAGGTGGCCTCCGCCTCTCGACCTTCCTCCTTAAAAATCAAAACAAAATTTTATTCATACATCCGAATACATGTACAAACTTAAATTGATATAAATTGATTAAAAACTTGTTTAGCTTGCATAAACTAAATTAAGATACGTGTTAGTGCTATTTATTCTAGAACTTCTTTCATTCCATTCTCCCATTCAGGGTCTCATTCGGACCAACCTGATTCGATCCACCGTTTACCAGCCACCAGAACAAGTGCTACTTTGGACAAGAACGGGTCCTTACCTCAACACCCACCGCCTGCTTCTCGCCTTCAGAGGAGACGCCATCAGCGCCCTCGCTGTCCTCGGTGGGGTTGCCCTCGGCAAGATTGGCCTGGTTGTGGGACACCTCCGACTGGCTGGTGCCAACATTGGGATCTGCTTGGGTTAACCAATGAGTTTCTGACCGTGTGTGGATTTCATTTAGAAGCTTACTATCGTTTCCCAGGGGCTGGGAGTCTTCTCCTTGGCCAGTGGCCACCGTCTCCTCGGCGAAGGCCTCGTCCGCCTCGCTGGCGTTCTCTGCTCCTCCAGGGTGATCGCCCTCGTTGGCAGCCTTGTTGGCATCGCTGCCACTGCTCTCCCCTGGCTCGCCTTGCTTTTGCGGCGAACTGGCCGTGGCAGCACCCTCGTCGCTCGGCCCAGCACTTTCGTGCGGAGCAGCCTCGGCCACCTCGGCGGTGCCGTCCACTTCGGCGGTCTCCAAGCGGGCGGGCTGCTCGCTAAAGTTCGACACCTGCGGCGAGCTCACTATTTCCACGCAGCTGTTGGGATGGAATCGATTAGTTTGGATCAACCTGAGACTGGAACCTGAAACCCACCTTTCATTGCGACGAGCAGCTGCCGAAGATGTGGAGGCGGCTGCCTGCTTCCAGTTGGAGGCCTCGGCCTGAGGAAGGGAGACCGGATTCGAGGACTCGCCACTGCCACTGGTTATGGCCTGACTCTGGTTGTTCTCCTGCGCGGAAGCGGAGGCGGTGGCCACCGCCTGGCTGTCCAGCGACTGGCTCTCTTCCTGCGCCTGCAGGTGCTGTCCGGGCACCTCCTCAATGTCCACCTCGTTGTTGTCCTGGGCATCCACGGCGATGTCGTTGTCATCGTCAGCGCCCTCGTTGTCGTCGATCTCGTTGTCCTGCTCGTAGGAGTCCTCGTAGCCCTCCTGCTCGGCTTCGCCGCCGTCAATGGGACCATCGTCGGCGTCGGCCAGGACATCCTCCTCGTCGTCAGAGTCCACCACCTGGATGTCATCCTCCTGGTCGCGTTGCGAGGAGGTCGGCATTTGATCCACGTCCATTCCGGAGTCGCCAATGTGTCCGGCGGACAGTTCGCCGCTGTGCATCGGACCGCGGAGTCGCTTCGTCATTTTTGGCATCTTATCGGGCACTCCCTCCTCGTTGGTGGTGGACGAATCCCCCTCGACGTCGCGTGGCCGCTTGATGCCCTGCGACGAACAGCCGGCCTGGGTGGTGGTCACATTGCTGCTGGACGGAGTGTGCCGGCTGTGGCTGCTCACCACCGTCGAGGAGCTGCTGCTGCTGCCCGACGTGCTCGGCTGCTGGCTCTGGCTGCCGCCGTCCTGGACACTCGGAGCCGTGGCGTTCGGCGCTGAGGTGGAGCTGGACGACGAAGAGGAGCCTTCCACGCGCGGCGAAACCAGAGCCACCACCTGCTGCTGGGCTCCGCCCGCGAACAGCTGCGATTCGTTCTGTTGCGGATGCTGGATGCTCTCCGCCTCCTGGGAACTTTCGGCCGCGGACGAGGCACCCATCGGCGGAATGGCAGCCACGGCCACCGATGCCGAGCTGGTGGATGGCATGTAGTCGGTGTGCGAGGACGTGGGCGAGGAGGACGCCATCGACTCGAGGGCCGCACTTCCGGTGGTGTGGACCTGCTGCTGAGGCGGCACCAGAGCGGTCTGGGCCACCGCCGAGCTGCCCCCGCTGGCCGCAGCGGATGTGGTCGAAGTGGATGACGAAGAGGAGGAGGAGGAGGTGGTGGTGCTGGATCCAGCTGGTGGCTGCTGGCTGGTCGGAAGAATGGCGGCCGTGCGGCTGTTCTGGACCGAAATTGGGCGGATGCTGGCCAGAGGAGTCTCGCCGCCGCGCCACGGAGTCACGGTGGCCGACTGCTGCACTGTGGCCGATCCGGACATTGGCTTCACGTTGGCCGTGCGGGGAGAGCTCTCTGAGATGTTGCCCTTCTCGGCCACGGAACTGGTCGACGGCTTTGTGGACTGCTGCGATCCCAGCTGGCGGGTGAGCTGGTTGATTCTCATGTGCAGCGATTCGTTTTCGCGGGAGAGTCGCTGGTTGATGTCCTTATTGGCGGCAATGTTGTCCTGCAGTTCCTTTTCCAGGCGGGTGATCGTCTCGTCGTAGGAGGACTTGGTGCCGGCAAAGGATGTCTCCTGGTTGGCCAAATCAGTACGAGCCACCGTGAGGTCCACCACCAGTTTGTCCAACTTAGCCTTGTACTCCTGGCGCACAGCATTGGCATCCGTTTCGGGCTCTGTGCGTTTCTTCAGCTCCTCGTTCTCCTTTGTCAGCTTCTCTTGCTCTTCCTTCAGTGCCCTCAATTGACCGTTGACCTCCTCCAACTCGGCTCGAATCTTCTCCAGCTCTGCGATGGACTCGGTACCGCCTGCTTGGGCTTGCAGACCCATGTAGTAATCCTTGTAGCGCTTGGCCAGCTTGCGCAGCTGCAACTCCTTGGTATCCTTGTCGGCTATGGTCTTGTCCTTTGTCTCCAACTCCTCGTTGGCCTTCAGCAGCTCCTCCTCCTTCTGCAGCAGCCTGTTCTTCAGCTCCATGATGTCCTGCCCCTGGCGCGTGTTGTTCTGCTTGAGGTTGTTGGACTCGTCCGCCTGCTTCTTGCGCGCCTCGTCCAGCAGTTGCAGGTGTTTGTTCAGCATCGGAATCTCTGTGTCCAGGCGCTGCTTCAGCAGGGCCAGCTCATCGGCCTGCTTCTTGTTCTGCTCCTTCTCGGCCGTGAGCAACTTAGCCAGGTGCTCGCGCTCGGATTGCAAGCGCTTGAACTCCTCCGGATTGCGGTTGCTCTTCTCGACCAACGCATTGGCGCGCTGCCGCCACTTGATGGCCTCGGTGCGCAGCGAGGTGTTCTCCACATTGATCTCCTCGATCTTCGAGGTCAGTTCCTTGTTGCTGCACTGCAGCGGGAACAGCTCCTTCTCCAGGCTGCTGATACGATCAGTGAGTTCGGCGACACGAGCGGTCAACGCATTTCGCTCCTCGCGAAGAATGCGATTGCTGTCGGTGATGGCGTTCAGCGTTTCGATCTTGCGCAGAACCTCCTCGTGCTTATTGGCAGAGACCACGTCCGCCTGGCTCTTGGCGCGCTCCTGGTTAAGATAACCATTAAGTTCGTCTACCTTTTTCTGCTGAATGGTGTGCTCCGAGACGAGGCGGGCGTTCTCCGCCTTCAGGATGTCTATTTTGGCGGCAAACAGATCCTTCTCCCTGCGCAGGAACTTGATGATCTTCAACAGCTGCTCGTTGTTCCTGCCCTCGATGCTAGCGGACATTCCAGAGGCATTGAGGCTCTGGTCAGCATCCATGGCGGAATCATTCAGGGAGGTGTTCGGGTTCTGACTTTGGCTGGCCAGAACAGCTAGTTGGGCGGTCAGCGCTTCAATCTGATCGTGCAGACTAGAGTTCAGGGCATGCAGATCGGCCACGCGCTTCTCCGACTCCTCCTTCTCCTTGTCCAGCAGTTGCTGCGCCTCGGCATTGGAGCTCAGCAGCTTGTCGTAGGCGGCCTGCAGGGAATCGCGACCCGATTTCAGCTGATTCAGCTCGTCGTTGGCCTTGTAGAATTCCGCCTTGAAACGGGTCAGCTCCTGGATGTCCGCCGAGTGCTGCACCATTCCGTTGGCGTACTTCACCTCCACGGCACTTAGGGATTCAGCCAGCTTTGTATTCTCGTTGCGCAGCGTGCGAATAGTTTGATTGGCCTCCGTGAGCTTCTCGAGCACACTCTTCAGCTCCTCCTGGGCCGACTTCAGCTGGCCCGACTGGTTGACCACCTTGCTTTGCTCGGTGACATTGGACAGCATCGCCTCGGCCTCCAGATCGCTGATGCGTGTCTTCAGCTCGGCCTCGGAGCTCTGGAGTCTCTTGATTTCCTCCTCCTGCTTGGCCACCAGCTCGGTGTGCAGATCGTGCAAACGTTTGATCTCGCTTTCGGCGCTCTGCGACATCTTGTAGAACTGCTCGCCGTGGGCGCGGGCATTGGCCAGCTCCTTGGTGAGCGACTGGATCTCCACGGTGGCCTGGTCCAGCTTGAGCTCGAATTCGCGGGCTCGCTTGTTGGCCGCCGCGATGGGATTGTCGTTGATGGAGGGCGTCAGGCTGTCCTGCAGCTTTTTGCTCAGCTCATTCACCTGATTCACCTTCTGGGCGAGTTCTTCGCGCAGGACCACTAGCTCCTCCTGCCACTTCTCGGCCTGCTGCTTTTCTTCGTCCTTCAGTTTAATGGCCGTCTCCGCCTGCCGCTTGAACTCGTTGATTGACTCGCGGAACTTCTCCTCCTCTTCCTGGAAGTGGCGACGCTGGGCAGCCAGTTCGCGCACCGTGTCATCGAGGCGTTGCTCCAGCCGCTGGCGTCCCTCCATTTCGGACCGCTCCAAGTTGGTCTTGATGAACTCCAGGCTGTTCAGAAGCAGCGACTGGCTCTGCTGCTCGCGGTGGTAGGTCTCCTTTTCGATCTGCAGGCGGGCGGAGGTGTCCCGCAGGATGCGGTTCTCCTGGCGCAAGCTGTGAGCCGCCGAATCGGCAGCCGCATGCTTGCGGTGGGCGGCCATCACTTCGTCCTTGAGCATGAGCACGGTCTGCTCGTGCTTGACAATGGTTTTCTCGTAGCTCTTGGTGCGCTCCTCCAGTGTGGACACCTGCTGCTTGTAGGTGTCTATGTTCTTGTGCAGCAGCTCGATCTGCTCCTTTTGGAACTCGGTGGCGTTCATCAGCTTGCAGTTGGCGCTTGTCAGCTCGCGCACCTCCTTGCGCATTGAGTCGAACTGCTCCTGGGCCAGCGCATCGTTTTTGCGCTTTTCGCTGGTGTAGTAGTCGTAGTTCTCCTTCAGGGAGGCGTACTTCTTGCCCTCCTCTTCCAGTTGCTGCTCCAGCGTGCGCACTCTGCGCTCTAGCCTTCCGTGCTCCTCCGCCTGAGCGGCTGTCAGTGTTGAGGTCTCGAGGACTGAGTCGTTCAGCTCCAGATTGGGGTCATCCAGATCCACAGTACGTTGGCCCAACTTCTTTTGGGCCGCGAAGTAGTACTTCTTGTAGCGATCGCACTTGGAGAGCAATGTGCTAACTGTGTCATTCTTCTGGGCCAATAGCTCTTCCATTTCGGCAAAACGGGCTTTGACCTTCTCCAGCTGCTTTTCGGCCTGCTCCAGCAAGAGTTTGTTGTTGTCTTTGTCGACTGCCTCTAGCGATTCAGCGAGATCACGGCTGACTCTTAGCAAGTCCTTGTTCTTTTGGACCAGCTCCTCGATGGAGCCAAAGGTGACTAGGTGATCGGTAATCACATTTTCGCTGGTGGTCGGTGCGCGCTGTGGCTGTCGGATGTGCGGCACGCCGGCTCTCAAGCAGTTCACTTCGTGAAGCAGCATGCACACCTGTCGGCTGAGGTCGTTCTGCGTCTGCTTCAGCTTCTTGCTCTCCTTCTGGTTGTGGCTCAGGTTGCAGGAGACCCTCTCCAGTTCGTGGTCTAACATTACCTTCTGCTCCATTAACTCCTGGTACTCTTGGCGAAGCAGGTTGTGCTCCTCGCTCAGTTTGCGGAATTCGGAGCTACGTTTCTCGATCATCGGAACATTCTCGCTGATTTCCTCCAGAATGGATTTTACCTGCAGCTTCAACTGTTCGTTCTCGCGCTTCTGCAACTCGAGTTCTTCGCTATTCTTTGCGTACATTGAGTAGAGTTCGGTTAGCGAAAGATCGGAGCGCATCAAGCGATTAGCTATAGCAGCACTGGGGGCCAACTTGCAGATGGCGCTCTCTAGCGTGCTCTCCTGGGCCTCCTTCAGCAAGACGTTGGCTCCTGCCAGCTCCCGTTGCAGCTCTTCAATCTTCTTGTTCTGCTCCTTCAGTTCGGCAGCGTGATTTTGCTTAAGCGTAGCAATCTGTGCCTCCAGTTCAGCGCCCTGATCCTCGGTCTCCTGCAGCATACGCTTCATATCGGCAATACCCTGCAGCAGTTCCTCCCTCTGAGCCACGTGATTGGCTTCCGTGTTTTTGAAAATATCGAACAGCTTCTCCTTGGCATCAAGCTCCTTCTTTAGTAGCTCCACATACTCCTCGGTGGCCAGGTTTTGCTTGTACGTATTGTCGTTATGGGCCTCCAATTTACCGTTTAGTTCCTTAATAGTCTTCAAAGCTTGTTCGTATTGTCCCTGCACCATGTGCAGTTCATCAGTCTTCTCCTTCAGTCGCGACTCCAACTGCATGGTGTTAAGCGAGTGCTCCCGCCGGATATTATGCAGCTCGGCGTTGTTTCTGTTGAGATCGGCGCTGAGCAGCTGAATCTCCTGCTGCATCATTTGGCGCTCGCTCTCCATGCGATTCTCCTTCAGCTCAAGAGCCACCTCCTTGCTCTGAATCTCGTCTACGCGGGCAATGGCCTCGCACTTGGCGGCGATGGCGCCACTTAGCTGCTGCTGGTAGGTGTGCAGGTCCTGCTTCAATCGCTCCAACTCCGCCTGCTGCCGCTCGATTACCTTCATCAACGAATCGCGCTCCTCGACGGCCGCAAACTTCTCCTTGCGCAAATGGGACACATCCAGCTCATAGTTGGTCACTGTCTGAAGCAGCTGGACCCTTTCCGCGGACACTTGGTCCAGCTGGCTACGCAGCTCGGCGACATTTAGCTCAAAGTTGTTGAACTTGGCCAGGTAGTCCTCCATTTTGTTTTCTAACTCCTCGCTCTTTTGCTCGGCTTCGGCTGTGAATGTGCAATAGGTGTCATTTATAAGAAAGAATTTAAATATTTTTATTCATGATTTGCAGTTTAAATATTTTGGTGGGAAAATTTCGGGGCCAGTGTTACCACACTACTGGCAGATAAAAATTTGGTACAACAAAAAGTGCAGCAGCCATTGTTTCTTTTTCAGTGCAAGAAGTCGATTATCGAAGAAAATGAAAGATATAAACAATAAAAGCCACAAATGGCTGCCAAATGAACATCTATCGTAATAAAATCGCTATATTAGTTTTGTTCGCAGGCAACAAAATGTACAAAATTAGCCGGCATGCCAAAAAGTGCAGTCCCGTAGGTACATAAACAAACCCAACTTAAATGCTGCTATGAGCAGAAAATGTAGGCATTCAAGCAACGAATTAACTTACCCAAGCGATTGGCTGCCGCGCGTTCCTTGCAATACTCATCCGAAAAATTTTTTATGTACGCCGACAACTTCTTTTGGACATCTTCCGGCACGAGTTTCAGCTCATCGGGCTGAAGTATTAGGTCCAGACTTTGTGGACCGCTGAGATCCATTTTCGCAGGTGATCCTTGTCAAGCAGTGGTGAAATTGGAGTGGAACGTGCGAAATATACAAAATGTTCTCAGTTATTTGCAAAATTGCAGGAATCCAGACGAGACGCGAAAAACAGAGTAACCGTGCGTGCAGTTGAGTTAATATCCCGCAGGGCGATAAACGCCCTAAATATTCCTCTAGCCGCAAAAAACTCTCATGTGAACGCTTTACAACACTTTTCAAAAGTTAAATTTGAATTCAAAACCACGAAAACAAACAGTATAATAAAAGCACACATTATCTTTTTTCTCAGTTGTAGACTAAATTTTTAGATTTTAGTGTTTAAGCTGACGAAACTTGCTTAGCTACATCGCTTACTAAAAAGTTTTCAAAGATTGAATAGTTGTTAAAATGAAAGTCTTGATAAATTAGGCCCGAACCGTTAACCACTTAAAATCGTGTGTACTTTTGATTTGGTGTTTATTTGGTAGTTCTCTTTTGGGTAAATATCTCACAACAACTATTTTAAGTCTAGGTTAATGTCATGCGATGTTCTGAAGTCAAGCCTCCGATCTGCTGATAGCCTCTCTGTTTTTCCTGCAGCACATTGGGTACGTTCTGATATGGGCGTGCGAACCTAGAACTATAGTCGGCCTATATAACCATCTAATCGGGCATGGAAATATGCCATGCAAGTCCCATGGGGCAGAGCATGATCGTAACTATCATATTATAAAGTTATATACGGGTATTTGTAGTTCATGTCTTTTTAACTCAGTTCTTTTTGCGCAACTTTTGGTGCTCAGTTGTTGGTTGGTATTTTTCGTTTTTCGATTTTGGTTTTTCGTTTGAATCTCCTCTCACACATCCTTTTGCTGTTGCTCAACCGAAGGATAACAAGCGACAGAGTGCGAGTGGGCATGGGTTGCATAGGATAATGACGAGAACGTTTCGGATAGTATTAATAGTAACTGGTAGAATCAGCAATATCGGTGAGGCATTCGAACTCTGAAACTCAGGAACTCAACTAGTATTTGACCGCTACTAAAACACGATTAACTTATGGGGCAACCAACTAATCTATCAATACACCTATTCCTAGGCCTCCTCGCAGTCCTCCTCCTCCTCGCGCCGAACAAACAGCCGGTGGTTGCGGGCCTCTAGGATGGACCACACCACCAGCGGAGTGCAGCCGAGCACCATGCAGGATCCCATGCAGTAGAAGCATATCTCGTAGTCGCCGGAGAGATCGCGCATCAGACCCGCCAGCGGAGGCACCGAAATGGCCCCGATGCTCTGGAACATCCGCACCAGTCCGTAGCTCGAGCTGATCCTATCCGTGCCGAAGACGTCTGCCAGGAGCACGGGCATCAGGACATACCAGCTGCCCAGGCACAGTCCGTAAACGGCGGCTGACAGACCCACCAAAACCAAGGTCTTGGCAAAAGGAATCGTAAGCACGGCGCATCCGGCGCCCAAAATGCTGTTGGTATGCGGGAATATCTTAGTTTGTATCATATTTATAATCACATTTATCCACTCACCACAAGGTGTAGGTCTTCTTGCGGTCAAATAGCTGCAGATCACTCAGCCAGCCAAGACCCAAGCGTCCAATTAAATCCAGCACAGCGCTGATGGCCACCAGGTAGCCCGCCTCGCTCTTGTTGTAACCTAGGACAAAATACGGATTAGTAAGATTATATTTTTCATCTTTTGTAGGTAAGCAGCATACTCACCTATTGAAATGACGTGGGCGGGCAGGTAGTACAGCATGTAGGGACATCCGACGGACATCAGGGTGACGGAGAGGCACATGAGGATAAAGCTGGGATCCTGTAGCAGGCTGATGTCCAGGTACATCTCGATGCGCTCGCAGCAGGTGCGTGGTCCCCGCTCCTCGTCGTCCTCGTCGTCGTCATCGTCAGCTACTCCGTGGCAGTCGCCATCGATGGATTCCACCATCTGGGAGTCTAGGATGCCGTGCTCGGCCTGCTCAGGCGGCTGCTGCTTCAGGTCGCTAAGGTTGCTCACCGGGGTGGGGATCTCCATGCTTTTGCTTAGTCCCCGGCTGACCACACTCGGCGGCGAAAGAGGCTTCTCCAGGTGGGCCTGAATCTTAGAGATCACCTCGTCGTTGGCAAAGACGTTACGCCTGCGCCGACTTCCCCGATTCGAGTCTGTTCCGGAGTGCTTGCGGTACACCCACGTGGAATCCGTGCTGAGATCCTCCACGGAGTGCAGTAGCCCCGAGCTTCGCACCTTCTTCATGGGCTTAATAAAGGTGGTCTCGCCTATAATGTCTTTCACCTCATCATCGCTCTCCTGAGCCGATTTGTCCTGGGCTAGGGTACAAAATTAAGATTAATATTGAAGATTCACAAGTTGAATCAGTTGATTCAGTACCTGGCTGCTTGCTGGCGTAGTAGTTAAGGTGGTTCTTGGACTCCTCCAGGAACAGGTGTTCGATGAACTTGTCGCTCAGCTCGTGACCCGCGCCCACCTCGCAGGTGTCCAGATAGGTGGAGGTGGTCAGGATGCCGGTGGTGCTCGGATTGATGTCCTCGTTGAGGGGCTTCGCCGTCTCCTCCTGTCCGTGGCCCTGATCCTGGTCCGTGTACGCGCTGATGGGACGGTACAGGGTGGCCGAGACGCACACGTGCAGCATGCAGCCGCCGAGGATGAGGAGGGTCCCGTGGAAGCCACAGTTCTCCGCCAGGTGCTTGATCAGCATGGGCAGGATGAAGCTCCCGGCCGCGGTGCCCGATACGCAGATTCCGTTGGCCAGAGCACGGTGCTTGTCAAAGTACTGGGACACTATAACGATGCCCGGAGTGGTCGAGAGTCCTCCACCAATTCCTAAGGGGGAGAATCGGAATGAATTAAATACAATTCAAAGTTGGTAGCACACTGAACTCACCTGTGAGTATGCCAAAGGTGAAAAGCAGGTGCAGCAGACTGGTGGCAAAGTAGCTGAGTATCATGCCCATGGCGCAGAAGATGCCGCCGACGAAGACGACCGCCCGGCAGGAGAATCGCTGGCACAGCGCACTCGACAGCGGAGCCAGGACCAAACAGAGGGCCGACAGGATGGCCGGAATCCAGGAGGCCACCGTGGCCGTGGAGCTGGGGAAGGTTTCCATTATCTCCACGTAGAGCACACCGTACGACTTGACCAGCCCGGCCACCCAGAACTGCACGGAGAAGGCGCCGAAGACGATGAACCAGCCGTAGCCGCCGTCCGGTGGCTCCACGTTGCCACCACCGCTCTCCGTGGTGGTCGTTGAGGAGTCCCGGTCCTTGGCCACCTGCCTGCTGCGCTTCGGGACGGACACTCGGTCTCGTTCGCGCTCCTTGGCCCGGCGGACGCACCTGCTCCTGGCCGTATTCAGACCGGATCCCGAACCGGAACCACTTTTCCGGCTGCTGCGCAGCTCGTGCGACTTGGCGATCAGCGGACGCGCCGTGATGCTGGACACGGTCAGCAGGTTCTCGTTGTCGTCCTCCTCGAGCTCGGAGATCTGGTGCTCCAGCAGGCTGGCGTGCAGGGTCCTCGGGCAGCAGGGCGTGTCCAGGCTGAGCGTGGCGGGTCGTCGCATTGGCGAGGCGTTCGGTGAGCAGCAGTTGGAGCGGAAGCTGGCGGGCAGGCCCATCGACTCCATGTGCTTGACGTCCGCGGGCACCACGATGTCGGGCAGTGGAGCCGGTGGCGCCGACACCACCGAGAACAAGGAGCCGCACTCCAGGCCACCGCCCACCCCGCCGACGGCCACGCCCACGCCCGCCCCTCCGCCGGAGCCCTCAGCCGGATTCGTGTCGAGAAGGCGCCCTCCCGACTCGTACTGGACTCCACCAGCTGGGTCCGGTTCACTCGCGCAGTAAACCGATCCCCGGGAACCCTTTAGGGAGAATCGAAAACATTTTAGCACTTATGAGAGTGGATTAAATAAAATTTGACCAAAAATCAGTAATTCAAAGTCAATCAATTTTTTAATTTTCATCCGATTTTAAAGTGGCATATCTCTAACAGGCAGGCTCCGGTTTTCACTTTCACAAGATTCTCTCGTTTTCGTTTTCAAAAACGAAAATTGGTGCTCCCGTTTTCACTTTCACAAGATTTTTTCGTTTTCAAAAACGGGCAAGTTTTTTTTGTCGAAATGAAAAGTAAATGCCTTTTTCTACATGAAATCGGTTCTTAATTGCAAAAGGAAAAAAATAGTTGACTCCTTGGTCTATTGATGTTCATTTCACATCATCAGTAGGTCAATCTAATTCGTATTTATTTTTTAAATAATTATTTTCTGACCCCATCTTGATTTCATACATAAAATATTTGCCGTCGGCAACAACAAATTTCGTTTTGCTAAGGGGCCGATAAATCTATTGCCAAAAGTTATCGTCAATGCTGCCGTACTTGTAGTGGAACAAAAAAACCACTTAAAAATAATTATAAAATGAAAACGAAGAAAAAAATATTTGTAAAGAAAAGATAAATAAGCTTTTTATAAATAAATATGATTAATTTAGTTTCTTAAATGGTAAAAGTGCTGTAAAAAAGTGGTTGAGAATAGTGGAATGAAAACTGCAAAAAAGTTGGCAGCCCCTTATTCTGGGAAACAGCTTAAATCAAATCATGACAAAAAGCGCGGCAACACTGTTCTAATTGTCATTTTTAACTTCCTTTGCACTCTTTCGCTTATCGCTTCCTGGCTTGGTCCACGGCAAGCTTCTAATGTAGTTCGATTTGGTACTCGCTTACAGAAGGCACGATTGCTGATCGCCTGCGTATTCCTTCGCGTTATATACTTTCGTCTAAAGCACAGACAAATCGGTCTGCCTGCCAACATACCTTATCGCTGTAAAAAGGCACAGACAATTCGGTCTGCCTGCCAAACCAACTCTACAACAAACAATAACTTTGTGAATTTGAGGCCTTGGTGCCAATTTTATAAATAAGTGCAACTTAATTCGAAATTTGTGCGGTTTTATTTATTTGGGCACCACCAAAGGTAAATGGTTAGTAAAAAAGCTTACTGACCCAACAACCTGTGACTAAGAAAGAACTTGCCTTGCGAAAGCCGAACTAAAAATAATCAATTCTACTAAAATCTTTGACTTTTTGCAATTTTGAGAAAATGGCAATGTAATGGCTACCAACAAATTCTACCTATCTGCACTACCAGTGTAACTGCATGCAATCTAATCTAAAGCAATCTATTATTACCACCTTATTCTTGTCAGTTGTCAATAAAATTTTCATTGACCAGGTTAATCTAACCATCCGTACATTTTAATTTCTTTTTTGTAATACTTCAAAACCAAACATTATTCAAAGGATTCTGTATAAGCTTAAAGAAGTTGGGTCCAAAAAAATTTCGAATTTAAATTTTGAAAATTGGAATCGTTTGACCCTCGTTTGACCACGTTTGCCCACCTTTTAGTTTTTTTTTTGACCCCCCGTTTCGAAGATATCGAATTTCGAAAATTGTCGAAAATTTTCGAAGAAAAAAAGTTTTTCAATTTTCAAATTTTTTTTTTTTAATCTGTTAAATAATCGTTTGAAAAGGTTTGCCCACCCTTTAGAATTTTGAAAAAATTTGTATTTTGGAAGATATAGGGCTCCAAAGTTTTTTAACTATAACGCCTTAAAAAAAATCTTAAAAAATTTTTTTCGGAAAGCGTTAGACAATTGAATGCTTTCGATTGCCTACTCTTTACATTTTTTAAAAATTTCAATCTTAAGGATGTATAAAATTTCAAACTTCAAAAACTAGTTACCCGTCAAAAGTGGGTATCTCATAAAAACAACGTTTTTTTACACCTTAAAAATGACTTTTTCGAAAAACTAATTTATGCCCACGTTTGACCCCCAGCTCAAATTTAAGATTCTAAAAACAAATCGTTTGACCCCCCCTTAAAAATCAAGATTTTTAAGAAACAAAATTTTTTTACATGCCGAACGTGGCTATCTCATAAAAACAACGTTTTTTTACACCTTAAAAAGGTTTATTCAAAATTAGTTATTCCACCCGATCACCTACCCACCCCATTTTTATTAAAAACAGCAAAACAAAGATTATTCAAACAAGAAAAAAACAAGTTATTACATTTTTAAAATATATACCTAATTCTTATGTATACTTATGTATACTTTTAATATGTATATATTTAGATTTTATTTATATTTATTTTTTGTAATAAAATTTAATTTTTCAATCAAACATTCCTTTCCTGTTTCTTTCTCACTTACGAAAACCTAACCTTTCACTCGCTAACCACCCCCTCTGTATTAAAAACAACAAAAAAAGTTTATTAAAACAAAAAAAACAAGTTACTACATCTTTAAAATACATACTTATATTTAAAAAAAATATATATTTATATTAATATATAAGTTTATATGTTTTTATATATTTATATGAATATATATATTATATATATATATAAAAATGGGGTGGGTAGGTGATCGGGTGGAATAACTAATTTTGAATAAACCTTTTTAAGGTGTAAAAAAACGTTGTTTTTATGAGATAGCCACGTTCGGCATGTAAAAAAATTTTGTTTCTTAAAAATCTTGATTTTTAAGGGGGGTCAAACGATTTGTTTTTAGAATCTTAAATTTGAGCTGGGGGTCAAACGTGGGCATAAATTAGTTTTTCGAAAAATTAAGTTTTAAGGTGTAAAAAAACGTTGTTTTTATGAGATAGCCACGTTCGGCATGTAAAAAAATGTTGTTTCTTAAAAATCTTGATTTTTAAGGGGGGTCAAACGATTTGTTTTTAGAATCTTAAATTTGAGCTGGGGGTCAAACGTGGGCATAAATTAGTTTTTCGAAAAATTCATTTTTAAGGTGTAAAAAAACGTTGTTTTTATGAGATACCCACTTTTGACGGGTAACCAGTTTTTGAAGTTTGAAATTTTATTCATCCTTATGATTGAAATTTTTCAAAAATGTAAAGGGTGGGCAATCAAAAGCATTCAATTGTCTAACGCTTTCCGAAAAAAAAAATTTTTAAGATTTTTTTTTAAGGCGTTATAGTTAAAAAACTTTGGAGCCCTATATCTTCCAAAATACAAATTTTTTCAAAATTCTAAAGGGTGGGCAAACCTTTTCAAACGATTATTTAACAGATTAAAAAAAAAATTTGAAAATTGAAAAACTTTTTTTCTTCGAAAATTTTCGAAAATTTTTGAAATTCGATATCTTCGAAACGGGGGGTCAAAAAAAAAAAACTAAAAGGTGGGCAAACGTGGTCAAACGAGGGTCAAACGATTCCAATTTTCAAAATTGAAATTCGAAATTTTTTTGGACCCAACTTCTTTAAGCTTTCTGTATAAGCATAACCTATTGTATGATAATTTTTTTGTTAGGTTGTTTTTTACAGATCAAGATGTTGATTACGAGCGTGGTATTGATTTATACCGTAGCATTTCTGGCTTTCAGCCCGGTGACAGGACCACCTCGATTTTTTCAATGCGGCTGCTGGATATTCGGTACAGGACTTAATAATTTGTTGGCTGCAGACTGCGGAAGTTTTACCTTCGACATTAAGTGCTTGGCTGATCTGTCGATTGATTCCCTGGATATATCCGGAATTAGCCTCAGGGAAGTACCCGATTTAAGTGGATTACAGGAACTCCGCCACCTAGATCTATCAAACAATCAGATTTCCTACCTGCCGGGATGCAATTTCAGTGCATTTCCCCATCTGACAAGTTTGAACTTAAGCCATAATCTTATCACGGAAATGCCAAAAGAGCCGTGTCGAATGCATTCAATCGATGTGAGTCACAATCAACTGACTGATATGCACAGTTTGGTTGGACTTTTTAAGACGAAGGATGCGAGGGTCATGGGAAATCCCATTCGATGTAACTGCAGTTCTCCTCTCGTTCAAAGATTCTACACCCATGTAAGTAAACTCTGATAGTTCTGCTTCTATCTTTTTATCCTTTTTTTTAATAACTATATTCCAGGCGAATCAGTCTCAACTGCGAAACATCGAGTGCATTTTGCATGACTCTGACAGCCCAAAACCATTGTCGACCCAATGCCACAAAGAAATTAACGAAGAGCAGACTCTTTCAAAGCTTCCTATCATAGCTATCGGTGCTTTACTCATTTTGGTTGTTGGCATTATAAAATTATACAAAAAAAAAAAACCTCATCAATCATATAATTATTTAAGCGACAATCACCGGACGAACGACATATAACATGTTGAGTTGTCATGAAAATCTTAAGGAGTTTAAAACCACATAAAAAGCCCACACAAGGTCTTAGACTAAATTTTTTATCTGGTTTTAAATTAATTAGATTTTTTGTCATCGACTTACAAAGTTCGACCATTATAACACTCATCGGTAGTTGTCTGACCAGTATCTTTATACAATTCGAAAATTTTGGAAATTGTAAAAGTATTTTTGTAGTGTTATAACGAAATTATTAAAAAGGTTATTTTCAACAGCTATGAGTTTTATTTAATGACTTCCATTAATATACCTTATAAGCAAAAAAATAGAAAAGTTCTACGCTTTAGCTTAACATGTTTGTTATTTATACCGAAACAACAAGGACCTTCAGATAGCCAAAGTTTGATTGCAAAAGTATTTACCAGCCACTTATTATTTAATGGTAAATGTCGCTAGTTAATGTCGCTAATTTGCATGCACCGCAAATGGCGTTCCATTCCCTTCCATTAAAAAATGGGTTAACTTGTCAAAAGTCCGGGTCTGTTGACAAATCGAATGGAGGCGGGTCAAGGAAGCAACAACTTAGCCTAATTTGCCTTGCTAAGCGAAATGCGAGGAGCGCACGCGAAGTCCCGAGTTTCGGGCTTACAGACGATATCGCTGCAGCCCCCTAATATATGCAATCCGTTTTGTTTAATTGAGTTAACATCCAGTGCTTCCCCTTTCCCGTTTCCGTGGACTCTGTAATTACCCACGGACCGAGCGGATTTGGATTTTCTTGTTTGCCTATATTGTTATATGTACTTTGTTAAATCGATGCCAAGCTGCAGGTGCATGCTGTGCCGTTTGGGTTGGCATGCCGTCTCGGAATTTTCCATTTCCATTTCCCTTTCCATTTGTCTGCGGGATCCGCTCCCACTTCCTTTTGCGAAACGCTATCCTCCCGCTTGCCGACGATTCAGGGTCAAGTGCGAGGTGGGTGGTCTGCCCTGCGGTTGGCTTTTAGTTTTTTAGGGCCGTCTTTGTTGCCGGAAATTGATGGGTGGTTCGATTGGCAGCCAGGGGAGTGTGGGTACTCGCTCCAACCCAAGGCTGATGCAATGTTCGAACCGAAGGCTAAAGCCAAGAAATACCCGTGCTGATAAGGCTCAATAGAAAGAAGCCAAACTTTACCAAGCCCTCGAAAAAATGTGCTGAGTTTGGCATGTTGATCTAAGGTATTATCAAGCTTAAAGCTGGCATTGCAATTTATTTAGACCAATATTAAAAAGGGGTTCATTTATATAAAACTTGGTTAGTTTAATTGGCGGTTTTAAAGTGCCAGTGATTATCAAAACAATATTATAATTAGATTGCAGTAGTTGCACCTACAAAGAGGAGTATTTACGACTGAGGGTAATCTAAAACCATCCTTTAGCAATTCTTCCTTCCTCAATAACTCAAATTAACTCATTTCCTAATAGCTTTCCATTCCCCACATTGTTGGCTTTCACCTTTTTCTCCGTATTTTCACTGACGTATACGTAATATGATATAGTGGTAAACAACAATCATCAAGTATGCGACGCGTGAACCCATCGGGAGGAAGGAATGTGGCTCATCGCTAGTTTTACTCATTTTTTACGTGCGCAGGTGACGTGCTCTGTTTTTTATACCCTTTTTCGATTCCTTTTCTCCCTAAGAAAACCCCTTCTCTTTTCATAAACAATAATATAATATGTATATAGAAACTTGTAATAATATTATATCAGGTCCAAACTTAAAATTTATTTTCTATGGCTCATTTAAAGTTAAAAAATCAGATAATCACAAATGATCTTCTTCCACATTTTGAATAATTTTGGTACACCCATTTTTTCCCAGTGCATGAGCCATGGCGTGTGTCGAATTTTATGAACGTGCCGCTAATGAACTGCCTGCCGTATTGATGGCGGAAAATAACCGTGAAGAATTGCAAATAATAGGCATGCAACATTCGACGGCAATGCATTGTGTCGTGAAACGTCTGACAGGGCTAATGAGCATTTGGCCAACTCTTGGCATTTGGCAACTCCTCCGCAAGAGCATGAGTCACAGCATCCTAGTCGGTGACTCGTGAGCCGTGACCTTGCCGAATGTCAGAGCATTGTAATATCCTGGGCGCCAGGACCGCCTCCTGCTGTCAACTGGGATCCGGCTTAAGCTGTCAGGAAGCTTTCGCTGGGGGAGCGCTCTGCAATCGCTGTTTGTTTTCAATTTCCCAACATTTCAAGGCCTCTTTGGCCGGGCTTAATGAAACGGAAGAACCTTCCTCGGGGCCAAGTTAGTGGCTCGTGTGTGGGCCACAGCGATAAGCGGTCAAGGTGAGAAGGGTGGCCAGTCGGCAAGTTGGTTAGTTGGTTAGTTTCTAGTTGGCTAGTTGGGGATGGCGCTTGTTGGGGTGGCGTCCACGCACCACTTCCAACTTGTTGAACAAAGGATATATGTACGGCAGTAATTGGAAGCTTTCTCTAATGATTGCTATTAGTTTGCCAAACCTTGAAATAGGCCAACAAGTTTGCGCAATAAACATGGCAATGCAACCACAGAAAGAAAATAGTGAGCCTTTCCATTAACATAGGTTAAATTGAGTTTAATTTTAGTAACAGAAAATAGAAAATAGATATGGAAACTTACGAAAAGTAAGGTAACAGTTTATATAAAGTAATTTACACAACTTAAAATGAGATTTCTATCAGGAATGGTTTGGTTAATGACAACCCCTGCGTACTGCATCCTTTCCCCAGTCAGGGCCACGTTTTGTTTACTTCCATGCCCCCCTTTTGATAGTGGCTATGATGGATGCGCTGGCTGCGAAAGCCAGCCATATGTGACTGTGACGTTGACCCATTCTCGAGTCGCCTGCAATGTTTACGTACTTGTAAAGCGGGCTGGTGGCCACTGCGCATGCTCACCAAAGGGCCTCAAACTCCAGCTACCCCAATAAGATTGCCATTGGCCCACTCTACGGGATTGTGTTTTCCCTTTGGAAGGGGGGGGACAGGGAGTTTCTTGACCTTCCCGAAAGGATAAGGGGATGCGAAAGGATGCTGGGCCAGCACTCACCTGTAAATGCCAGTCACGCTGTAGGGACGACATTGGCGTCCTTTACTAAACGTGAAACGTCTTTGATGTTTCTCTTGTTGCTCGCGCTGTTGTTGTTGTTGCTTGGGGCGTTGTTGTTGTGCACCCAAATGCATTGGGTTGCCTCTGCTTTGGGTCCTTAAAATCCTGAAGAGCTTACAATCGCGGGCCTTCACCGGTTGGCCCAATTTGGTTACTCTGCGGCTTCTGTTGCCTCGTTTGCTTCTGTTGCCGCCGTCCCGGCTCCTTTGGCACTGAGTCCTTTGAGGGGTCGTCTTGATTATTTCGTTTTCGTTTTTTTTTCTCGCCTTGGTTTCACTGGTCCTTTGGGGGCTTCGTCGAGGAACTTGTATGGGTTTTCTTAGGGGAGCAATCCTTGCTGTTCTGGCGTCATGATGCTTTTAATAAAACTATTTCCCTTTTTCCCGTCTTGTTTATGCAGCAGCTGTTTCCGTTTCCGCTTCCTTGTCGCCCCTTTCCGTTTCCGTTTTCAGCACAAGCGCACTCTCTCTATGCAGTTTTTGGAACAAATCGATATGGGGCCAGATTCCAGCTGAAGTCTTTTGTATTAAGTTTATCCAACCGCACGGTGCAAGCGGATCTTTGAATTCAGCTCAAGCTTTCGGAGTTACTCCTCGATTTTTCCTGCTGTTGGCCAACACTTTCTTTGAGTGGGGAAAACCCTTTGCAAAAACCCTTTTTTCGCGATAGCTCTTTGTTGGTTGCCCTTTTCGGCGGATGCGACTGTTCTGCTGCGGCTCAAGCTAACGACTGATGAAACTGATGGTTTTCATGTCCTCCGGAGGTCCGTGGAAAACCCAGCTCGTGTGTGGTGAGCTCGGCCGAGGTGGATTTGTCCGCCGGAGAAAGGAAAAACCCAGAGAAAGAGAAGAGACCTCCTACTGATTGTCCTTTATTCGTTTTGTTTTGCTAGGCAACTTTCGCCGCTTGTTGCCTACAATGCCACCTCCCCAAAACCACCTTCTACAAATCCGGCAACAGCTGATGAATGAGGCTTTATTGCGTGCATTAGAAATTAGGGAAACACATGGTGATTCGACAGCGTTGGTGGTACTCCGAAAATCGTGTGGCTGGTTTCAAAAAGCAAGTCTTGGTAAGTCTTTCCAATATCGGATTTAATAAAACCAGAGTGGGTTTTTGGCTTAGTTTTTCATATTCACTTACTCTTATGTCACAATTTAAAATCACTAAAATTTTAAGATTTTGTACGTTCAAATAATACTTTCTGGCACTAAGCGGCTGCCTCCCTGCGACTTTGCCCCAATGTTTTGGCCATGTATAGGGTACCGCCTAGGAATATAAAGCTGATGGCCACCGCTGCAAAAACGGATGCCCCGAGACTCCTAATTAACCACTGCAGTATAATTGTGTAGACAGCGATTGCCATGGGGAGCATTAACATGTAGGGGTAAAGCAGCCACTTAGTCCGCTAATCAAAAAAAAATATACAAGAAGCTCTTTAATCAGACGGTATTGGTCCTACCTTCCAAACTCCAATAATAACCAAAAGTGAGCCGAGTGCGTAAAGGCCCGATCCAGTGGTCCAAACGATCTTCACGGTCTCCGAAACTTCTGACAAACTCGTTATGAAGAAGTACCCGGCAATCACACCCGAAACAAAGGATATGCAGGCTATTATAGTGACAATAGCTCGACAAGTCGGCCGAAGACTTCTATACGTAAATTCGTGTTCACTCATTTAGACTTGATCGTAATTTATTTTTGTTATACAATATTAGTTAACAAATTTGTTAATTGTCATTGTGGGTTTTGAAATTAAAAGAGTATGTTTTATGGGAAATATATTTTGGTTATTTTGCTTTTGTTTTTATATAGCTTTACTTCGTATTGATACGTAGCCTTCATTATTTGCTTTTTAAAATTGAGCGCGCAAATAAAGCTAGCAATCGTGACTTATCGATATATTAGGCAAGGGGCGATTGAACTACATCGATTACGATTTCCATTTAGTATTTTTTATATTTGTACGCAGAATAATTTGCAAAAGATTTCCAGACGTGATTAACCGGAGATTTTCCGGCCGGGGCTCAAAAGTTGGGCCAGATTTTGGAGTCGGAGCCGGAGGAGAACAATTCCTGAAGGATTCTCGACCGCTTCATCGTTTCGATGAACTCTTAAAACCGCACAAATCATGGATCCCCTGGTGTTCTTCATAGTGCTAGCTTTGCTCTATGGCGTTCTTTACTTCTTTGACCGGTTCTTCAAGGTGGGCTTTACCATATTACCCTTCCTATACCCTAATACTCCTGAATTGTCCCACAGAGCTGCATGCACTACCCGTATGATGCCTTTCTTAAAAACACCGGGCTGAGTGTGAACTTCATGAGCCTCCACTGGCATACGAGCGCCTTCAACAGGACTCTTCTGAGGTGGGGATCCGCCGGGAACAGCTGCACCCGCCGTGTTATGGTCACCAGCTTCAATGTGGGTGTCCTGGTCACCTTCTCGCTGCTCCCGATTGGCCTTATCCTGCTCATCGCCACCATCTTCAGTGGCGGCGAGCAAGAAACCTCCACGTCGGGAGTTGGATCATCGCCAGTGGCAGTGCCCGTCCAGCTAGAAATTCTACTGCCGGGTGTCAACCTACCGCTGGAGGAGATCGGCTACTACATTACCACACTGGTGCTCTGTCTGGTGGTCCACGAGATGGGACATGCCCTAGCCGCCGTGCTGGAGGATGTGCCCGTCACCGGGTTCGGGATTAAGGTGAGAAAATGGTTTGAAAAGAGATCACTTTATTTTAAAATGAATAATGCAATTTTTAACCTTTCAGTTTATTTACTGCCTGCCTTTGGCGTACACGGAGCTTTCCCATGACCATTTAAACGGCCTGCGTTGGTTCCGCAAGCTGCGTGTCCTGTGCGCCGGCATCTGGCACAACTTCGTGTTTGCCGGCGTGTGCTACCTCCTAATCTCAACGGTAGGCATCACCATGTCACCGCTATACGCTTACAACCAGCACGTCGTTGTTACCGAACTGACCAGGAAATCTCCGCTGCGGGGAGAACGAGGTCTGCAGGTGGACAACCTGGTGACTCAAGTGAACGGCTGTCCAGTAAACAGTGAGGAGAGCTGGGTGACCTGTCTGCAGAACTCACTGAAACTCAAACCGGGCTACTGTGTCAGCGCGGACTTTGTGCAGCTAAACGACGAGAGCAGTGCCATCTCACACCACAGTATTGATGGTCAACTGCAGTGCTGCGATGAACTGAATCCGAACGTGAGTTGCTTCGAGGTGGTGGAGGATGCCAACGGAGATGTACCTGTGGAGCTGCCCCAACACGTGTGCCTCAATGTGCGCCGAACCTTGGAGGAGGTAACCGAGCACTGTTCGTCGGGAGTTTGCAACGAGGGCTTCTGCCTGCGTCCGTTGATCCGGAACATTACTGCCATTATGACGTTCAAACGCCAGAACTCGCGCGGAGAAAAGCTGCCACCGGTGATCTATGTGGGTCATCCATGGGATGTCACGCGAACGGTGGAGGTGTCGGCCTTTGTTCCGAGGTATTCCTTCTTGAAGGCCGCCTGGCCGGATGCCTGGCTTTTGCTGCTGAAGTACAATGTGGTGTTTAGCATCGGATTGGCCTTGATCAATGCAATTCCCTGCTTCGGCTTTGATGGCGCCCACATCACGAGCACTGTTATACACAGCTTTTTGGTGGGCCGAGTGGATCAGCATGCCAAGCGGGATCTCATTTCGGTGATAATCACCAGCGTGGGCTCTCTGCTCTTCGGACTGGCGCTGTTAAAGGTGGCCTGGCTAAGCTTTCTGCGACCTCTTCTTTAGGAACTGATGCTGAAAGATGGAATCTGGGAGTCCAACTCCCTCCAAAGACGCTAGACTGCTATTTCACCTCCATAAAGAACACAAAAAAAAAAAAAAAAACACAGCGAATTGTTGCACCTCAAAGATTCGATAGCTTTTGTCATAGTCCTTAGTCTTAACTCGTATTTATTTTCTTACGGTTGTCGAGCTCAAAAATAAAATCAAATTAAGCTAAATTTGGTATTCAAAATGTTCCTATTTGCCCTCACTCACTCCACTCAATTGGAGGCTGGTTTTTAGTTCTGTTAGGCTCCTTCTACCATGTTGAAGAAGCATCTTAATGGCTACCTCGTCGTTCTGGTGGCGATTCGTTTCAAAGTCGTGCCGCGCCCAGGATCGCAACTCAAGCTGACTGTTTTTGTCGGGCACCTGGCGAATGGTGCGGAAGATGTCCCGATAGAGCTTCAGGACCTCCTGGCGTAGCATAAACTGCGGGAGAGCAAATTTAAAATTGTTTTACATTTCTCTAGTTTTTATAATTTTTTTAATTAATTAAATTCGCACTATTGTTTTATTTACAGAACTCGAATGCGAACAATTGAATTTTTAAAACCAAAATTTTTTGAGTACCTCCTTACTTACCTGCTTTAAACTGAGAGCTGCTTTTGGTACCTTGGACATTTCTAGTGGCTTTTTATTTTATTTGTTAAATAATTTACTAAGTTATTAAGGAATTCTAAATTTAATTATCAGTTGGTAATCAATTTTACAAAACAAAACAAGAACAGCTGGTCGCCAGCTGATAAAGTATAGTGGTGTGCGATTATTCTAGAGACTACGTGAACCGATAGTTTGATAAGAGGAAAACACGTTACTTTTCAAAACGGACTTTTCTTATATTTACACAATAAACCGACTGAATGTGTAGTCCTGTGGTAAATTATTCTGAAATATTTAATAAAACGATTATGGGGTTCAAATATTTTGTTAATAAGTAATAAAATTTAAAACAAGAAATGACGAGAAGCACATTTGATTTCTTTAGGCTCATTCGTTTTAAGATACACCATTAAGTGTTTTATCCTTTGAGACTAAGCATTGCTGTACTAAAAGACACTGTGTTCGGGGGTAGGAAACCCATCTTCAGCCAAAAGTCAACGGCAATTAATGTTCAAATTGCAATTTTCATCAACTGTCACTAATGAGTCAGTTGCAGAAATAAAATAAATTATTGTAATGTCTTCACAACAAACTTATGTTTTTGCGCACTGATGCGGCGTGGGAACCAGGTATGTGACATCCAACACTAAATTTATCTGGCTCGTGTTCAATTTAAATTAAATTCTCGGCACTAAATGCCACATTTATCTATATGAGTACATTGCTTATCCGCCGCATGGGCCAATGCTTGATTGGCACGCCAGCTGCTCGTCCTCTGTTTCTTCTCTGATTATGATGTTCTACTCAGGCGATTCAATTGTTTCCTCGGTCATTTCGGTTATGTGTTCTACGACAATAGTCGCGAAGGGACTGGCACTATCTTCTGATAGCTGGTACTTGGCGTCGGCTTGTGGTAAGTTCTCCCCCAAGCACCGGGCTTATTGATAGAATTGCCAACTGTTTTCCAGAGTCAGTGCCATGGACACGTCCAGTTACCAATAACTCTTCTGGCTGCAGTTGGGCCCTAAAAAAATGTGAGTCAACCAGGTTAAATTGTAGTTCGTTTGATCAACAAAAAAAAATTTTGATGATTACATCTTTAAAGCTAGCAATATATGTTTAAAGTTTACAATTTAAATGTTTTTAATATTTCAAAACTGTAGTACGCATTTTGATGCGAAATATTATAAAACTGATGATCGATTTCGATAATATTTATCCTCGGCGAGCTATATTCGACCTTTCTGGCTGTCAAAATGCATTTTCTCCTCGCATTACTTAAGTTGCCCCCCATTAATTTCCCATAGCATTTTCTGTGATCTCTGCCCAAGTGCGTTTGTCTCCGCCGGCACAAGTATTTTGTGCAAATTAAAACAAAAATTGGACACAACATAAATATCCGAGGCAGAACAAAACGAAGGCAGGTGAAGCGGTGCGATTTATTTTTAACTGCCCATTGCTCCTACATATAGGAAATTATGCAAAAGATTCTCGCGCTGCAGCCGAGTGCAATTTCGTTTTCGTTTTCATCGGCCAGAGATGCCAGCGTCTGCGCTTCTCTCTTGATTCATTGCACTGGGAGAAATAATGTTCACGTTTAAAAATGAGCTTCTTAACTGTTATTAAAAACCTAATTAATTTTTTTAACACATAGCAGTTAAGAAAGAGGTTAGATACCTCGTTATTTTTAAATAATTAAATATTTTGTGTTTGTTTTTCAAGTGGTTATAGAAAAAGGTTTAAAAATGATTATTTTCAAGGTAAGGAGTTTATTAAATAGCTTTTGTGATGTAGGTATATAAATCTATAGGTAATTAAAGGTACATTTCTCCCCGTGTGAATGATGTTGTGGGCGCACGGGGGGTGGGCTCTACGTCATCAAAATCAGACCCACAGCTGCGCCACAACGATGACGAAGAAACGAAGGCAACAACAGCGAGGCAGCGACTCAGCAGAGAAGCGGCAGAAGCAAGTAAAATCCACATGCCAGCGGACTGGCTGCCTCAAATGTTCATGAAACGCGGACGCGTGTGGACGTATTTTGCGCGGAGCCGCTTCGAGAAAAATATTGTGAATCCGAATCGGTTTATTCGGTTTAATCGGTTTATTCGAAACGAATTCACGGGCCGTGCATGTGTGAAAGTGAAAACGAAATAAAGAATGAAAATGAGCACGGTGCATGAGTTTCCTTGACGTTAGCTTCGGAAAATCCATCCCAAGAAAACTGAAAGAGCGTGCGAAAGCAGAAAGGCCAATTGTGAGTGAGAGCTGAAAAACACACACGCCAAAAATATAATGTTGAAAATATCTGGCTATTTTTGGAATATATATTGTTTTTTTCCCACACGTTGCATTGGAAAATTTGTACCTCAAGTGAAGCAACACACAAAAAACCTCGAGAAATGTTAATGCTTAAAAAATAAGAGATATACGCTTTAACTTTTTCTTGCATTTCGAAAATTTTTCAAAAGCAAAACAAAACCATCAAGAATACAAAAAAAAAAAAAACTGAAACAAAAAGAAACCAAGGCGAAAGGAAAGCCAAAGTGAATTGTTTTTAATGGGCAATCAGAAATTATGAAGATCGGGTAGATATATCGGGTAGAACGAGGAACGAACGCATTAAAGTTGAACGATGGCGATGCTGAAATGTTCTTGGAGGGACTTGATGAAGGATTGGTTTAAGATCTATAGCTATGACTGATATATAATACACAGAAATGTAGTACACTTCCGGAAATACACATTTCTCAACTTTGGATACACAAAATATTCCCTTCGGATTCCGATTACTTCCCTTTCGCTGCACAGAAAACAAAATTGACTTGAGAATTAGAAATTAACCTTTTTTTTATGATAAGTGGGATGTTCCTGATTTCAGTAACAATTGAAAGGGTTAAAAATCCTATTTTTTTCAAAATTTTTTAAATAATTTTTTAATAGTTCTTTAGTAATGTTTTCACTTCTGAACAACATTATATGTCGTGTATTTTTTTTCTGTGCGACGAACGATTTGTCTTCTTCTGTCCGATTTCCTCCAAAACAGCAACAATTAAAGGCCGCATTATGCATATATCCCCTGTGCCGATGTGCTTTTGTGTTTTGTATTTCGTATTTGAGTTCGAATTTGTAGTCTTGTGTCATGCGATAGGTGGTAACGTTTCGTTTCGTACGGGGTATTGAATTACAAGACACCAAAGTGCGCGCCAAGCGAACACGCTCGCTCACAGATACTCACTCACACAGCGAGGTGTATAAATAAAAATATATCGCAGTCCGCCGCATGCGTATCCGATGGATGCGAATCGGCCAGCAAAGCGGAGGGCCCAACAAGAACCAAACCGAGTATATTCAGTAAAAGAAACTAAACAGTAAACTGCTGTAATTAATTGTTTTGGGGCCGAACAGTATCCAGTGATTGATGTAGCCACCTTTCATTTGTTTACAGTGGCAAGATCAATGACTCGACGCCCTATAAATACCGCCCCCAAACTACCCGTAAAAAGTATCTTTTGGCTGCGCTTTGACCTGTGGCTCTCTTGTGTTCCAGTTCCGACCCAAAACGTGTGCCCCACACCCAATTGAAATGTCCGCCAAGACGTCGCCATCGTCCACTTCTCGGGACGCCAACGTGGGATCCTCGAGTGCGATTCCCGTGCAGATCAAAAAGGAGCTGCCCAGCGATGAGATAAAGGTGAGTCTGGTGAATGAACACTTTGAGATACTTTCTTGCCTGATAATTAATAGCCCCTGTCTGCGCATTATTCGGCCACGTATTCAATAACAAGGATGCCGACAAAGTATGAAAGCCGAAGTGTGTGTTGGATTTAAAAATAAAGAACACTTTTCTCTCGCTTGGCAGAAGATTTTACTTGTTTTGCTGCGAATTGCATATACGCTGAATTATTATTATTTGTTTTTGTGTTTAGATGGGGGAAAGGTGAATAACACCCACTCGCCATTTGCCACTTATACTTTGCGGTATAAGTAGATTTAAAGAGGATTATTTGACAACTAAGTTCTATACTTTCTTTAAATTACTTACGAAATCTACTTTAAGCTCCAAAACATTATTTATCTAATTTATAAATGAAAATGGGAAAGATGAATTACAAATCGAAGCAGCCATGGAATACCTGTGCATCCCAATTATTTCAGCCTTGTTGTCAGTGACTATTGCCTTACCAAGTTACTTGTTTAACGAACCCTGAAATATTTGAGGAACTGCATGTTGCACATAATTAGTGTCCATTTACAACCGAACGGAGCCAGCGAAACGAGCAATTCCAACTAAGCACTGAAATCAAAGAACCGGACTCCAAATGCCTCTGCCAGAGAACCGAAAAACGTTTCGGCTTTCAGTTTGCAGTTGGGCTATTTGGAAATGTTTATGCAACAGCAATGATAATCCAACACCCCCGCAGAACTGTTTCGCTTTCGCATAAAATTCCCTGCAACTTTGTTTTCAATTCTCCTCTGACCGGGTCCGGAATTTGTAAGAGGAGTTGATGGCCGCAGCTGGGGAGATTCCGGTTGCGATTGGGATTACGCTATTACGCGATTACGGGGCGTAAGTCGAGCGGGAGAGTTGGCGGTAATATTATATTGATAAATTTTTGTAATCATTTTAACGAGTGAGCTGGTCCGATTCCGCCCCTCCCCCCTCTTCCTCTCAGCTGCTCCATCCCCTTGTCCATGTTTGCCTTATCCGCCAAATGAGCAAAATTAATTTAATGCCACAGACAGGGACGGAGAGTCCCAGAGCAACATTTTTGCAGCACGTGTAACCCGATCGGCGAATTGAAATTATACCCGTTGACTTGCAGTCGGTCGCAATGATACTTATTGTCGGGCATAAAGAGGGAAAACAACAACAACAACAACAGTAACAACAACAAGAGAAACAAAAACAAAAGCAGCAACAGCAGCAGCAGCAAAACCAAAATTATTATAATGAATGAGCTGGTCGGGGGCTTGGGAACTGAGTATCCGCTGGAGACTGAGGTTGCCGACTGGTTTTCTAGGCAAACGTGGGATTTATATAGATATCTATATAGTTATCTGGGTTTGTTATCTGATTTTTGTAATGAAACGGCAAGATTGAAACTTGAATTGGACCCTGACATAAAAGTATATTTAATGTTTGGTTTAGAAACAGTTTTAAATTTTTGATTTTGAAAGAACATTTTTACAATTTTCGTTTATTATCACAAAGTTGTAAAATATACTAATCCATCCCTTTTAGTAAAAAACAAAAAGCTTTTGTCTGAAATTTCCTTTCACTCAGGCTCTCAATGTCACCCAAACTCCTTTGGGTATGCAACACTTTGCTGACTAAAAATATCAATTAAAATTATTGTAATTCATACCTTCGTTTTTTGCTCACCTCACCCAGTTTCGGTTTCGTTTTCCTGGCCATAATTACAAGCTGCATTTGCTGCAAAGACAGCAGCCAGGACGAATTTTTATATTTAATGGCCCAAAGGCAAACCGAAAGCACACAGCGTAATTAAACAACAACAATAAATTGGGCGGGGAAAAGGGATGCGGAGCAAGGGGAGGAACTCGAACGCGCTCCATGGGTGCAACTTGATAGGACTGTGGTAAGGCGATATCCTTCAAGGTTTCCGCTTTGCTACCGATGTCAGGCCGAAGCTGAGCTGGCCTCATATATCTGCAAAAAGGGATATCCTTGAGGCACACACTAGGCATTATCCTGGGAAGAAAGCGGAGTGGCAAAGTGTGGAGGGCGGCCATCAATAACTGAAATTAATAACTCTTCGTGGGCGGAGTGTAGGGAGAACTGGTAAACAGAGTCCTGCGTAAAGAGGTGCTTTACATAAATTGAAAATGGATATAATTTGGGGGGAAAAACAGTTTAATTGATTTATTATTAAAGCTGGAACTAGATTATTTTAATAAGGGATTCCATTTTCAAATAATAATAATTTTACAATTGCTGTTTAAGTTTTTATTCATTTTATTTATATTTTGAAAAAATACAAATTATTTTTTTCCGCGTTTTTTACTACTTCTTTATGAGATTTCTTTCACTCGCAATCACTGTTCCCAACAATTCTCAGCTTAATGCTGCAATTAGGCACTTCTTGAAGTTCCGATTAAATGCACTGGCAAGTCGGCTGCACATCTTGGCATCTGCTAGTCACCGCTGAAGTCACATAATACCCACCGCCTACACATCGCCCCCGAGTTAAGTGATGGCAGACTCCAAGCAGCGTTCTATGCACACAACCCGGGGTTCCGTCGGTGGGGATTGGGTTACACTCGCAAAACCGGGTGTATATGTATATGTATATGAAATCGGGGAGACTGCGAGGGGCCAGATGACACAATGACAGGCAGCCACTCAGGAGCAGAGGAGGTTTGTGCCAGCGGTGGCAACTGGGCTCAAATGTCGCCGCAGCAGCAGAACTTTAATAACAGCGCCGCAGATTGAGTTACAAACAAAATAGAATATGATAAATTCTACACAAAACACCAGGAACCAGAGCTCAAAGGTGCGGCAGGTGGGGTTTCCAGAGCACCAGGCCAGCACAGGGGTGTTGTGTACAGTGTAGTGTAGTGCAGAGGTAACGTGAGGCACCTGCCAGCTCCGTCCAACATCCAACATGCAACATGCCCCCGCTCTCCCCCGCAAGCAGCAGCTCAAATTAAAATAGCGTTAAATTAATTCGAGCCACTGCTGATGGCCCAGCATTACGAAAGCGAACCCGAGTGGCCAAGAGGCAATGTGGATGGCTGGGTGGATCGATGGGTGGGAGGTTGGGTGGTTGAATGGGCTATTGGATGGGTGGCCCAAGGCCCCTTGACACCAGGTGCCAGGTGGGTGGTTCAACCTGCAGCGGGCGAGGATATCGATGCTCACATTTAGAAACACCATTGAATTAGTTCACAAAAAGATATATTTTCTCACCTTGGGAGAAACTAAAAATGCATAATATCATAGTACATCATTAAGTTTCGATTTAGATCTTGTAATCAGTACATCACATTGCTTAGTAAAACGCTGACCTGACCTACCACAACTTTTGATACACATTAAAGGTAACCCTTATGTGCTTCATCCCACAAAACCCCTTTTTGAGTGCTTCGAGTTCATATATATCTCTGTCTGAGCCGTGAGCCACCCATATCTGGTGTACATTAAAATGAAATAGAATATTTCACTGGCGGAGGGGAGGGAACTGGAAACTGGCAGAGCAAAAGCAACAAACGGCAAACGGCAAAGGCCAAGTATGTCATGTAAGAATTCAAAAGAAGGACGCGCGTCATTCAATCCTGAGCTATCGATATTCGATTACAGCAAACTGAAAACCGACTGACTTTGTGCTCGACTCGCGAACAGTCGTACAAATAGCCACATATATATGATATATATACATATATATGTCTGAGAAAACTAGCGTAATTCTAGAATTTGTTGCCATTGGGTGTTGTTTCCACTGCCCGACCGTACATATTATATGTACATATATAGGTACTTTTATTTTTTTCGGGGTGGTGTTCGAGGGGCCTGGGATTGGGTTCGCTCCGGACACCAGTTCTCCGCTGCAGCTCGGCTTTGGTTCGCCTTAGTCTCAGTTCAGCTTACTGGGTTCAGGGTGAGTTATTATAAGCGTATTGGGTTCCCAGTTGGGCAGCTCCTCCAGTCGCCCAGCCCCTCAGTCTGGCTTTCACTGCCCAGTATTGCCGTCTTCGTGTACTTTACATTATTCTATTAGGTTTCCTCGGCGGTAACCCTAGACGTGTATTAATGCGAGCCACTCGCATATCAGGCGGCTCCGCTGCAGCGGGATAAGCTCCCCTGGCTTGGATATCTTCGGATGGGCTCGGAAGTAGGTCAGGGAAACGAAATCAATTTGGATCGATAGTTGGGAAGACTTCTGAGAAGCTGCCGCCAAATATCCTTGGAAATGGTTATCAGATATATCGAAAAGTTCGCTTTACTTGCCTGTTAAGTTGTCATAACTTTTTGTTTCAGAGTTAAAACCTGTTGAGAATTATAGAGTCAATAAGTTATATTTACCTAAGTATTGCTGAAAAAAGCCTTACGTTTCAAAAAACACTTGTAAAAACTAACGGCCCTCCATCCTTTTAAAATTTCTCAGTTTCCAAACCAACCATTATTTCTCCCAGTGCAATCAGTAGCAGACAAAGAACGAACTTTGCTGTCCGCTCGAAGTTCCCAGTTACCGCTTCTCACCCGTCAAGTTGGTTCATTACGATTCATAATAAAACGAAAATTTGATATGTTTTTGTAAGTTGAGATTTTGCAAAATGAAAGAAAACACATCAGACTTCAACAGTCAGAAACAGAACGAGTATTGCAAATGTATCCACTGGATTCTTGGGCAATAATTACGAAAAAAGCGAAATGAAAAGCCAGCCAAGAATCCCAACAGATCTGATTGCTCTGCGGAGCGGGGGAAAGGGAAATTCGAATTGGAAATGTAAAGGTAGACGAGTGTGTTTGTATTATTCTTAACACACAAACTTTTGTACATACATACCACTGGGCGGGCGGAGCGAATCAGATCCCAACTCCATCAACAACAACAGACGGCATACAATTTCAGTTTTTAATTAATTGATTTTTATTCGCATTTCGGTGTAGAATTTCAGGCATGGGCGCGAGTTTTAATGTCGCTGGCGAAACTGGCACTGAAAAAAATTGTCATATTTATACCCTTGCAGAGGGTTATTAAATTTCAGTTAGGAGTTTCCAATGCAGTAAAGCAGACACCTCAGACCTGATAAAGTAAATATCTACTTGGTCTCAGTTTTAAAAGAAAAATTACTTTAAAATTTGTAGAGCTCAATTAAATTGATTAAAAATATATACTTATAAATATTATATGTTTTGGGTAACCTTTTTCTTCCGTGTATGTCCCCACTTTGCCCCCTCTTCTGGCATCCCCCTCGAACCCGTTGAGCCACTGTCAGGCAGCAGAAAGCTGAAAAACTGAACGAACGCACAAATCAGAAATTAAAAACCGAACATAAATTAACAGACAAATGATACTAAAAACCGAGATGCCGAAAGAGACGGCGCATGGGATAATGAGAGAGACGGAGGGAGTCGCATGCGATATATCTCCTTTCCGCCGGTTACGATTACTGCAAGATGCTGAACTTGAGCCGAGCGTGCGTCGACGTAACCCCCTTTCCCTCTATACCCCACTCCCTCCACCCATATACCCCTCTATCCTCTGTTTCCCCAACCAACCTGGACGAGGTCGCACCTGAGGCGTGTAATTGATACGCTCAAGCAGCCGGACCCCAGAGATTTTATCGTGCGAATTGTTAATACTCTTTTCGCAGACAGACGGCGAAAACCTGAATGCGATTGTCACCGATACGCGGTCTCAGAAAATATAGCCAAGCGAGCGTGTGAGTGCTGTTCATGAAGTGCAAAGAAGATAGGTGCCTGGGTGCGAAAGAGAGGGCGATACCCAGTGCGAGAGAGAGAGGGCTGATTGGGGCCGAGAGAGACGGCGAGTTATTAGACGACTTGCATTTGTCAGCAAGTTGGCAGCAACGCTTAATTTGAGCAGTATCGGATGACGCCGGGGATATCCAGTTTGTCTGGAGCTTGTGATAGATGCAGCGAAGGCGATGATTCATCTGGCCAGCATTGGCCAATTGTGGCTTTGGCTAGCGGAGCAATTTCCCCGGAATCTCAGCATTGGACACCAATTGCGGCCACATGGCGTATGAGCAATTTGTGACATTCCATGGAAAACTAAAGAAAATTAATGTAAATCCAGCTATTTGATATTTTAACCTTTCAAATATAGAGAACTTTGTTTAGAGCAAAGTCAACAATTATGTAAAATTTAGTGAAAAACTCAAGTGTAAGATCTCTGTGTTGGTTTTTTTGTAACCCCCTTTAACTCCGCCTCTGCCTAAAGACTTTGAGCTGCAAAAACCACGTTGAATTTGAGAATTTCAATGTAACCCGATCCCCAGTTTGTGCAGCTCCCACAGCCTTGTGTGAATTTTTTGTGTGCATCACAGGCAGGCACCGAATGATACACATGCATATCTCCCTTGGGATTGGAAGTGAGACACAAGAATGCAAGGCCAAAAAACAAGCAACTTCAAAAGCCGCAAATGTTTTCCGCATCTTGGACTTCAGAGTGAGCCCGAATTTTGGGCTTAAATTTAAGGCAAAGGGGCGTGAGACACATGCAAAGCAACCGAGTTTGTCGGGGGGTATTGTATATCAGTGTTGGGGATGCAGGGAGATCCAAAGGAAGTATGCAAATGCCACCCACTGGTGCCTCCCGAAAAAGCCAACTTGTCCGGCCCTTTGGCCGTAATGAAGCTCTCTGTTACCTGTTTGTGCAGTGATATGTCTGTGGAAAATCAGGTGTGTGTTGGGGTAGGGGGCCTGATGCGTGGGTTTTCCCCCAGAGTTATCGATTACGCTGCAACTTTGCCGGCCTCGGGGGAAGGCCATGATATGGCTCGATAGGAACTCGCATAATTGGACATCGGGATCAGAGGTCATCGGGTAAGGCAATCTATAATTAGTGAAAGTGGCGTTTAGTTGGGGAAAGGGGTTATGGATACACTACCTCTTAAACAAGTAAAGTCTTCGTTTTCGTCGGTTTTAAAAACCGAATCTGAGTACAATATTACACCTGCCTGGCTAAGCATTCAACGAAGTTTCAGCTGCTAGTTGAATATATTAAGTAGGGGAGACCGGGGGGTCATGAGACACGGGGGGTCGTGAGACGCGCTTACAGCCCTGAACTAAAAAGCGCGACATCTACCAGCTGGCTTCGAAACTTCTTGCTTGTTTCCAATCTTCATATCCACATCACAAATATTCCGCTCATGCCGATTCTTTATGTCTTCCCAAATCGCAACTCCAATTTTGTGATCGAAAGTTTTGTAGACCGTTCGTGTTTGCTGTCTTTTCGCTTTGTTTTACAAGCTATTTGCGAGAGTGCATACATCCGAAACATTCCTTGGTGAGTAGCCTTTTGACACACGGAACAAATTTTGCATAAACATTTAATGCGTCCGTAAAGCAGAAGCCATATTTAAAATATAGCTATTGGGGGGTCGTGAGACAACGTTCTCGGGGGGTTATGAGACATTCTATTACCGCGTCATCTAGGACCATAAAATTGTATTTAATAGCCTGATATAGTGTTTCTGTACACAACCAAAACGTTTAATGATAATTTTGATAATTTTGATGGATTCAGTGTTTTTGATGATCGTTTTTTCTTTCTTTAGTCATCATGGTGCGTCATAAGTATAGTCAGACTGCCAAATCTGCGATTGATGTCAATGTTTTTGTGGCTGCTATAAATCTGATTTTTATGTGCCGTTCTATTATCTCCTCGAAATCTTTCCAATTTGAATAAATTGTAGACCACAAAATATGCCTTATTAAAGAATAAAATAAACAATTTTGATAAAAAAAAAAAACCATTTTCATTCTTATAAATTTGTGTCTCACAACCCCCCGAACATTGCGAAAATCCATAAAAAACAACTTTTGAGCAGGCAGGCAAAACTTGAAGGTCGAACTAAAATTTCAACTAATTATACTCTTGTCTGAGTGAAATTACACTGAACTATGATTTAAAAATTTGTACGGGCAGAAAAATGGCTTTTCTATTATATTTTTTGTCAAAAAACAAAACCCGTCTCAAAACCCCCCGGTCTCCCCTACTTGAAGAAATATACAGAAGAAAATACTTAAGCGAACTTGACCAAAATTATTTAAATTATTACTTACCCTACAGACTTTTAGAAATATTAAAAATCTTATGGTTTACTTTTAAATTTAATAATGAAAAAAATAAAGAAAGCACTTTTTTTAATTTTCGAGTACAGTTTATTAGACAAAGGTTTTGCAGTGTACATCGACTGATTCGATCTCCTTGAATATCGGATGACCCGAGGGTGCTGTAAATGGGAAACAGGGAACTTGTGTCAGCGACTTCTGGCTTCCAACCACTCTTCTATATGTTTGTGTCTTTTGCTTCCAGGAATTCGCGCACAACACCATGAACGAGCTGCTCGGCTGGTACGGATTCGAGGGTGTCGACGTGGATCGTCTGGATCTGACCGCCAAGACGTCCCGCCTGCTGCAAAGTGCCGCTGCTGCCGCGGTGGCAAGTCAGCAGCAACAGAACCACCACCACCAACAACTCCACCAGGATCAGAGTCTGGAGAGGAAGCGGGGCAGCTTGCTGCGCAGCAGTCGCAGCTCCTTGGCAGCAGCCTATCACAACAACAACAACAACAACAACGGCAGCAGCAACAAGAACAATGGGGAAGCTGGAGGAGCAATCGGAGTCAGAATCGGAGGAGGAGGAGGAGGAGGAGGAGGTGGAACTGGGAGTGGGAGTGGTGGTGGCCGAAAGGGCGGTCTGCTCAACTGCAGTAGCACCACCACCACGCCCTCGGATCACGACACTCGCAGCTCGCGGGAGGAGGACTCCAAGAGTCCGCACTCCGTCGGAAAACCAGCGGGAAACTCGCACACGGAGGAGAAAATAGGTGCGTATAACGTAGGGGATCTAAAAGCGGGGATTTTAGCCATTCTTTACACTGCTGGATTATGCAAAATATACACAATATATCTGCAATTTGGGAAAAATATTGTGGTAAAAAATTCAATTATTATATTAAATATGTACCTCGCATTGAAATCAAAAACCCAGTGCTGATTTTGAAAATGTACATTATAATTTACTTATTTAAAAGTTTATAAAACTGAGCATGAAAACAACAAGGAAAGAGAGTTTTTTGTTTTATTGAACTTAAATTTTACAATACATCACAGGTTTACAAAAACAAGTGCAATGCCCAAAAAAGCAAGGGAAATTCGAGCTGATTGCAGCCAAAAATGGACAGTGAGAGTCAAAATCAAAAATTTGTAACCAACCTTAAAACCTGCCTAACCAACCGCTGGCGTTGAGTGCTTTTTGTTTTTCGAAGGGAACCCGATAACTTCGCCTTCCCTGCTCCCCGATCCCCAATCAATGGCTCCAATCCTTCCATGCATTCGGAAGGACCACAGACAGGCTCGAAACTGTGCTAACTTTCCGGCAACTTCAGCCAGAGTTTGCCGATGTCTGCATTATCGAATAACAGATTCATTAAAACCCAAATATGGTTTACACAATTTTCGGCCAGCGAAGTGGGGCTAAGGCAGGAAGATCCTGGCTGTTTTAGGAACAGGATATCTTGGCTGATGCAGCAGCCTGCGCAAATCAAATGTTCAGTTTGCTTTTCGTACACATGAATTGGGGTTTTCTTTTGAAGATTAAAGTGAGGCTTGTTTAGTTCATTGATATTTTATATAACAAATTTTAGAACTATCTTATTTGATTACCAGTTTACCATCCTATACTAAACCTATAGTATATTAATTTTTATTTCATTTTTTTTTACAGACTTTAGCAACTGCTGCTGGTGCCATCGACCGATCGCGGAGAACGCGCCAGATTACCTGACCAGCTGCGACGGACCGCGGTACTGCTCGGAGTCGTGCTTCGCCCAGAGCCGGAGGGCCTCCTTCAAGAAGGCCAAGACCTGCGACTGGTGCAAGCACGTGCGGCACGCAGTGAGCTACGTGGACTTCCAGGACGGCGCCTCGCAGCTGCAGTTCTGCTCGGAGAAGTGCCTCAACCAGTACAAGATGCAGATCTTCTGTCACGAGACGCAGGCGCACCTGGACATGCACCCGCACCTGCGGGACCAGGCCCTGGATGCGGGCAGCGATGCCGGGCTTATTACGCCGGATCTGTGGCTGCGCAACTGCCGGAGTCGCTCGGCCTCGCCCGCCTCCACGCTCTCGGTGTCGCCGGGTCCGGCTGTTCCGGCTACCAGTCGCTGCTCGGACTCGCCGCCGCCGCTGCCGCCTCCTAGTCATCATCACCATCCCAGCAAACCCCTGATCTCAGTGGCGCCCGTCTCCAAGTTGCTGGCCCAGAAGAGTCCCGGTCCAGCCGGAGTGCCGCCTCCGCCGCCGCCGCCTGTCCAGCGGCACTTGAGTGGCAAGTTGGGTCGGCGGAAGCGGCGAGGTCTCTCCTCCTCGTCGGGATCGGAAACGGTGGCCAGTTTGCTGCAGAAGCAGCAGCAACATCAACAGCAACAGCAACAGCAACTGCAACAGCAGCAACATCAGCCCACTTTAACGGCTGACTTTGCGGGATCCAGTGTTCCACTGCCGCCCATCTCGCCCATGCCAAATATCCAGGAGCCACCGCAGCAGCAACAGCCGCAGCAGGCTCCTCCTCCGCCACAATCTCTGCCCAGAGGACCCACGGCAATCCCGGCCAGCTACTTCGCCACGCCCTCGAACGGTGTGCCCATGGGCCATCCCTTTGGGGGTCGTCCTCCGCCGCCACCGCATCACTTCATGCCACCGCCTCCGCATGGCATGATGCCCCGGGGATTCGGTCATCCCTTTGGGCCACCGCTGCCTCCGCAAATGCCCGAGCTGGGCGCCCTTTTGGGAGCTGTTCCTCCGGTCACGGTGATGGTGCCCTATCCGATCATCATACCCCTGCCGATACCCATACCCGTTCCCCTGCCAGTGGTGGATTTCTACAAAGCTCACCTGACGCCCGAGCAGAGGAAGCGTTTTGACGAGGAGCGAGCTGCGCCCAGCGGAGCTGAGAGCCAAGCGGAGCAGGAGCAGGAGCAACCGCAGCCGCTGGACTGCAGCAAGACTAGGAGTGAGCAGGAGGAGGAAAAGCCAGAGGTGGAGCCACCACAGGAGCAGCCAGAAGAGCTGGCAAACGAACAGGAAGCGGATGAAAAGGAATCCATACCAAAGACAAACCCAGAGAGGGAGAGCACTCCAGCCTCGCCGGCAATCTCGCAGGAGTCGTCGTCCTCGCCGCAGGAGACGCACTGCATCGTGCGGGACTCGGGACAGTCCGAGACGGAGGCGGACAGCCAGAAGCTGCCCAAGCTGAAGATCACGCGGCTGCAAACCAAACGGACGCTCATCCAAACCAAAGAGGCGGCGGCCGAGTGCAGTCGACCGCTGCGCAAGCGCAAGAGGATCATCGACTGCGATTTCCAGAAGATGGCCGTCAAGGAACCGGAAGTGACCGCCGATGGCCAGCAGAGCAGCGGCGTCATCAAGGAGCCCGATGAGGATGCAGAGTGCAATATGAGCAGCAGCCACAGCAACAGTGGCCATGCTAAAGCTAAAAAAGTAGACTTAGGCCTTAGGACTTACCCTTTAAAAGTAGTAGGATGTATTTATCTATGTACGTGTGAGTGTGTCAGTGTGTATGTGCAAGCGGAAGCGGAAATGAAGTCCATAAAGAGAGAGATAGAGAGAAAGAGAGCTAGTGGAAGGCACAAAGTGCATGCGGTAATCAGAATTAAATCTTAATAAACTAAAGCATAACTTATTAGAAGGCAAAGCATTTTATTTTTGGTTGGTAATCATCTTGATTTTTTTTATTTTTTATTTACATTCTGTTTGCTTAAAGTTATAAACTAAAGCTACAGGGGGGGGCAGCCATAGCTACTTAGGCTTTCGGCTGACTTAATGAAGGAAATTTTATTCATAGTTTGACTCTTAATATCTATGTTTTTATTTCAAGTTATATTCTTATCATCTTAAATATTATGTTTATCTTATAAAAGGTGTAATATGTTAGCTTTTTTAAGGAAAGCGAGAAGTATAAGGAGGTTGTTTGTTGTCGGATCGGTGAGAAGCAGGGTGAGGTTTGTAAGAGGGATTGGGGCTCTTTGGTTTTGAAAAGCTGTACATTCATTTAAAATATGTTCTATTGTCATTAAATTGTTGTCGCAAAATTGGCAGGGGTTAGTTACAGCATGCAAAAGTCTGTATTTATGAGTAAGCCGAGTGTGGCCCAGGCGTAGTCGGATGATTTTGGTCAGTTCTTTTTTTGGCAGTTTGCTTATGTCTGTTTTTTTTGTGTAGTCGCTTATGTTGAGGTTGTTTTTGTTTATAGTTTTGTACCAACTGGAAGAGTATTGTAGAAGGTTGAGATCGCTATTAGAGAAGACAGATTTTATGTATCTGCTAATATCTGACCGGTTAATATTTTGAGAAGTAATCAAAGGTGAGATTGTGGCATTTTTGGCGGTCTTATCTGCAAACTCATTGCCCATGATTCCAACGTGGCTCGGGACCCACAAGATTTTAATTTTTGGGTACAAATCATTTAGTAATCCGCGGATTTTCGAGGCGTAATATGATGAGTTGTCTACGTTCCGAATGGAATCGATTGCTGATAGAGAATCGGAGCAGATACATATTTTTCCTTTAATTTTACGTCCAATCTCAATGGCATCCAATATAGCAACTATTTCTGCTGAGTACACTGATGAATAGGGTGGAAGAATGGCCTGTTTTAATATTTTGCATTCAGTGGTTACTGCGTACGCAGTTGTTTCGTTGTTTAGTGATCCATCAGTGTATATGAAGGTGTAGTTGGTCAGTTCTGCTTTGGCCTCTAGAAATTCTTTTCTAAAGGTTGAGGAACTTATGCTGGATTTGTGGTGTTGGCTTAGGCGTGTGTCAATGGCATCCGCTCGAAGATGCCAAGGGGGTTTTTTTTTAGTTGGTGTTTTTACTATGTTGATTGGAAGATCTATGCTTATGCATAAGTCTAAAATATTTTGAAGTGCTGAGTTTCTAAATTTCCGGCTTTTCTTTTTCGTTATCTTTTCGACTATGGATCTAAGTGGAGTGTCTCTAGAGTGTATTATTGTATGTGAGAGCTTAGCTTGAAGGTGTTTTGTTCTTATATCTACCGGCGATATATTGGCTTCTATGTAGAGATTGTAAGTAGGTGTTGAACAAAAGGCGCCTAGGGCTGCACGGAGTGCGTTGTTCAGCACGGTTTGTATTGGTTTGATGGTTGATTTCGGTGCTAATCCGTATATTGGTAGGCCGTAGTCTATTTTGGACAAGCATAAGCTCCTCACGATTTGTACCAAGGTAAGTGGCTGGCAGTTATATTTCTCATTTGAAAGACATTTAATAATATTAGTCGACCTAGTGAGAGATTGTTGTAGTCTTTTTTACGTGGGGGCTAAACTTGTATTTTGAGTTGAATGATAGACCCAATATTGTAAGCTCCTGTACTGTCTCTATTGTGTTTAGTTGGCTGGAAACTTGGCAAATACAGCTTTGCTTTCTGCAAACGTGTATATGCTTGCATTTTGAAATGGAGAGAGATGCTCCTGATGTTTTACACCAATTGTTTATGTCCTCGAAAAGGTTATCCACATTAATTTGTACATTTTTCTGTTTTTTCAGATCAATAATTATATTATAATCATCGGCATATGCAGTGAAGTTAAGATTTTTATGCATGCTGATTGTATCTGATAAGCTATTAAAAGCGATGAGGAATAGGATTACTGACAGGGGGGACCCCTGTGGAATTCCGTTGTAGAGAGGCTGGATCAATGAGTGGCTGTGGTTGACTCGAACTCTGATTTTCCGGTTGGTCATGAATTGTGCCACGTATTTCTGTATTGTAGGTCCACAGCCCCATTTAGTAAGTTGATCGTGTATCGTGTGTAGACCTACCTTCTCAAAAGCCTTTTCAAAGTCAAGAGATATTATTGAGATGTGTCGTTTCTCTGAGAGGGCCCTGTTGATTAGAGCGTCTACATAAAGTAGACAGTCTAATACAGACTTCCCCTTTTTAAAGCCAACTTGACGACTGTTAAGGAGTTTGTTAGAAGTGACAAACCACCAAAGTCGTTTTGAAATGATTTTGTCCAGTGTTTTTGAGATGCATGGATTAAGACTGATGGGTCTGTATGCCTCTATGGTCGTTTTGTTTTTACCAGGTTTATGAATTGGGATTATTGTACTTATTTTAAAGGCTTGAGGGATAAATGATTTTAGGATGGAGTTAAAGAAGTTAATTATTCTAATTTTTACTGGTTTTCCTGTATGCTGTATCATAGCATAGCTAATTTGGTCATTTCCAGGTGTATGGCCTCTTAGGCTGTTCAGAGCTACGAGAAATTCGAGATATTCGATCTCCTTTTCCATAAATCTGGCTGCCTTGTCTGTAGATGGGTTGTTATTTTGTCTGTAAATGTTATGTTTGGCATCTAAGAATGCTTGGGAGAAATTGTGGTCTTCAGACCGGGAAGACCAATGCCTGGAGAAAGAAGCAGCAATATCCTCTGCGTTCGTAATTGAGTTTGCATGGTTGTCGTGTATACAGTGGATATGTGTTGATTTGTGAACTCCACAGAATTGCCTTATTTTATTCCAAATCATTTCGGGCTTGGATTCTGGAGATATACATGATGTCAGTGTGTCTATGCTTTCTCTTTTGCTAATTCGAATTTCTCTTCTGAATTGAGCATTAACTTTTCTATATTCTATTAAGTTAGCTTGAGTCATGTCTCTGTTGAAAGATCTCCAGGCTCGGTTTTTAATAACCTTTAATTTCTCAAGCTTTTTGTTCCACCAGGGGACATTATGTTGGCTTTTCGGGGGGTGGGAGTGAGGGATGCTTTTGTAAGCGCTATTAAGTATTATTTTGTTAATGTTGCTTTGTTCTTTGTTTGTGTTAGTTGATATTGGTATTTGAGCATTTAGAAGGTTTGTAAGTTTTTCGAATTTTTCCCAGTTTGCTTTGTTTGTTAAAAATTTTTTTGTATAGTTAAATATTTTTCGTTCTTGTGTGAACATTTTTACTATAATAGGGAAGTGATCGCTCCCCTGAGGCGAATCCATAATTTTGAAGTCAGAGTGTATAGTAAGATTCGGTGAGCAGAATGCAAGATCAACATGGGTGTATGTATTATGTGTTGAGAAATGCGTTGGTTGACCATTGTTTAGAACTGTGAAGTTATTGTCTTGGATATACTTTTCTAAGATTTTTCCCCTTTGATTATTTTTAGGCGATCCCCAGAGGGTATTCCAACCATTAAAATCTCCTGTGATAAGAGAAGATGTAGATGTGTGAAGAATAGTGCTCTCTAAGTCGGCCTTGGTAAAAGTTTGTGAGGGTGAAATGTATGTAGAGAAAATGTTAATTTTTTGTTTTGATAGGATTTCGAGTGCAATGGCATCAAACGTTAGTCCTACAGGGATAGGCCTATGCTGAACTGATTTGTGGATCAGTAAAGCAACTCCACCCTTTGCGACAACGGATGTCGTGTGGTACATTTCGAAGTTAACAGGGATGGGGAATGGTTTGGTGAATGTAATGTGTGTTTCCTGAAGGGATATAATGTTGGGTTTGTGTAATTTTAGAAGAATTAATAGTTCATTGTAATTATTAGTGTATCCATTAATGTTCCATTGCAGTATAGTGATAGTCATATTTTAAACTAAAGGGAGAGGGTAATATTACTTTAGCTTTCAGTTATTTATTAAGTCTGTAATAGGAGTGTTTTTAAGCTTAGATCTAGTTATTATTGAGCTACTTGCTTTTTCCTTATTAATAATATTTCTTTTTGTTCTGCTACTTATGTTTTTTGGGAGGATATTGACTGTCGCTTTTACTTTTCCATTGCTGTTTTCAAGTTCTTCAGCTGAGCTAGTCGACATGGCTGCTTCGTCCTTGTCGTCGTATGAGATGAGGTTTCTTCTGTTGTCTTCTGGGGTTGGTGGTCGTTGGGAGGTTGATGGTGATGTAGAGATCGTGTTTGGGCCTCGTCGTGGAAGTTGAGTGAGTCGATTCTGGGTAATATTGGCCACGGATGAGTACAAGGAGCCGTCGTGTTGGTGTCTTTTTTTGTAAATAGACCAAGCCGTTCGGTTGTCGACTTTCTGAAGTGCTTTGATATATTGAATTTCTTTGTGGGTGACAAATACGGGGCAATTTCTATCTCTGGGGTGGTGATCGGTATTTGGTAGCTTTTTTTCTATGCAATTTAAACAGGAAAGGGAACGTTCGCAAACTTCTCCTTCCTCAATGTTGATGTGGGCATTTTGACTGCACATGAAGCAAGTTTTTGGGTTTCTGCAAAACTTTTCCAAGTGTCCTAAACGTAAGCAATTATTGCAACGCATGGGTGGTGGTACATATGTGCTAACTTGGACTCTTTCATATCCTATATATATGTATTCTGGAAGGTCCAGTCGCGAAAATGTCAAGGTAATTAAACCTGTTTCGGTTACCTCCATCTGTTGGCGCTTCATAATTTTTCTGACAGCATATACTTTTTGTGATTTAAGGTTTTCGAGTATTTCTTCTTCTTCGATACCTCGCAGATCATTTGAGTATATTACCCCTTTTGAGTAGTTCAGCGTTCGGTGTTCTGAAACTAGTACGGGTATGTTGTTAGGAATATTTTTTAGATTTAACAGTTTCTCTGCTTGCTTGTGGTCTTTTGTTTGTACCAGCAGGTTCCCATCGCGTGTTTTTTTACAGGTCGCAACTTCGCCTCCACAAGTCAGATCTATGATTTTCTTGATTGTAAATGGAGAGACTCCAGTAAGGGATCCCTCATCCGTTCTGGTGATCACCAGGTATTTTCCATTGGGTGAAGGCCTATCCCTCCATATGTCGGGGGGCTCCCGCATGTTTGGAAAGGTTTTTATTTTCAATTACAACGTGACAGGCGTTCGTTAAACCAAGAACAAACCGATGTACCGACTGATAAGGAAACTATTTATAGATTTTTGTTATTGTCCTGTGCTTTGCTGTTAAGTTCGATTTGGAAAGAGAACACGACTGATCGCTTTGACTGCCAAACGTAAACTGTAATCATCTTGATATAGTAACATTAACAAAAGAATGTGTGTACATAAACTTTAATGCATTCTATTTTATCAAGACAAATCCATTTTCCTCCAGGGAGTGTCAGAAGTAAATTAATTGTACAAAGTATTACCAAAAACTAGTTGCAGGCACTGAAGATATGTTCCGTAATCCTGCGATTGGCTTCATAATTAACCGAATTCAGTAACATTTTCTAAACAGAAGCCATTGAACAAAGGTTCTTATAAAATACTTCCAAAAGTAAAGCTAGTCTAAGAGGATCTCTGAACCGTTGCAGTCAAAAGAATCTAAACAGATGCCATTACATAAAAGGTAAGGTGGTTGCTTAATTGTAGAGGTCCCAGAGTGATATTTGGCTGTCCATTCCCGCTGCCGCCATGATGGGAGCCCGCCACATGGCCACCGGCTTGCTGGAGTATGCCAAATCCATTACACCACCTTGCTTGTGTTGCGTGAGCACGGCCAATGGACGGAGGCTCTTCCACGAGAAGATCCGTATGCGTCCATCCCAACCGGCGCTGGCAAACACCTTCTGATCGGAGCGGATGCGGACGCAATTAACACCCGGATTCTTGATGCACAGCTCCGAGCCACGCTGCAACTGCATGGACGGTCGCTGGTAGCTGAAACTAATCAGTTTATCAGCTGTAAAAAGGGGATAATACGATTAGTTACAGAAATGCATATACAAATTTAATTTGACCTACTTGGCCCACCAACAATGCCCCGATTAGTGACAGGGTCATAGTCCACGGTCATGGCATCTGGAGCTAGTTCAAGTACATCCACGATCACACCAGAGCTGATGTCCCAGGTGAGAAAGTGTCCGGATTCGTAGCCCGCCAGGAGGAAGAGTTGCGAGGCGCACTCGAAGGGCTTAAAGCAGGTGACACTGCCTAGTTTGGGCAATTGTGGGTCATCCGGCACTAGCATCTGGGTGGGAGCAGTGGCATCCGTTACGTGGAGCACTCCAATCGAGGACTCTTCGCAGGGGTAGAAGAGCAGCTGCTCATTCGTGTTGCTGGTGCTCGTGTGCAGGACGGATCGACAGTAGCCCAGGTGGTTGCCCGGAATGCTGCGCTCTTTTATGTAGCTGCCGTTGCCAATAGAGAACATGGTGATGGTACCGCCCTTCCCTTGCGTCACCAGACGATCGGGCGTGTGGTGCAGACTGGTTATCGGGTCGGAGCCCACCTCAAAGTGCAGGGCGGAGCGGTTGGTCTGCAAAAAATAATAGTGTTTATATCCTTGAAATGTATTTTTTAACAAGTATTTTTTTTGCTGCTATTTTTAATTTCTTTAAACTTGGCTACCTGACAGACTGGTAGGGCTATAAATATTACAAACAAGTAGAGCCAAGCAAGAATTGCTTATCAAAATGGTAGACTCACCTGCAAATCCCAAAGAAAAACACTTCCTTTTAGGGTTCCCGCCAACAAGCGCTCATTTTCCTGGAAACACAGCGAATTCACAGCTCCCATGTCAGGGGATCGCAGGCTGAAGACAGGATCCGGTGGTAGCACAGCCATGGTTTGTTTTTATTTAATTAAATTAACTAAGAGTTGTGTTTGTTTTTGTTTTGGTCTCGTGGTAGTGTGACCCTTGTGGTAATTTTTTAAATCGTCAGCGTAACAGCGCTGCCAGACAGCCCAGCACTACTTGCAGTACCTTGCAAAATACGCTAGAGGGCGCTGACATTGGCGCGTTGCCTTTCAAATTCAAACGATTTACTGTCAGCTACTTTTTGACCCTAAGGAAGACCCATGTCAAATGTTTCTCATTTTGCCTTTTTGCAGGGTAGCCTCTTGCGGGGAAAACAAGCTTAACATTTTACAGCGAAAAATCGTTAAGTCGCTAAATGCGCGGACTATTAAACATAACGTGCACCAAAGGCTTTGGGCGGCTTTAATGGACTTTGTCAGCGGTCTCTCGTCTCTCATGTGGCCTAGACGCTAAGGCCCGAATCGTAAAAGACTTGTCAGCCGCGCGCTCTTGGCCAGATTGCGAGCGAAGAAAACGGCCCAAAAATGTATACAGGCCATTCTACCGGCAGTCCGCAACAAAGATCGCAAAATAAACATGCCATAAGCTCGTTAATCAATGCTAAGTTGACAGTTTTAAGTGGCTTTAGCAAGCCAACACCAGCGCAAGCGCAAATAAGTCGGAGACTCCTGTTGTGCCGCAGGCTCACCATGATTTACGGTCCCAAAAAAATGCGCTATATTTTAATTGAGCTTAAGAATTTATTTGAAGTTCGTTGGATTCGGTTTTTGTTCTGAAAAAAACGGGTTTCTCAAACGGAAAATGGCGGGAAAAATATTTATGAAAGCAATACTGATATGTTTTTAATAACAATGTTATCATTGAGGGTAAAAACATATATTTTTTCATTTATTTTTAACACCATTTTATGTAACCATAAACTTGAAATTCTGCTCGGCTTTTCCATACTTTTCACTTAAATTTTTCCATTTCACAGGCGCTCACTTTCGGCAGTCAAATTGTACTTTTCCACAGTTGACTAGACAACCAGACGAAATTCGTAATTCGATTTGGATGCAACAAGTTAACACGTTTCCCCCCACTTCCCCGTTAGCCCCCTTTTAACCCCTGATTAAGCCGTCTGGCAAACAGTTGAAAATGCGGCTATAAGTTCATTTAACTGCAGAGCCAATCATAAAAGGGGTTCAAGCCCGTATGACCATTCCAGCTCATTTGCTTTCGACTCGGTTAATATGTTTTGTCTCCCACAGGATAAAGGAGGAGGGGCTGGGGGAAAAAAAGAGGGGCGTGAGGGACAACAGGGGTTGGGGCCAAGGCAGAGGTAGCTGAACGACAAGTCCATAAATCTTTTCGCCACAGAACCAGGCCCAAAGTGAGGCGTTTAAACTATTTATGCATGTTGGGTAATCCATTTGAAATGGGTCAACGACTACAGCAAAAACAACAACAACAACAACCAGCAAAGAGGCAATGGGAACAACGTGCTCATAAAACTCCTTAAACGTTTCCAATAACCCAACCCAGTTCGAAGTTGAAAACATATTGGCTTGTTACCTTAATGAAGTCATAAATTTTCGCTATCGCATTCGGGGCATCTCGGCCAGGAAAGAAAGAGAGTCCCCCGGTTTGGAGTTTGGAGTTTGGAGCTGCGAGTCCCCGAGCTACAGGTTTCTAAGGAATTCCAATTCGGGATAGAGCACTCTGTGGCATTGGACCAAGTCCGAGTCCAAGTGTTTTGGCACACATACGCGTACGCGTCTCCGTTCGGCCGATAGTTAATCAGGCTTACGCTGATATATGCTGACAGAGTCGCTCTCTGGTGTAGGCCGCCACTCTCGGAAAGGATTCGCATCGCATCGCCAGGGATGGGCATATATAGGCAGCAATGGATATCTATAGGGATCCCCCGCTGGGCGAGTATTCCGCGTATTTGCGAGGCGGGCTTCGAAAATGAAGTTATCACGCGACAAACAATGTCTGATCCGGCCCCTGCCACCAATAACTTTATATGGCTGTCATTATTAGTCGGAAATTAAATGGCAACGGCCATAGAGGACGACACTTGGACGGCTACCCGACTTATTTATGTGCTACCTTAATGGAGCTTCATCTACTCGAAATCGAGACGGCGATTTGTTCTGCCCCCCGCGTCCTTGTCTCTCGGAATCTCGGATGCTACTCCTTCCCGTGTTGAGTTTTTATTTCGCATTACTTTGCCATTTCCATGAATCACTCGATGGGCAAAAAGGTAGCGATGTGGTCTAGGTGCTGGTATTTTGATTTGAATACCTCCAATGCAGATTGCTGGGCAGGAGGAATTCCAAAATGGGAATAACATGAAGCTAATGGTAGATAAACAAATGAGTAAGGGTTTTTAAAAGGATTTAAGCTTCCTAGATTATTAAATCTTGAAATAGCTTTCAAATTCTACTTTTAGATATTTGTATTATTTCGAAGTTAAGTGTCTAAAAATAAATGCACTCTTATCAATAAATTTTATTGAATATTAAGGCTGCATTTAGTTAGAAATCCCTTGACTCTCTTTAAGACATTTGCAAATTGATATGGGTACAATTTATGACCACATTTTCTTTTGTCTTTTGTAGAAAGTGATAGCCGCGACTGATGCAATCAGCGTAGAAACCACTACAGATTCCTCAAAATAAGTTGGAAACTCCGGTCGAGCGCAATCAATTAAAATATCGACGTCTATCAGCGTTATTATAAATCAAACGATAACATAAAATTGACACTAAAGGCGTTTCGACCATTTCTCATGCCGCCCGACGACGTCGAAGTCGAGATTAAGGCCTCGGATATACACGTATATATATTGTATATGGGATCGGATCGCGGTGGCCAAACTTAGATGGAGTCACATTTTGGGGCACTTGCGCTCGCGCCTGAACTTTGCTTCGTATTTATGCAAATTATCCGTTGCCGGACGGGAAAAACTGGTCCACAAAACGGCAACGCAAGGCGAAGTGCTCTCTGTAATTGATCAATTTCCGCCGAGCAGCCAGACCGGACCGGATCGAATCGCATCGCATCGAATCGAATCGAATCGGATTGGATCGTTTTGGAGCGAATCGATCCATCGCCCAGAGAAGTGAGAAGTTGGCAGACCCGCAGGTTGCCCAGATCGGATAATGTGATGGCCACTTGATCTTCGGCTGATTTATGGAGTTCGACGAGGGCTTGGCTAATGAAAAGCCACTTTAGATAAAATATTTTGTGCCCGTTTTGTCTTAAACCCACCAGGCGGGGCACTTGGCACCCACCATGTCCATATTTGTGTGCAAAGGTAAAGGTGACTAAAGAGTTATGACACCTGGCGGAGGTGCACCCACACTGGACATTCCACTTGATTGCCCTCGACTCTCGGACTCTCGGACTCACGGACCCTCGGAGCGGCAATCAGACGCACTCAGCAAAAGTGCCAATCAAGCGCAGGACACGTCCGCAAAGGATGCGCTCCTCCTCTGTCCGTAATCCTGGCTGTGAATGCCATGTGTAGAGGGTCAGTGGGGTGGGGCTGTGGACATCGGAGGGCCTGAAATCGAAACCTCGTCGCTGGGGTGTCAATAACATTGTCCGTCTGACTGCCTCCGGGCACGATTGTTGTCGTCGTTCTGCCCGATGTTGCGGCCATTGATGATGTGAATGCGTTTTCAGCTCCATTGAACGAGGGAAGCGGCACAGTGGAGTGCAGATTTGGGTATCGAATATACCTCCTGAATAAAGGTTTAAGTTGGGAAATTATATTAAAGATTCAAAGGGGATGCCTGTCCCTTTTACAAATAGTCTGTCAATCTTACAATTACTTATATTATTTAGAATATTTTAATTACTTACAATAATATCTTCAATTCTATCCATATATCTTAAACAAACATTCAAAAAAATATATGTATGATAGATGATACCTCTCTTTATAATTATAATTTATCAAATGGTGAAGTTAAAGTATATATTTTAATTAACTCAAAATACTCCTATTATTGCCTCACCGTTGCCCAGAAATTCCAATTTAATTGCGTGAATCAATGTTGTAAATCATTATGCTAAGTGCCCTTTAATGTCTCAAAATGCAGCTCATTTGCAAGTGCAGTTCCCAGTCCCCAGTTGGCTGCCACAATGTGGGCATGGATATGGAGATGGCGATGGCGATGGAGACGGAGCTGGCCCCGAGGGCATGTAATCATGTCCGAGCGGACAACGCAGGATGGAGAACGTACGCAAAACGGGAGCGGCTTAAATTGCTATTGGCCAGGCTGTTGGCTGTTGGCCAACACAACCGGGGGGCTGAGCTGGCTGGGCAGCCAGGAACTACTTTCAATTATCAATTATGAAGGTAATATCTTCTTCAGGCCGCAATTTGAATGCCAGGAGGTGTCACTAGCCAGTTAGTGGCTAGCGCTAATGGTTTAATCAGCACTCTCTTCGATCGCAATACGATTGCAATTGCGGTTTGCATTGCCATTGCGGGACATAATGAACGGCGCTCGTTTAATTAAAGTGCCGCCTGGTCGACAGAAATCAATTTATCTGTGGCCCCAAACCAAACTGCCGGGGCCAAAAGCCCCTCATCAAGGGGCGAGGCCATCCCGATCCCCATCCCATCTGATTTCCCATCGCCATCGCCATCTCATTGTGCATACGAGCATCGGTAATTGCGCGGCATTACGGGTGCTCTCGGGCCGCCTGCCATCCGATAAACACCTTAAATATGAGCCTGTTAATTACTGTAATTTGCTGCCAGCCCCCTGGATCGAAATGAGCCACTAAACGCGACGACAATCGCAACATTGGCCCACGCCCCGGAGGATTTGGTGACCCAGTTCGGGAGCCAAACCGAAACCGAAGCAAACCGAACCGATGCGACAGCTGTCTTTGCGGGGCATGCAACATCAATTATTCAGGGCCACCAAACTTGGGCCCAGCCGGCCGAAAGTGCAAACAACTAAGCCCGAAAGACACACACAACTCGCCACTGCATGAAATATTGACAGCCGTCAGCCCGAAAAAAAATAACTAAGGTAAACTTAAAAGGAAATTAAACCAGGCGAAAGTTACGCTCTCTTGAGAAAAGTTTTCCAAGGCAGGTGA